AGCGACGCAGACGTGGATACAGAACCGGGAAATGCCAATTAATGCAATTATCAGTTTTACGTCCTACTTGAGGTCTTTATATAGAGCGCGTCGGGGAATAAACGGAGCGCCGATTATCTTGCTCACAGGAAACGCTGCGGAGAACTTCTTCATCGCGAAGGAGTATTTCTATACGGTTTCGTTTTATTTCAGAATGTCTTTATTTTACCTCACTCTTCGATCGAACATCTCTTTCTCTTTCATTTTGCTTATTTCGTGTTATACATTTCACTTTTGCTCGACAACGTTATTTGTCCCATCTTGAAAGAGCATCGGCAAAAAATGCCCGTTTTCGGTACCTCGATTTTTGAAACTTTTTTTATGTCAAATGGTTACTTATGATGACCCAAAAATCCCTGCAAAATTTCAAGATGAGTATATGCCCCGTTTAAGAAATATAGGGGGTCAAAGTTGACCATGTTCAATTAAAAAATATAGCAGCTTCACATTTATACTCCAATAATAACGTCCAAAAAATTCAGCTGAAATGGTTCTTTTAAGATTTTTGGCTGCTGATTGCAAATCTGAAGTCAGATTTTAAAAATTCAAAATGGCGGATCCAATATGGCGGACGAATTTTTCTTAAATTCATCAGATTCATTTGAAACTCGTTACTCGGGGGTTTTTGGGGTCGCTGATTACGAATCTAACGGTTAACTAACTTTTAACCAACACTAAATCTTCTTTATCACTACATTAAACTTACTTTGACCCTACATAGAATCTATTTTGTCCTACAATGGACCTATTTTTCTTCACATTGGACCTACATTCTACCTAGGAGCGGACTGAGCGTCGAGCGGACTGAGTCTTGTTTTAAAGAGTTCGGCCTAGAATTACGAAACCCTGAAAACAAAAGACGATCAGCAGATCATCATTTCATTAACATTCCATTCCATCCTACATCTTATTTGTATCGTACGCTTGCGAATGTAAGAAAATAAAAGTTTCAGTTTCGAAAATCTGGAAATATTGTTGTTTGAAAAATATTATTAATGATAAATGGTAAGATTTTTTTGTACTTTTTGTTTTTTTTTAATCTTTTAAAATCTGATATCTCTTTCATATTTGGTGAACCCCAAAAACCCTCGAGTAACGAGTTTCAAGTGAATCTGATGAATTTAAGAAAAATTCGTCCGCCATATTGGATCCGCCATTTTGAATTTTTAAAATCTGACTTCAGATTTGCAATCAGCAGCCAAAAATCTTAAAAGAACCATTTCGGCTGAATTTTTTGGACGTTATTATCGGAGTATAAATGTGAAGCTGCTATATTTTTTAATTGGATATGGTCAACTTTGACCCCCTATATTTCTTAAACGGGGCATATGCTCATCTTGAAATTTTGCAGGGATTTTTGGGTCATCATAAGTAACGATTTGGCATAAAAAAAGTTTCAAAAATCGAAGTGCCGAAAACGGGCATTTTTTGCATGGGGCTTGCCGAGGCTCTTTATCTTCAGTTATAGAACAATGGTGATTCTCTTGATTCGTATTATTGTTGACAAATTTCATCCGAGGATTTAACGAGATTTTTCCCGGCAATGTCGGGAATGGGATTAGTGGCTTATTATATTTCTTCGGGAATTAAATGCGATGGATGCTACGTTCGTCTTCGATTCGCTCGGAAGTCGACCTCGACTGGCAGCGATACGGCGATAATATGTTGAATTATCAGAGTGGTGTTATCAAGGCTCGAGTGCTATAAGAATTTTTCATTGTTCCTCGTAGATGTTAAGTTTATGTAACGACGATCGCGTCCGCTCGCGTTCGGCCGTCTCGACATACAACGATTACGTTGTCCTTCGAATGAACGAATCGACGAACACGACTCGAAACAACAAGAGAGAAAGCTACTCATGCACACTATCTACATACATTAACCTGCGTTAAAATGTGCCACGTCACTCGCGAATCATTTGCAATACTTCTTTCAACATTGGAAGACATTCTTCCAATATCGTGCTTTGTGTCAACCCGTTAGAGGCCATTCAGAGCCCTTATCGGTGAATTGCAATTTGATCTTGAACTTTAATACGTCGATGGGAAAGTGCGAGGAGGAAAGTCAAATATTCCTGTCTGTATCGTTTAATTCAAATGCCGCGTCAGTACCTTTTCGTAAATTTAATTTTAACAAGAGAAAATACGAATAAAACATACATTTTTAGATGAATTGAAAAAAATCGGTTGATTTCAAGTGAGGTGAAATTCAATTTAAATTCAGAATAACATGAAGGTACGTCCTTTCCACGACACTCTGTACACGCGAGAACAGTTTATGTCACTTCGCGAAGAAGTGGGTGTAATTAACGACGTTGGTTGCTGATCCTTACGTGCACTTGCCATTTGTAAATACGCGCAGGAGACTCTTGAAATTATATAAGAGAGAGCCACCACTCGCCGCGTATGAATATGCACGTCGAATTATGTAACGGGTGGCACCATTCTTAAAGCGCAATCGTACGTTTGCAATTTGGATATGCACGGATTATTCTCGCGATAAAGTGAGATTGTTGCATGCATTATTTACGCTTTCTCTCTTATAAAACTTCCGGGGAAAATCCCCGGATGATTCTCCCTTCGATTTGCGGTTATCGAGACTGCGAAAATAAAAATCGAATGTGTCAATATTGAGTTAATGGTACCTCAACAACCACAGAAGCAAAACGATGCGGGATACTGCACGAAACCTGGCAAGATAACGAAATTAAAAATCGTGATAATCATCACAGGAAGATCACGCTTTCTTTTTCGATAGGCGAAAGTTAAGTAAAATCTAATAATAATAATTAAACGAACAAGCTTGCTTCCTAGTGCAAGCACGGTTTTGCATAGATTTTAACGATGTGCCGCGTGTAGGTGCATGCGCCTCATTTGTGTACGTATAACACGACGATTACTGATTGTAATCCGTTACGAGCCGCAGACCGTAAAATCGTTAAAGAGCAAACGAAGAAGCCTAACGAACGTTAAAGAGAAAATGATTGCAGAAGAAAATGAAAGTTTTACATGCGATGCTGCAGACGAGAAACGGTCGATATTAAAGCAAAGTTTCGGGTTTCGGGGCGTTAAGAAAGACGTACATTTGCAACTTCAGATTTCGATTCATTATATGTAAAATGTATAGTTTGATATGTGTTTAATAAACTTAATATTATATCCAGAAAAAATTACCAAAATTGAATTCAATAAATGTATATATCCTTATTTAGAAAATAATGTGAAAAATAAATTCTAGACTTGGCAATTTTATTGCGTTGAATTTATCTCGTCTATTTTTATATTTATATAAGTTCTGATTTTAAATTACTTATTTAACCCTTTATAATCTAAATTAATTCATTTAATATCTTCTTATTTTGTATAATTAAGCTTTTGGCATGTTATAAATATAAGGAATATGAAAATAAATTTTATAACAATTTAATGATTTTAAAGTAATATTTATAAGTACCGATAGAAATGTAGGGTAAGACAAAGAAAAAAAGTTTAAAAACATATGAGCGTTTATATAGAGCGATACTTTTAAATACCATCAGGATGTAAAGGGTTAGTGGAGATTTATCTGGAGGCTTGTATCTCTCTCTCTTTCTCTCTCTCTCTCTCTCTCTCTCTCTCTCTCTCTCTCTCTCGGAAATCATACAGTGAAGATGGCAGGAAAACGGCTCTTCCATATTAATAAGACCGTGATAACGGTTGACATTGGTCATATACGTGACACGAAGTCATGAAAACTGACCCGTGTCAGCTTCATTGTTTGTTGGCGGAAGTCGTAGACGATTATCGTCACGTTCGTAACCTCGAATTTTCATAAAGTGTGCCGCAACACATATATTTTATCTCCCATGCCTCATTGAAGCGTGTGAATCTTGACGTTTGTAATATTTCCTATCTACAAATAATCACAAGCAAATATCACACAATTATGCACAATCAACAATAAAAAACAAACAATGTATCGTCAATAAAACTATTATTCGATGCGAAAAAATACTTTATTCTTATGATTATTTAAAATGTTTTATTTTCGCAATTATAACGTTCGTGAATAATCTACTTATTACATAATTACGTAATTACATAAGCGAGGAAAATTTTACTATTTTTTTATAGAAGTATAAACGACGTTGAAGTTTGGAGCGTTCTTCGAGCGAAAATTGAAAATAGTTTCGTGTCCCGGAACACTTTTGTTCCGGGATACGACTGCTATTAAACTACTTTTTTTCTATTTTCTCACATACCGAAGGGCGAAAATGCACTCTCAGTTTTTGGCACAAAGCGCTGAGACTGACGGAAGCAATTATAATCTGTCTGAGTGTGGTGGTATGCGCATAATTTTCGGGGAGAATGAAAGTGTTCCGGGACGCGATTGCTATTAAACTATTTTTTTTCTATTTTCCTACATACCAGAGAGTGAAAATGCACTGTCAGTTTTTGGCACAAAATGCTGTGGCTGCCGGAAGCAATTATAATCTGTCTGAGTGTGGTAGTATGCACACAATTTTCGGGGAGAACAAAAGTGTTCCGGGACACGATTGCTATTAAACCATTTTTTTTCTATTTTACCACATACCGGAGAATGAAAATGCACTGTTAGTTTTTGGCACAAAGTGTTTGGACGTCCTGTGGAAATTATCATCTGTATGAGTGATTATATGTGCGTAATTTTCGGGGAGAACAACATTTTTATAATGTCGTGTCATATTTAACACAAATTTATCTTTTATATGTATTTACATTTATATTAAGTGGTCTTTTTTTTAAATAAAAGCTATTTTCAACTTTCGCTCGAAGAGCGCTCCAAAATTCAACGTCGTAAGTGTAATATGTTTTTCGGTATATCTCTGCGAATATCTCTATTGCTTTCTTTTCTTAATTGCATTGTATGGAGATATAAATTAACATCAACTTTTATTTATTAAATAATAATTCTAACGAGAGGATGCATGTTTATATGTTTAGGAGCAGAGAAGAGAGACCATCCAGAATGGTTCTTACTGTGACCGAGGACACCCCGGCAGACATGCTGGCCGGAAGTATGGAGCTTCTGGTACAGCTGCCTCTCGATCATCATGTTCACACGCAGAAGGTCACAGTGTTACGAAGGTACGTGTTCAAGGATAAAAGTGATCCGGAATAAAAGAACCTGCGAACGCGTTATTCTTTAATATATACTTTAATATGTACTTTAATTTAAATTCTTGCGGTGTATCTACAGCAATTATATACCAAATCGTTAACTAAATCTCATTTTAAAAAATTGCACAGGTACAAATTATTAATATATTAATATATTATATCAGATAAAATATTAATATCAAATCTTTCTCATCTCGTTGAGATCTTTGTGAATATTTATGATAGATGCTTGTAAAAGTTTGTGTTATGATATATTAAAGCTATTTTTACTTATTAATAATAATGAAATGACATAATATTTTAATCCAAGTATCAGTCGTTGCTATCAATAATATCGTTTTTGTCATTTTATGGGCAATAGCTTGATCCCGCGCCGATAAAATAACTCATCTTTCAAGGCAATCCATTCATCAACTTATTTTCGCACTTCCTCAGCATCTCGGAACCATGTCAGATAGATTGTGCTGCATCGATCTGAATAGATGAAAGTCGGACAGAAAATCAAATAGGGTGACGTCTGTGGATGTTGGATGTGTTAAAATTTCTCAATTTACTGGAACAACGTCTCTTTAGTCGCAATAACAATATCCGTTCTGGCGTTGCCGTAAAGCAGAATGATTTATACGCGTTTCTCTCTCATGACTTGGTTCATACGCCATAATTGTTGACTATAGCGACCTCCTGTGACTGTTTGCCCCGGTGGTAATAACTCATAATAAAAGATTCTTCTTGATTCTACCAGATATATAGTAGAACCTTGGCCGTGAATATTGCGTTTTATTGTGATTGCTCGGGATTAATCCATTATTTTTTGCACTTAGGATTATTAAAGTAGATCCACTTTTCATCGTTCGTAACTATTCGTTACAAAAAAATCTTTTTTTTATTCCTGGCAAGCAATGAGAGACAGATGGTAAGCCAGTTCGCAATCGCAGAGAATTTGTGGAGAATCTTCCTTCTTTCAGGATCTTTCACATTGTTTAACATTAAATGGCGAGATACTGTTGATTCATCAACGCCAAGCTACCTTGCAAGCTTTCTTAATGTTCAGACCGAGTTTCGTGGACCGAGTTTCGTCAGTTTTCGTGGAGCAATGTTTTCAATTCGTTATTCCTCATTTTGTTTAGACGACTAGAATGTGCCTTGTCGTTGACATCATTTTCAAACCTTTTAAATACTTCTCACAAATAGTGGACAAAATATTATCTTCACAAATTCCACAAATCAGTCTTTTTTAGTTTTTGTAGTAGTTTCGCCTCGATTAAAATGGTAAAGTATGGCGAAGATGAACTTTATCTGATTCCATCTTTAATCGCGTTAAATTTAAATGTGATATTTTCTTCGGAATTATGAATTGTTAACATTTAAAAATTAAAAAGTAATTTAAAGAAAAGCAATTATTAAGTCACTGTTACAGCCGTCTACTTGTGACCTTGCAAACTATTGCAAGCATTTAATATTTAGAGCCGCTATAGGAAATTACAAGTCATTAGAATACTTATCGACACGATTCGTGTCGAATACACGAGGCCAAACGAAATCGATCATTGTATTCGATACGCGCTAATAGCAGCAACAATTAGTAGCATTGCATTCCGAGATTATTTAGGAAGGTCCAATTCCACCTTAATCATGCGACTTGAGATAAATGCAAGTGGAATAGCCCGCAATTACCCTCCCGGCTCATAAATGCCAAACGAATCGTATTTTATTTGACCGGTCTGTCGGGTCTGAAATATACTGAGTCGTCGGTTGCCAAACGGTTACCTGGCCGGCTATATCTCGTTACGGCGATGAGGTCGTTTGACCGAGGAGGTCATCTAATCGACATTTCGACAAATTATCCTAACGGTCGGATTAGATAGATTAGTTTCTAGATTAATGAACCGTCCTCCAACCACAATACCGGTAATCTTTGTGCTACTCCACCGTGACGCGCGTCAAATTGCCTGCCAAGCTAAGCCGAATGCCTAATTAACATCCAGCTCCAGTTTCAAAATTGCAATTAGCTTACCGCCTCGAGATTGTCCGCTCGAAGTAAAAGCGCGCACGTTTTCCTTCCTTCTTGCGTCTTCCTGGCCATGCTTCATTTGGTCCGCTGCATAGACAAACCTTCGAATTCTGTAAGAACGTTGTGCAATCGCGAAAAAATATTGCTCTTGCGTAATATATATTTTAAATGATATATATATATATTTTTTTTTTTAATGATATATATGTATACAGGGTGTCCAAAAAACTCTGGACTGATAAAATATTTCGAAAATAAGACACTTCAGAAAAAAATGTTTCATACATAAGAGTTGTATGGTTTCAAGGGGAACATAAATCAAGGGGAACTATATCAGTTTGTTCACAGATGGCGCCACTTTGGAGATATTCATTGATCATTACTTTTCTTAAATGAAAACTCCAATTTTTTATTATATCATCCTTTTCTACCAATTAATTTGAACAACTTTTGTCTGAAACATTCTTTTATTTGCCTAATATTTTTTGAGATATTTAAGGAAAACTTGTTGATTTTTTCAATATTTAACTCACGATATCTCGCGCACCTATTCGTTGGAAAAAAAAGTGATACTACACTTTTTTACTCTATGTGGTCTCAAGAATATATTGTTACAATAGCGCCCTGACTTTTGTTAATTTGATGATTTTGAAATTTCCAAAAATCGATACATATGTATACAGCATATTTTGTATTATTTTTTGTCAACAAAATAAACTGATACGTTTACGTTTTTTAAAATTTTATTTATATCTATTAAAAACTGCAGACTTCTCTTTTTTCAATTCTTAATTCTTATTTTTACAATAATTGAATACATTCGAAAATGACAGTTGATTAATTTCAGCAATTTCTCGTGGAATACTCTGTATATATGTATACTTTATTTTTTAACACATATATTTATATACAATAATATCATATTTATATATTTAATAATTACATATTTATATACAATAATATTACGGGTCATAATCATACATCAATATTATCAATATAATTAAACAATGATATATCATGATTGTTATTTAACAATTAATTAAATTACAGAGCAATTAGTCACAAGTCGTGAATCATTATTAACGAGATTGACGTCGCAATAGCACACGTGTCTGAGTTACGAGCCGGAGTTCCAAATTACTAAGTCTCGATCAGCTACGCAAATAGTCCTTGTCGCTTATTACGCGAGTTCATTAATCAAAGAGCTGATCGTGGATCCGCGAGTGAATACGTCGGAATCGGGTTTGTGTGCCGTGTAACCAAATGATTGCCTCCTTATCTCCCCACGGCGTCATTCTGTCGCTGCGATTCCCTCTTCTGCTTCTTTTTTTCATGCGCGGAGTTAATACGTCGCTTGAAATTTAAATTACGACGACAGGTCTATACAGAATTATTCGCTGCTTAAACTCTTGATCGTTTCGAGTCTAACGGAAGCCTTACCTTTGATTCCGTTCAACTTGATTTCACTTATCCTTCCGGAGACCAATCTAGAAAACATCTCATCTGAAAAACAATTCGTCTCGCATAGTATAATAACTCAAATTTCCTCAGACATTCTCAAATATTTCAATGCTAATCGTGTGTACACACCGAATTTAGTATCAAAACTATTGACACGAACATTTTGCTCATTGTGAGAATTATTTTGTAATAACACAACTGAACTTGAATCGACTTTCTTTTTCTAAAATTCGATTTTTTCTAATCGATTCTTTGTACAAACAACTCAATTTTTGTACAAACAATTTTTTCAATAGAGAATCAATTTTCGATCCGTTGATATGTTTATTCATCAGTGTTGTTTTGTTAAATTGTGAAGCTTGTTATCATTATCGCGCTATTACTTCCATGAACAGTTTAGGTAGGTCTTACGTTGGTAATGCTAATGACAAAACATTTCCTCGAAAGTATCCTAAATGCGCAGTCACGCATATCGCAAAAAGCCCTGATCATTGGGCGACCGTCATTTTTCATGGTTTTTGCTCTTCTTTGTTTTCTTTTCTTTATAATTTTTGCTTTTCTTTGTTTGACGTTTTAAATACCTCGGGTACACGATTTGCTCAAGCGTGAATCAAGTGAATGACAGCTTGACCATATTCGACTGATGTAACGGTCTTTGAAAGTGCTTACTTTATTTCTTACACGAGCACCGATATATAAAATTTTATAGGTTGGGTCTGTTTTTTGAAAATATGATTTTTCTGATATCGTTTTAAGTGACATCAAATGCACGTAACTGTTAAGAAAGCAAAGAATGAAGAAGATTGCGGATTTTTCTGCAAGTTGCTATGGGACGAATCTCGATTTTGTGTTTCCACGTGCGTCTTGATGAAATCGTGACGTTTAGTGAAGTATAAATTTTTCTCGCGAATTCAAATCTCTCATGAAAAATATCATAATGTTATCATAATAATATCATAATGTCTCGTTTCTGAGCCATCCGTATCAAATGACGTAGTCATTTGCATATGCACATATGGATAGCTCAAAAATCAGACATTTTTCATGTGAGAGATCAAACAAATATCATCTAAAATGATATTATAGAAACAACAATTTGAAGAAATCTCTCAAATGTGATCTCAAAAAACTTTTTTAATAGATGCCTCTGATAAATGATGATTATTAAATATCACTTTGCCATCGTTTTCAAGATATTTAAACGTTTTCTTTAAAAAGTTCTCTTTAAAAAAAGTTTTCTTTTTCTGACGTACGTGTTGTCCGGGTATTTTCTTTTAGAGTACAAACGTAAAGTAACATTCTCATTAGTTTGTCAACTTAATTTACTTAGTTTTATTTATGTCTTTAGTTACGGAAATTTGTGTGCTATCCGCTCTACAGTTTCGCTTTTAAAGCCGGTGGCGCACGATATTTGATTTTACGCTGGATCTAGTGAGATCCAGTGATATATTAGAATTTCTTCCAATTGATACATTTTTAGTACGTCACTGGATCTTACTAGATCCAGCATGAAAACAAGTATCGCGTGCCGTCGACTTTATAATACAAAAAGAAATATGTTTAAATGTGTACGATTTTTTAGATCGATTTTTAGGAAATTGATTCTTTTAGGCTGATTTTCTTAATAAATTGCTTCTAGTTATTCCAGATCGATACAAAAGCCAATATTGTTTTTTCTAATTGTTCATCTCCATTGCCATGATGGTTAACAGTGCTGTAATATTGCCTACTGTTTCTCGCTAATTTGCATGTAAAATATAAACAAATGAAATATATAGTCGGTAGGAAGCCAATATTGTGGATTGCGTTTATTCACCGTGTCTTTGATTAAAACTTGAGTTGAGCCTTGTAATAATCAGAGAAAATTAGTGTGGCAGTCAATATGACGACGTAACGACAAACATAGGTCGCTCAAATTCAAATAACATCGAAATACACGCCGTTGTCGAGCCGCTCCAAATGAGTCATTGCGATCGATGGTTTCGCCGATCGTCCGATCGAGCGGTCCTAAGTTGCGAGCGCTGATAAAACCTAATGATGTTGTCTACTAAATAGCACTCCTATCGCTGGGAACACGTGTTCCTCGCGATTACGATTCTAACGATTCGCCTTCGTGCCCGGCTGAATATCCAAGCCGTATTCGAAAATATATTAGCTCCACGGCGCCAGATGATCGCGTCCGTCGTAATTAACCGACGGTTGATTACCGCTCGTTTCACGTAACTGTTAAAAAAGAAGAGAACCAAGAAGATCGCGGATTTTCTTACAAGTTGCTATGGGACGGATCTCGATTTTATATTTCTACGCGCGTCCTGATGAACTTGTGACGTTTAGTGAAGCATAAATTTTTCACGCGAATTCCGGCCTGGCGAGTGTCGTAAAATAAATTACTTTACGACGGCGAGATATCATTTTGACGTGTGAAAGACGATAGAATAGATAAGGATCTATGTTTTTTGAAAGAGGAATGCGAGTAAGACACGAAAGAGCGTGTAATTTTACGTACGTTTCTTTGGCCTGATTGCAAAGAAGAGGTGACATTGAAGCTTGAGAATAATTTACGCGCGGGTTTTATTTTTCTTAAGAAGTGTTACTTTTTCTTCTCCTGGAAGCGTCACTGATTTTTATTGCCGATACGATATCCATACGATACGATATGATTCGATATGATAATATCACATTCGTTGATACGATGTCTCGAATTAAGAAAAATCGTTAACCCAATTGTTCGCAGCACACCGATGATGGATCTTCTCGTGCAGATCGCGACGGCGCACAAATTGACGGCATCGAGCTACACCTTGCAGGCGATTGGCGAACGCGGTTTGGTTCTACCTCATCATCCAAATACCCCCATAGGAGCTTTGGACGCACTTCAGGTTAGCTGTACGATGTATTCTGCGCGAAGAACGTATTGTGAAATTTATCAATAATATTGTGTCAATTTTAAAAAGTTTGGTGCGATTTTTCAGTGAAATTGGACTTTATTACATTCATTCGATTCATTAATTAATGAAAATTGCAGTCGGCTAAAATGATTAGCAAGTCAATTAAATTAATCAATTGTCAAACGTATAATTATGAATAATTTGATCGGTTGGTGAAATTAGTTATTAATAAATGTATAATCAGCTAAATCAAAGCAATCGATTGAAACGACCGTTCTGTGTGATCGCGATTTATTTCCGATGTGAATTTTGATAATTTTCACCGACCCAAATTTCAATCGATTAATGTCCAATATTGATTCAATCACAAATTATTCATCGTCATCGTTTCTGCTCATCAAATCATTTTTGCTAACCTTCGGGACATTATCAGTATTGTTGTCTATGCGTAGTGTAATTTATTGAAAATCAGATTTTCTGATCGATCTGCGTTACATCTGCGTTTTCCTCAATTTCTTTGATCTTGAAAGATCTAGTGTGATTTCTTTCATTTTACATCGAGAAAACCCACGCGACATCCACAGACTCTCTCGACGAAGACTCATGACGATATTTTCGCAACGTGCGTTCGCGCAGCTCGGCGACCGAGAAAGTAGCGAGCGTCCTCGAGATCTCGGCGACTATACTTCGATGATAAAAAAACGATCGATTAGAATTGACCCTGCAAACTGATCGCGTGCAATCGATTACGTCGTGCCACCCCTGCATGCTCTGACCTGTGATTGTTGTGTACAAGTAATGACGCCTGATGCTCATGGAAGCGCTATCAGAGTCGTCGAACGGTTTTTCCGTTTGACAGCCAGCCAGTCAAGCAACACGTTAATGATCCTTACAATTTCCTAGTGTCATACGAATTTCTACACGAGAACGCACTTTCTAACGACGATTCTTCGCTCGCTCGTGTGTTGAATTAACCCTTCCGCACGTGGATTCCGCCAGTGGCAATCGCTGTACTTTCTCCGGAACGTTAGAATCGAGTGTTAATACGAGTCGTTTTGTAAATCCGATACACGCGTTGTCATCGGATGCAGTTAAACAGATTGGCTTCCATCTAGTGACTGTTTGCGTTACACTTTCGTTCCGATGCGGTTCGATTATAACTGAAGAAAGAAAGAGAAATTGAGGCTCCTTCCGATGTCCAATCGAATTTAAAAAACAGGGTCATGAGAGCCAGTGCACAGATCTCGTAGCGCAATTAATAACATAGCAATTAAGAAGAATAAATCACATTCATCTAGTTATTTTTTCACTATAGGTCATTAAAATCAAGTATCAAGAAGAAACGGTCAAAATTTACAATTATCATTTCTTCAATACATGAAGCTAAATGCGAGATTACTTTTTAGTTGTTTTCTTGTTTGTTCAGAAATACCGGATGTATCATACTCGTGAGAAACCATTTCCTAAGATCTTTTTATGATTATACATATTAGGTTGTTAAATATGAAATGTCCAATTTCCTTAAGTACTAAGTTCGACAATCGATATCTCTGACATTTCACTTTTACTTTTAGTTCTTGGTTTTTTTGTTGTTGTGAAGGTACAGTCTGTAAAGTAAGAGCGTGTACGGGTTAATGTATAGAAAAATTTATTTTTAATGATTTTTAAGTACATGGATTTGTTGTACTCCATGAGAAGAAAGATGCTATATTATTAATAATGAGTCCAGTCACACCACCGGCATTGATAATTGCCGCCTGGTATCTCCGAGGCATACTTTTCACTAAGTTGACTGCGTATTCGTTCGGTAAAGACTTCCAAATGAGACGAATTTGTCGTGTCAGCTGCTTCAAAGTGCACACTCTTTTTCCTCGAAGCTTGTGCTTGAGATATGACTCACAATACGGCTAAAGAACATTAGGACGATATTTGAAGCCAACTGCCATTTATGCCGTACACCCTCTTACTTTACAGAGCGTACTTTAGCTTACTTTACGAGTTCTGTCGTGGACCCAATACAGCGTAGACAACTCGAAATATCAACCAAGTATTTGGCGAAGATGTGGCTAATGAACGCACAATACGTCGAATACGGTTTGAAAAGTTTCGTTCTAGAAATTTTAATCTTGAAAATGAGTCGCGTGGGCGATCCGAGACCAAGGTGGATAATGATGAGCTGAAAGCTGTGGTGGAAGCGGATACATCCCAAACTACGCGTGAATTAACAGCAAGGTTTAACGTTACTATACCAAAAGTATTGGATCATTTGAAACAAATCGGCAAGGTAAAGAAGCTGGATAGATGGATTCCGCATGAAATAAACGAACGTCAGAAGAGAAATCGTCCCGAAGCTTGCTTTTCTTTATTATCACTATATAAAGGCGAATAATTTTTGTCATCGTATTGTTACATGTGATGAAAAGTGGATATTTTCGACAATCGCAAGCGTTCGATACAACGGTTGGATATAGATGAAGTTGAAACACAATCTGAAACTGAATATTCACAAAAGAAAGCTAATGGTGTCTGGTCGGTGTTCGGTGGTCCAGTGCTGGTATTATCAAATGCAGCTTCGTGAAACCTGGTTAATATCGATCAGTATAGCTGATGTCTCTTGTAACCAACTGGACGAAATAATGAGGATACTTGCGATCAAGCAGCCGAGGTTAGTCAATAGAGATAAGCCAATCCTCTGGCAGGACAACGCTTGATCACACGTCGCACAAACAACATTGCTCAAACAACAGGAGCTAGACTTGGAAACTCTTGTCACCCACCGTATTCACCAGACCTTGCACCAACTAATTGCAACTTCTTCCAGGTACTGGACCACTTCTTGCAAGGAAAAATATTCAGTTCTCAACAAGCTGTGGAAAACGCCTTCCGCGATCTCAACGTCACCCACTTTCCGGGCTTCTTCGTTGCTGGCATAAATAAGCTAGCGTTAAAACGGCGAAACTGTGTCGATAGTTAGGCGCATATTTTGATTAGTTGTATTATTTCTAGTTTGAGATATAATAAAGTAAACTTCTGATTCGAAATCGGACATTTCATACTTAGTGACCTAATATCATTTCACCGATGAATTTTGTGAAGTGATTAAAAAGCGTTTCCGTTGTGGGCGTGTTCCAGGTTAAGTTACTTCCCAAGCAAGGCACTTGTGTACCGCGGAAAACGAAGCAAACTAATCAACCTTTCGAAACGACTTTTAGATTGCAGGTAAAGTAGCTTTGTCGCAATTATTATGGTATCGAACTGGTTCGACGGTTTCACGTTTCGCACGAAGCCAGAAAGTCTTACAATTCTCGGAAACGTACGTATGAAAAATTTCACACTGCTCCAGGTTTCGAAATCGATCGAAAGTATTGCGTCAGAACGACTTCAGTTTCATGAAAACAATGGGTAATCTCTTCCATTAACATGTTTTATTACCGTCTTGCAATACATGACATACGCTACTGCATTGGCCGTCTTTGACGGGCGAATTGGCCAACTCTTAAAATAAGAAAAAAGATGGAGAATGCAAACAGATGTATGATAATGAAATTGAGAAACTCCAGCGAGTATATTTTTCATTGTGTACTTTCGCAATTTAGAATCCACACGTGTCGTCTCGCGAGCGAGGATGAAGGATTTCTAAGAGACGCACACGCAATGGCGTGTCTCTCGCGCGAGATTGTAGCAAATAGAGAGAGAGAGAGAGAGAGAGAGAGAGAGAGAGAGAGAGGGGGGGGAGAGGGGGAGAGAGAGAGAGAGAGAGAGAGAGAGAGACACTTTGACCCGTACTTTCTCGATACCGACAAATGTTGAAAGTAAACGAAGAAGTATCCTCTCTGGCTTCTGCGAGACTCTCATTTAGAATCTCAGTTACGAAGTTCGAGAGTGTACGTATCCGTGCGACGCGAGACGACCCGGTAATGCGATACGCGACAACTTGATCATCGGCGCAGGTGCACCTGCCGAGAAATCAGCTATACGTGTCGAGGGTCAGTCCGAAGATGAATCTGGGAGAAATTCTGGACGAAGTGTGCCGCGAGAAGAATCTGGACAGGAACAAGTACGAGCTTCGTCATCCAGGTGAGTGAGCTGTCGCGCCGGCAGCAGCAGCGTCGGACAAAGCCGCGCGCTGGACTTCGACTTACGTCCGCCGCGCGAAACTGCGGCCGTAAATCCGCGAAATCGAATCGCGTGCGACGCGATAATTTAACCCTTTGAGGCATACGGGGTAAGTATATTTACCACCTATTTATTCTCACATTTTCATGAAATATTTCATATTTGAGGGATTCTTCAGGGTTTTTCGCGCTTTTTAGCTTCTTATATGACATGGGAACATACATGAAAGGTTGAAAAGTGTTTTGCATAAGTTGTCCATTTATTATAAATAAACAGAGTGTGAAAAATACACATTTTTACAGAAAAGAATCATTTTCCACGAGCTATGAGTGAATTTTTTGCTTAAAATCAAGATTTGGGGGTTTCTTTGGATCGCTGATTACGAATCTGAGGTCCACATTCTAAAATTAATTTTCCAAGATGGCGGATTCAAGATGGCGGATCATAGAATTTTTATTAAATTAGCTAAAATTGTACTCTGGTTAGTTTTTGAGATTGCTGATTACGAATCTGAGGTCCACATTCTAAAATTTATTCTCCAAGATGGCGGATCATAAAATTTTTATATGATTAGCTGAAAGTGTAGTTTGGTTAGCTTTCAAGGTCGCTGATTACGAATCCGAGGTCCAAAACTTATTGTCACCGAAATTATCGCGATTTTTCATATTTATGGTCGCCATCTTGGATCCGCCATCTTGAATTGTGAAAATCTGATAACGGATTCGTCATCAGCGACCCCAGAAACCCCCGTATATAAATTTTCATGTGATTCGGATTTTCTGAAAAATATGTGACTCAAAGGGTTAACAAGCGTCGAAAATCAGTGTAGGTCAATCGTGGACAAGAGAGACGCAATATGCGAGTGGCGAGAAAATAGAAGAAAATATTAGGAGGTTGAATTACTTCTGGTCTCTAGCAATAAATGGCTTTAGTAGCAAATTAATGGTTAGTACGAATGATGGAGTCCGGCAACACACACTGAAAGATTTGACATTTCTCTATGACATATGACAGCTTGCATACTATTGTTACTGGTAGTTTCGTTGTTTATACGCGTTTAAAACAGATCGTGCAAAATTGCATCTTCGACATTCATTGCTTCTTTTGTTTGATTTGGAAAAATCGGCAACTGAAGCTCATGAAATGCTTGTTACAACTTATGCTGACCAAGCTCCATCATATTCCAACTGTAAATTTTGGTTTCAACGATTCAAAAGTGGTGATTTCGATTTGAGTGACAAAGAACGTACACTGAGAAAAAAATTGTATTAAAATTAAACAAATATTTGTTCGAATACGACTTTGTGTGAATACATTTACTTAAATTAAGCAATTACTTTCTAAAATTCAAAAAAAAGTCTGCATTCAGAACTTCTGTATTTCATTTTAGAAATTAGTCGCTTAATTTGAATAAATGTATTCACAGTTGTATTAGAACAAATATTTGTTTAATTTTAATACAACTTTCTCAGTATACTGTTCGACTAAAAAAGTTCGAAGATGCTGAATTGTAAGCATTATTGAATGAAAACACCGCTCAAATGGCAAAATAATTGGCTGAACAAGTCAACGTCGATAAATCAACAATTTTTAAACGCCTACACGCCACGGGAAAAATTCAAAAGGAAGGCAAACGAGTTCCACGTAAATTGAGTGAAAGTGCCATTGTAAATCGTTTGAGTATCCGCCATGTTTTTTTGCTTGCCAGACAGAAAAAAAGATTTTTTGTGGCGAATTGTAACTGGAGATGAAAGGATTTACTTTGATAATCCAAACCGAAAAGAATCATAGGTTGATCCAGGACAACCATCAATATCGATACCAAAATGGAATATTCACGGTCACAAAGCAATATTCCGTATTTGGTGAGATATGGAAGGTGTGGTATACTATACCATAAGCTTCTAATACCGAATGAAACAGTTACGGGAGAGCGATACCAGCAACAATTGAACAAATTGAATGATGAATTGATGCAAAGAAAGGCTAGCGATAGCCAGCAATAGACGCAAAGTGATTCTTTTGCACGATAATGCTCGTCCACATGTTGCTTCGATCGTTAAACAAGCATTGTTAGAGCTCGAATGGGAAATCTCCCCCCCCCTCTCCCATCCAGCGTACTCTCCAGACCTAGCATCATCTGATCACCATCTATTCCGACCGATGCAACACGCTTTGGCAGGTACACACTTGAATAATTACGAGGATGTGCAAAAATGGGTGTCTGATTGGATCGCTTCGAAAGACAGATCGCTCCATCGTCGCGGAAACGCTACGTTGCCAGAAAGATGGGAAAAAAGTCACAGCTAACGGACGGGAAATATTTTGATTGATGTAAATTTAACGATTTCTTTAAAATAAAGATTAAAAGAATCGACAGAATAAGACCGGAATGAATTCAACCTCCTAAATATAAATATAACACAAAACCTCCTAATATAAAAGTAACGCGGACGGATTAACCGGAGAAATAATTCCGCGGTAATTCACAGCGATAAGCGATACTTCTACGGCTTCTATCGTTTCGACAAATTGCTTGCCGTATTACTTACCGAAGGAAAGGCGTGTAATAGGAATAGCCTTGCGTAATGATACTACCACGTTACTCGGGAGATACTCGGGCGATCATACACACACACACACACACACGTGCGCGCGCGCACGCGATTAGAACTGTGCCCCAACAATACCGATTAATGTCGTTGCGACAATTGTCGTTGCATTATATAAATACTAATTAGATGATTTGCGCAACGCGACAGGTGGCGGGTCACGCTGCTAGAGGAATTGAAACGCCGACTCCTCCTACGCCTCGCTGTCGACCCACCTGAGACGATAAATCGCGTTTTATCGGCGAATACGTGTTCGCGTCGTCGTCGTCGACGATTGCCAAATAGGAATAAATAGATTCGTTCGCGAGACGAACGTTTGATATTTGAAACCAGTAGCGCGGCTTGTCACTTTTTAGAGAAATTTTATTTAAATCGGACGAACGAGTTTGGAAGCGAGGGGCAACTGCGCACACGAGGCAACCAGGCCATATATAACGGCATTGGAAATCCTGATATAAATAAAATCGCGCCAAAGTCGCGTTTCGTCGTATTAAGGTCTCGCGTCGTGACGTTAATGATTATTCTCAGCGAATTCTTTCCACTGAACTCTGTCGTCCTAGGAAAATCGCATATTACGCACCGAATATTACACAATTCCGTATCGGTCCGCACATACATTCGCGTTATGTAACGTCACTGACCACGCTAATATAAACAAGATGCGAGTAACAAACCGGGTAATAAGCGTAGCCCGGATTTCAATGACATGTCGTGTCTTTTCTTCTCGCGACTCGACGCTCGTCGATCACGTGCGTAAAACGCGAGCTCTATTTACAAAATACGTCGTGTTGCCTTCGAACACGCTGACGCGCCGCGACTTTTCACGTGTTTGTTACGCGCATGCACGATTTCAAGCAGCCCTTATCAGCGACATGGAAGACTCGTGCGGAGATAAAAACAGCCGAGGCTGGCCGACTCGATGAATTTAAGCGAGCTAAGCTAATGTTTATTAAAAGGCATATGCAAATACCGTGTACTGCGTACGCACGCGATCATGGTGACTATTTGCGGCGATGAATACCTGCAGTCGTATTGCGAAATGCTGCTTTTCGTAACGACTGCGTGTCGCGCATTCTTTCCGCTGTCGAATAAATATTCAGTGGATCGCGACGGGTTTCCATGCTTAATCGACAATGTCGCGCGCCACGTTCTTTCTCACGTAATTATTAATGTTTTACATCAGACGTTAGTTGCGTCGAGGCACTTCACTTTTGACGCGAGAATGCGCAATCCTCGTCGTAGATTTTCTCTGAAGTCTTTGTTCGTGAATGTCGTTTTCCTCGTGCCTTCGCATGTAACAGTGGCTGGATGAAAAGAAAAGTATTAATACACACAGGACGAGCTTGCCTCTTCGGAAACGAATTTGCTCAAGTCAGGAGGAGCTGATTGAATGTTAAAGTGACAAATGCGACATATCCGGCGATCATATCGCGAGATCTCTTCTGTTCTTATTATGGGATTTCGTGATGAATATTTATTTGTAGTAATCAGTAACAGTAACAAACACACGCGTCACGCATAGGTATGCGCTCATCATTTTTTGACTCGTCCTTGGACGTTAGAAGTGTTGTCATTGGAGAAATCCGCAGTCGATTGCCCAGATATATGTGATAATATAAAGGATATTATTAGGAGTATCGTTTAGTTTTGAGGGTTTTTTCTCAAAAACTGATTTACTTAAACAAGATAAGAATTAACGAATACTTTAATCAAAATATAATCAAAATATTTTCTTTTGTTTTCTATAACTTTTTATCATCTTTCTCTGGCAAGAAACAGATTCCGCAACGATAAAAAGATTTTTTTGGAATTGATCCAATTTTCAAACAAACTTTTGCATTTCAAACTTTTCTGGTTGTCCCGAGCGATCTTTGTCGTTAATGTTGAAATCGTCCACTTTTGAATCGTCTAAATCAATATTCACATGTCTTAATTGATGGAGCAACATCACCGATAAGTTTCTATCAGAATTCTATGACTTTCAGTCGTTAATCCATGATATTTATTAACAATAGTCATTTACTAACAATAAACGCAGTACAAATCGTGCTAATCTCCATTTTAAAAATGGAGCTTCCTAAAGAGCATTTTCGACATGCATTGCTTTTGTTTTTTAATCAGAAGAGAATGGCGGCTGAAGGTCATAGAATTCTGGTAGAATCTTATGGTGATGTTGTCCCATCAATTAATTGTATTGTGAGTATTGGTTTAGACGATTCAAAAGTGGTGATTTCAACGTTAACGACAAAAATCGCTCAGGATAACTAAACAAGCTTAAAAATACAGATTTACAAACATTATTGGGTGAAAATTTAGCACAATCCACTTTAGAATTTGCCAGAGCATTAAACAGTTGCTAAACGTTTACATGATATGGGAAAGGTCTACAAAGGAGAAAGATGAATTCCACATGAATTATCGGAAAATGCTATTGCGAACTGGTTGAACATTTGCATTTTATTGATCGCCAGAAAAAGAATGAAGTTTTTTGTATCGAATTGTTACTGGCGATGAAAAATGGATCTAGTTCGATAATCCCAAACGAAAAAAATCGTGGTTTGATCTAGATCAACCAGCAACATTCACTTGGAGGCGCAATATTCACGGTTCAAAGGTACTGCTGTGTATTTAATGAGATCAAGAAAGTGTACTATGAACTGTTAAATTCGAATGAAACTGTCACCGCCGTTATCGACAACAATTATACAAATTGAAATGAGCATTCGACTAAAAACGATCAGCAGTTGCGAGTAAACGACGCAAAGTAATTCTTCTTCACAATAATGCTCATCGTTGCATTATCGGTGAAGCAAACGCTATTAGAACTGGAATAGCGAAGCAAGTCTTACCGCACCCCACGTATTCTCCAGACTAGAAATGTGCGAACTATTCGAATTCGAATCGAATCTAATATAATTCGAATCTGAATCCTTATGATTCGAATCCGAATAATTCGAAAATTTCAAATCGTGAAGGTTCGAATACGAATCAAATACATTAACGTTTGCGCGCGTCAGCTACAAAACGGGCCATCTGGACTTGTATGTTTGAACCCTTAACCTGTAATTAACTTAACTTATAATTAATAACTTAATTATAAATTACTTTAGATATTTAAATATATATTTTACTTTAAGATGATATTACAATATCAATATTCCCTTTCGTATTAAAATCTTCCATCATTACTTGCATGTTTGATAGTCACGTTAAATTTTTTAATGATTCCATTCGATTTCATTCGATTCGATTCGAATTCCAATGAAATTTCATAGATTCGATTCGATTCAATTCGACATAAAAATTCTTGATTCGCACATCTCTACTCCAGACATTGCTCCATCCGATTATCACTGATTCCGATCGATGCAACATGCTTCAGAGGATACTACTTTCATAACATACTTTCATAACTTCGAACAAGTGCGAAAATTTATTGAAAGTCGGATGAATTTCAAAGAAGAATCTTTTTATCGTCGCGGAATCCATCTCTTGGCAGAAAGATGGGAAAAAGAAAACGGAGGAAAATATTTTAATTAAGGTGTTCGTTCTTGTTTATCTTGTTTAAGTAAATCAGTTTTCGGGAGAAAATTCTCGAAACTAAATCATATTCATAATACATGTATCAATATTGCTGAAAGAGTTGAGAATCATGAGGAATAGAGTATCAAGTTAGAGCTCTCACTATTGAGGCACATAAAAAAAAGACTGTCCACGTAAGAACGCGAAGGCGGCACAAGACGGTGGAAAATAGAAACGAGCAATTTAGCAATTTTACGGAGCGTCTGCATAGTCGAGCGACACACGCAAAGGCGTACGGCTTCGGAAGCCGAGTCTGGATGTTGCGTGCACGCAAATGACAGACACAATCCAATTTTCCGGAAACGCTTTCCGCATTACGCGCCGATGAAAGTCTTCGTTCGACTTGAGCGACTCGCTCGCTGAGCTCCCTCGCTCATTTTGCGACTGAACTCGTTTCGAGCACCGTGCGCGCACATTTAGATGCTCGTTCGCGTACGTTCGATCGAAAGTGATTTAATTATTTTCCTCAAACACGAATTGCGCGCTATGATTGCGAGAATCCGGCGCGTTTGATCCATCCGAGATGTAAAAGTCACGCGAGCCACGCATTTTTAATATAAACCCCCAGACTCGCAGACGCTCTTTACGGCGAGGAGGAAGTTCAGTAACTCGGAGAGAGACGACCGCGAGTTACTTCCCCGCCGAGCGTCTTTGTGGAGAAGCGGCGCGCAACTTATATAAGGCGGCCCGCGAGCCGCAAGACGTGCAGAATCGGTATTGAAGCTGAATTCCACCTGAAGCTGAAACGAAAACACACAAACGCACTTCGCTTTCCGCCGGGCAAAAATACGTATAATAACTCCCCGATTACTTTTCCGTTCCATTTCAACCCAATAGAGAATGATCTGCATCTATCGGATAGCTCTGTCGAGTACAAGCGACAATCATAAATAATTCATGCCCACTTAATGTCCTTGATTTACATAAATATTTAATAACATATAATTAAATATTACTGAACGCGATCGATTTGCGAGTTAGCATCATTATCCGCAGCGCGACTGAAACAAGGATAAACAAGAAGCCTCCCAGGGCGGGTGGTCGCAGCGCGAAATAATTTCCCAGTGTTCAACCGTGAAGAGAACGAAGGTTCTCTCGCTGAGTCCGAACGCACAGCACGTCAGCAGCAGTCCCGCTAAACGCCGAAAGCGACAGCAGCGTTACAATGAATGATGCAACCGTCAAGTGTCATGCACCGCGCTCGTTACATCGCGCTCGCATTGTCGGGAGCGGGAGATTACAACATTGACGTAACATCGCCGTCGCTTGGTGTTATCCGAGCTCTGCTGGATCGCCGGCGACGTGCCCCGCCGACAAGGCTCACACTTCCACCTGACTGACGGGACACCGCGTATATCGCGACGCTCAGCCGAGCCGTGCACGAGATATTTCAGTTAGCTAGTTACAGCGGCTGGCTGCTGAGATCGCTATCGCAAGGTTGCCGGCTGGCTCCTCGAGCACTTGTTACTCCTAGTCGTTAGGCGGCTCTCCGTGCTCTCTTCTCGTCGTCCTCGCGAGGAAGAGCGAACGTAAACGCCGACGCCCCGCGCCTGCCAGCCTGCCCGCCCTCCCCTCTCCCCCTCCCGCCCTCTCGCGTATACGCTTTATAATTGATCCGCACCGCGCTGCATTGCGTTGCAGCGCGCCGCGAGGGGAGCGGAGAACACAATTCCAGTTCCCGCTCGCATACCTCCCGGTGCATTCACGCTCTCGCGCCGACGAGAGTCCCCCGGTCGACTGCTGCGACGCGTGAGACGCCGCCGATGCTACCGCGGGCACGCTACCGTAACACAGGTAGGGGAATATGAAGCTGCCGAGTGTTCGGCCGGTGAACGCCGCGAAAATTGCTCCTCCGCGCGCCGATTTGTGCTTAGGTGTCGTTGCTGCCTCCGCGCGCCACCTCCTCGGGGAGAAGCAGATGGACCCCTCTCCCCCCCCTCTCTCTCTCTCTCTCTCTCTTTCTCTCTCTTTCTCTCTCTCTCTCTCTCTCTCTCTCTCTCTCTCTCTCTCTCTGTCTCTCGTCGTGGAGCTTTTCAAAGTCGTTACGCGAGCTCTCTTATCGGCGGTTTTATCGCAATCACACGACGAAAAAAGATTCGCGTCGTACACCAGCGCGTGTCTACATGTAAAGACAGGTCGGGATCTTCCTGAGGAGCCGTAGTGGAATTTCAACCGCGTGAACCGCGGACTGTGAGAAATCGCAGTCGTCTGTGCAACGTGACGTAACACATTACGCATAAGCTGTGAACTCTCCTGCTCACTGTCGCGCCAATTAGCGGATCGTTCGTTCGTTTTGTGCCGATTTTATGCGACCCGTCGTACTAGTACGCCGTATTAGTCACCTGCGCTGATCTACGTTGCGGTGTTATCGTGTCTGCCGAGTAACATGTCTCTCGTGGTAATCGCGAGACTTCAAAACCACGTAATCATTTTACGTGATTACGTTGTGCGTCTTAGAGCGATCCGAGTGTCGAGCGAAATCTGAACGAAAGGTTCAACGCAGGCCACACGTTGCCACGTGTTGATCTCATAGAACTGCCGAAAAAATTAACGCGACCTATATTTTTATCAGAGTAGTCTAGCAGGTGATAGGTACTTGGAAAAAAGAGATACATCATTGGAGGACGAAAATGTTTATTCGTTCGTAAATTAGAAATTACAAACCGGTCATTTTTGCCGCTTTGGTAGTAGTTCTATTCATAGCCAGTCAGATCTATATTTAAGATCGTCTGAAGTTCACCTTCAACTGCATCGTACAAACAATCCGTACAGCATATGAAGATGGACGTGAGATAATCTTGAACATAAGATCTGGCTATATAAATATCTTAAACTGTGTCAAACTGTAATATCGTGATACAGCTTCTCAGACATATCTCCCTGTTCACAGCCAACTTGGAGGAGACGCTGGACCTGGCGCTGTCGCTGCAGGACTACCACCTGCAGGAGGTGACTCTGTACGCGAAGCAGGCGCGGACCCTGGGCCCGACGCTCAGCACGCAGGACATAATGGCGCTGCAGCGGCAGGAGGAGCGGCGCCGTCAGCAGACGAAGCAGAGCGTGTTCGGCTTCATGTTCAAGAAGTCCAAGGAGAGCTCGTTGAGCACAGACAGCCTCGGCGGCCGCAGTGTGTCGCCGGCCAGGAGCGACGAGACCGGGAGGAGCGCCAGTCCCCTTCAGCCGCCGGCCCGGCCGCAGCGGAAGCGCAGACCAGCCCCGAAGCCGCCGACCGACGCAGTTGCGATTGACCAAGACACGTCTGGGCAGGACGGCGGCAAGGACAAGATGGTGATCAATCACAGCCGCAACAGCAGCGACAGCTCAGGTTACCACGAGGCTTCCGTTCTCAGCGACAACCCGGACTCGGCCGCGCGGTTGCCGGAGACCCTGCCGCGAAGGAGCAAAGCGCCAGGGATGTCTGATACCCCCAGGAAATTGGCGCAGACCTCGCAGTCCAGCAAGAGCTTGGGCAACCTAGCGGTTGCGGCGACGACGGCGGCGGCGGCGGCGGCGACGATGATGACCGGTGGTGGCACGCTCACCCGGGGCATCAGCAGCACCTCGCTCAGCTCTACCGGTGAGATTTGATTTCCTACGGCTCACTTGGTAATCACGTGGCCGTTTATCGCATGTACATACAAATGCGTCTCTCGGCCTCTCGGAGTCTCAATATTTGGCTGCGCATATCTCGAAGTAATTGTTTCGGATGTTTGCTCAGCGTTGTACTGTTCGGATGCTCGGATGGAACATTGCGCAGATGCTGGTTGCCCTCTGTATGGATCTCAAATACATTGAATTTTAGCCCTTTCATTAATCTTTAAATTTTATCAAAGTGTTGGCGAATGCGCTAATTTTCCAACGCATAATGTATCGTACACATGTGTAACATTGATTTGTAGCTTTTATTAACTTTCGTATCTTATTAAAGTTGATGAGTTGAGATGCAGAATCATGTTCAATTTCATATACCAGTATCTTTTACATCATGCATCGAGTTGTCTCGACACATGTTGTTCCGTCGTTCTGTACGTCACATTGTTAACTTTGTACGAGAAAAAAAAACGATTTCGGTCAACAGGATTTTCTGTTTTCTGAACAATATTAGACGAGATTTCGGTTGTTACAGAACACGAACAACTTGAAGAACTGATAATAGAAAAATTCCTTCAAGAAAGATCCCTCAATTAATTGCTCTCGATCATCTCAACTGAGTTTTAAAGCAGCTAAATACTCAAACGAATATTTTCGGTTGCAACAACAGAGATTTTACTTCTCGTTACTTGATTTCCGTTTAATTCCTATTCAGTTGCGTTCGGTTGTAGTCAAATTCAGACATTTCTTTCCAATGTGCAAATTCTGTTTTGCACATTATATTGTGCATCGTTGTTCTTCGAACTATAGATATGATCCCAAGCAGAGATTTTGATTCTACTTTTGACTCGTATTATTTAATATTTATAGATTCTGGGAGATGAATATATAGAGACCTAATTTATTAAGAGGATGAATTAATTCTGGTCTTATTTTGCCAACTTTTTTATCTTTATTTTAAAGAAATCGTTAAGTTTACATCGTTAAGTTTACATCAATCAAAATATTTTCCGTCGTTAGCTGTGACTTTTTCCCATCTTTCTGGTAACACAGCGATTCCGCGACGATGGAACGATTTGTCTTTCGAAGCGATTCAATCAGACACCCATTTTTACACATCCTCGTAATTATTCAAGTGTGTACCTGCCAACGCGTATTGCATCGGAATAGGATGGTAATCAGATAATGCTAGGTTTGGAAAATACGCTGGATAGAGGAGGGGAAGATTTCCCATTCGCGTTCAACAACAATGTTTGTTTAACGATCGAAGCAACATGTGGACGAGCATTATCGTGCAAAAGAATCACTTTGCGTCTATTGCTGGCTATCGCTGGCCTTTTTTGCATCAATTCATCATTCAATTTGCTCAATTGTTGCTGGTATCGCTCTCCCGTAACTGTTCCACTGTTTGGTTTTAGAAGCTCATAGTACACACCTTCCATATCTCAGCAAATACAGAGCCATTGCTTTGTAACTGTGAATGTTCCGTTTTGGTGTCGATATTAGTGGTTGTCCTGGATCAGTCCATGATTTCTTTCCCTTTGGATTATCAAAGTAAATTCACTTTTCATCTTCAGTTACAATTTGCTACAGAAAAATTCTTTTTATTTGTCTGGCAAGCGAAGACATGGCGATATTCAAACGATTTGCAATGGCACTTTTACTTAATTCGCATGAAACTCATTGGCCTTTCTTTTAAATTTTTCCCATAGCGTGTAGGCGTTTAGAAATTGTTGATTTATCGACGTTGAGTTGTTCAGTCAATTGTTTTTTCCGTTTGAGCGGTGTTTTCATTCAATAATGCTTGCGATCCAGAATCTTCGAATTTTGTTGGTTGATCAATACGTTCTCTGTCACTCAAGTCGAAATCGCCACTTTTGAATCGTTGAAACCAAAATTTATAGTTGGAATACGATAGAGCTTGATCATCATAAATTAAGTAACAAGTATTTTATCAGCTTCAGCCGATTTTTTCAAATCGAACAAAAAAGTAATGAATGTCGAAAATGCAGTTTTGTACGATCCATTTTAAACGCAGATAAAATCCAACATTCGTACTAACCATCAACTTGTTACTAAAGCCATCTATTGCTAGGGACCAGAATTAATTCAACTTCCTACTATATAGAAATAAAAGTCCTGTTCGACGTTTCGAAGTGACGAAAAACCATGTTTGCCATTTGTAGGCTCTTAACCCTTTTACTGCTGAATATTACTTCCCTTGAGAAAATTATTAAAATATTTGGTAGTCCTACGTTTTTTGGGTCGCTGATTACGAATCTAAAGTCAGATTTGCAAAATTCAAAATGGCGGACTCAATATAGCGATCATGATGTACAAAATTAACGAAAATTCCAATTATTATTAAATAATAACCAAGTCGTAATAAGAACATATGATTCTAGACGATGGAACTCGATCGAGCTGGAAAAAATTTATGTGGGGAAATGTTCAATACTGCATATTTATGCTTATTTATACTAGAGATTAAACATTTCTGAGTAAAATAATATTGATAATATGGATGAGATAGAGATATAGAATGAAAAAACTAGGAAAATAGAGCTAAAAAGTGCAAAAAAATCAAATTTCGGCCGTTTTGGCAGAAATATTTATTTATAAAGAAGAATCTAACCTGCAAAAAAATACTGAAAAAAATATACGCTTTTGTACAATATCAGAAAAATATTTGGTGAAAATTTCAGACCTCTACATTCAATACACTTTCCGAGGAATCAATTTTCCCCTAAAAAAGTTTTTTTTTTCAACTTTGATTTGTTACAAATAATCACAAATGAATCGGGTATAAAAACCTATTGGAGTATGTTGAACAACTGTTCAGTTATCTGGAAAACTCAAATCTCCGATTAGTGCTTCTAAGATTATGTGATTTACAAACAACGCAAAATTGAATCGAGGGAAATTAGTGGGAAGTATACTTCCCACTAACAGTGAAAGAGTTAAGACTTCTCGACAAAATTGCAGGTTAAACAGAATCAAGATAGCTTGACATAAGCTTCAGAATATTAAAATAGCGTTAAGTGGAATATCGAAGAATACCGAAAGTAGGATCAACATTTCGATTCGGGTCCGTTTTCCGTCCCGTGAACTCCGCACGCACGTGAAACGCAGCGTGAACGCTCTTTTCGCGAGTGCACGCTTACGCGTGCGAGCCGCGAGGTTGCTTCACGCATTACGCCATTCGCAATATTACGGTCAACGGGAATCGCTTGCACAGGTCTCCGAAAGAAGAGAGCCGCACCTCCCCCGCCGGCGCCGAGACCGCTCTCGTCAGCTATTTCGACGCAGGCCTTGGAACGTATCGTCGACTCCGAGGAGTCGCTGACGTCCGACATGGATCCATCGAAGCCGCCGTCGGACATCGGCGCGCCATCGAAAGCCAGCTCCGACATCGACTGTCCAAAGGCCAACTCCGACATCGGCATCAGCACGCAATCGATGCGTCAATTGGACTACAAGCCGAAAGCGGAAGTCTCCGCTGCCGCGGAAGCGTGCAAATCCGCCGAGTCCGACGTGCCGCAGCAGAGCGTCCAGCCGCGTCCCGTTAAATCAGACCCGGTCGAGCGTAAGCTCCTCGTCAAAGCGGACCCGGACGTGCCGGTCGCGCCTGTAGAAGCAGCCCCGAGGCTAGAACAAGCTAGAGTAGCGGCCAAAAGAGGTAAGCTAGTGCACAGTGCCAGTAGCTCGCACGCTTCACCCCGTGACCCGAAAACGCGAATCGCTCGCCCGGTCGCGGCGAATCCGCGCCGCGAAGAGGCCGGTGAAGGTACAAAAGCAGCGACATCGCGTGCCGCTACCGTCGCTTCGGAGAAGTGTAGCTTCCCGGCGCCGGAGAGGAGCAAATTGCGCGCCGCTAGTCAGAGCTGCCGATCCCGGCGCTGCGACGACCGTCCCGTGACCGTCATCAGCCGCGCGAGTGACGCCTCGCTCGGCGTCACCGTGAAAAATCATATTCGGAACGTGACGGGCCAAATGCCGAGGTTCTGTCGAAAGCCCCCGGTGAGACAGGCTTCGTACGACGGTCACGAGACGTCCGTTCCTTCGAATGATCGTCAGCTGGTCGCGAACGCGTCGAGCGGCCGTAGCCGTAGCGACGACGAACGTAGCTCCAGGGGAAGCGATCGTACGAGCGGGAGACTGCCGAAGACGCGGGCGTTAGCGGGTCGGGAAGTCGTGAAGTCGAGCGCGGGGAGCACCTCGAAGCGAGAGGCGCCGGAGAACAGGTGCGGTCGAGGTTCGAGATCTTCGCGCAGTAACAGCTACGTTCGTCGCCACGAACGCGGGAAAGTCTTAGCGCACAGTATGAGCTTCCAGGACAACGTGACGGTCGCTGCGAGAGAAACCCAGCCAGTGAACACCGTCGGTAAGCCGGCTTTAACTTCGGCGCAGAGTCTTCGCTCGAGGTATTGCTCGAAGTCGACGCCGGTTTTCCCGTCGGAATTCCTCGCGCGTACGCCGAAATTGGGCGAGCTGCGCACGACCAAGTGTCACGTGAATTCCGTCGTTTCCGCGAGCGACAGCCGCTGCGGCTGCGGCAATTTTACGGAGCGCCACGCGGAAAGCAATTTGTCTCCTCCGCCGTTGAGCACTTTGCAGATCTTTGCGATCTCCACCGGGCCGTTGGATATACAAGTGACGTCCCCGGATTCGATACCGAGCGACATCGACGAGCTACCGTCGTTGCCTATTATAAATCACAGCGAGAGCAAGTCGGAGGAGAGAAAGTTAAGCATCCTCGAGCCGCCGCCGCCCGGTCTAGTGAGTCGCCAGGAATCGAACGACAGCTGGAATCGTTTCCTGGTCCAGCTGAATTCGATCCTTGAGAGCCGGGCCGGCGAGTTCGTATAAAATTTCATAGCGGAACTGCTGACGACTAACGACTTCTTTCTTTTAGACTAGTTCAAATGTCACAGGTATTGAGGAAATACGAAATGCGAGGAAAGAAGGGTCCATTTATTTATCTTTTTCTTCTTATTCCACGTCGATCAAAAAAACATACATTGAAAAAGTGCGAGGGAAGGAATATTTACTTATTTTCAACATCAATGAGAAATGTAAAAAACACTGTTATGAGTTTGAGTAAGTTTTATAAAAAATTACAAAGGAACCACTTGGACTCCTTTGGTGATTCTAATATTAATATTAAGATATCATAGCGATATTATTCTATTAAAATTATATTATAGTTCTTAGTTTTTTTTTTTCGGACGAATTAGATTTTCATTCAGGTGTTCTCTCCCGAACGTCGTATGTCGTCGCAGTTTTTCCTCTTCTGGAATTATTGAGTTGTTCAGAAAGTAATTTCAGTTTTTTTAAATAAAAATGAAGGACGATATTTTTAATAGAAAGAAAAGTTTTATTCTGTTAAGTATCGACCATTTTGTTCTAACAAAATTTTTGTCAACTTTGAGATAATAACGTGACTCCACGCTTGTAGAACATCTGATCCTTATTGACAAAAAAACTGAATTAAGTGGTTCTTGACACTTTCATTTGAATCAAAACTTTTTACCATCCAAAGAATGTTGTAGTGACCGAAACAAGTGATAATCAGATAGTGCCAGATCGGGTGAATGTGATGGATGCGGTAGCAAATCCCATCCAAGCGCTAACAACTTCTGGCGAGTCATTAAACTTGTGTGAGGTCTGGCGTTGTCGTGATGAAACACGACACCTTCTCTACTCGCCAATCTTCTGGTCTCTTCTGCTTGATGGAATCATTCAATTTGTCCAATTGATGACAATACACATTCGAATCAATCGTTTGGTTGTTTGGTAACAGCTCAAAAAAACCATTCCTTTCCAATCCCCAAACAGAGAGCATCACCTTCTTTTGATGGATATCAGTTTTCGGTGTCAATTTTGAGTTGGTTCATCACGTCGGCTCTGTGATCTTCTGCGTTTAATATTGTTGTACACAATCCATTTTTCATCTCCAGTTATGAGTCGCTTCAGAGGTGGGTCGCTCTTCTCATGTCTCAACAGCAAATCGCAGATGGAATGCGACGAATCTCTTTCTTTGAAAATGTGTGGAACCCAAATATCGAGCTTTGGGGCAAAACCAAGTTGTTTCAAATGCTCATGCACGATCGAATTCGATAAATTCAATCTCTCAGCAATTTCTCGTGTTGTTAAACGACGATTTGTGTCCCACCAATGGCTTTATTTGATCTTCATTAGCCTCAGCTGGCCTTCCAGAACGCGATACATCTTTGGAAGGTCGAAATTCTCAGAACGAAGTTTCAAAAACCAATTCTGACACTGGTGTTCAGGTAACACATCCTCTCCGTACACGGCACACAATTTTTGTCTTGCTTACGCTACATTTTAACTTTTACAATAACAAAAAAGTAAAAATGTGACGAAAATGCTCACGTTGGTTTTCTATTTTTGATGCGACGCCAAACAAAAACAACTTGATAGATTCCAAAACAACTTTTTTTTCAAATGAAGCTTGAAACGTGTGTTGTAAAAATGTAAAATGATTTTCCGGTTTAGAGAAGGTTAACTGCTTGAAAAGGCAACTAACAGCATCTATTTGAAAAAACCGAAATTAGTTTCCGAACAACTCAATAAATGTCGCGACGTTCGAATCCCAAACATCGACATTAAGCATCTCCGAAGCTCTTGCGCGATGTCCAGTGGACGCTACCTTCATCGTCTTCGGCTGCGCTTTCCTAACTTTTCCTCCAATAGATTGTTAGAAAGTTTTTGGTTGATGGAGTTATCTTTGAAACATTTTGCGTCGAATGTGCATACGTTAAGACGAGGTTTGGACTCGCTCGACTTTTCCAATCAGTTGTATTAAAACGAAGAATAAAAGTATGGAGTTCAATTATTGGTAGCTGCAGCACCGTTGATTGGTTGATTTTATGCACTGTTACAACACTATCGATCTATTATTGTAGCATTTCAATTTACTAGCACAACCTTCTCGCAACAGTGCGTTCTCTTCCGCTTGAGAAACCGAATAACGTCCGAATCTTTCGAACGTTGAGAAAACAAGACAGACACAAGATTCTACACTGAAACCCAATTCTGTGCTTCTCTATCGGGATACTCTCGGGTAGTAATAAGTAGCCTCGTTGCACGCAGTTCGACGGACCCCAGGTATCCCCTGTAAACACATACCCCCCCCCCCCGATTCAGTCCCACCCGCTTGTCGTCAGCTTGTATTTTCGGTGACGGTCGTTTTTTCTTTCTTTATCCAAACTAGCTGGAGAACCTGCACCCCTTCCCACGCCTCGAAAGATTAACGCAGCTCCGAATAGCGCTCCGATAGCTCCGAAGGTACCCAAACGTAAAGTAGCCCAACCGCCTTTGGCACTGCCCAGAACCTTCAGCACTGAACGCGATAGCGCGAGCGGTTTATCGCGCGAAGAGCACGTCGACGAGGCGCATAGCGACGCTTCGAGTGTCGAGATTACGACGGCACCGTCGGACGAAGGTGCTCCCGTCAAGTGTATAGAGAGAGAAGAAGAAGCACACTTCAAGTCGAGAGACAAGTGCGCGCCTTCCGACGGGGATAAGTCCAGCCAACGACGGAGAAAGTTATCGGAAACCATCAGCGATGTTACAGTCGAACATGACGCATCCTTAAGATCGCGCCAGAGTCACGAAATGGAGAGCGACGTCGAGTCGGACTCGAAATCTACGGAACCGACACACGTTGAAGCGGAGAAGAGGCGTTCCGAAAGCGAACACGACTCTCCGAGGGAGGATGAAACGAGACGCGACAAAAGGACGTCAAACATCGTCGGTGACGCGGAAGATCTTGAATCGTTAAATCTGAATGAAGCTTCGAGTTGTCACGATGCAGACGCGAAGTGTGAATCAAATTCCATCCTTGCGGGTCAGAGAGTGTCGTCAACGAGTGCATCCTCGCTCGAAGTCACGTCTGAAAGGCAAGAGGGCCACTTATCATCGGCGCAAGGTCGCGAGGCGCAGCGTGAAGATGAGAATTCACGGGGCGAAAACGAGAATCAGCGTGCCCGCGCGTACGCGCCGCCAGAAGACGACAGTCTGAACGAGAGTGCAACCAGACCACCGGATCACGTGGCTGAAGAGCTGAAGAGAGTCGAGCAGCCGAGGCCGCTGCATCGTGGATCCGCTTGCCCAGAAAGACCGCCCAGGTCGCCGAGGAAAACGGTTTCTATCCGCGAGAAGTCCGGGAGCAACGTCGAGACGGCGAAGTATGTTCATCCGGAGGACGCGACGACGAGTGACGACGCGATAGTGAAGAGCAGCATCCTCGGGAGAGACAGAGAAACCTGCTCGGTGATCTCCACCATACCCAAGTGCGAGCATCTTGACGCTATAAAGGAACACGGCGCTTTAGCGAGCCTCATCGTCGCGTCGACGGATCATCATCAACACGACGATGAGCATTCGCAGGTGAAGGATGTGACGGCGGAGGAGTGTGAGAAACAGGAAGGCGGCGGAGCTGAGTCGCATGGTAACGAGGCGAGGAGCGCTAAACGTCCAAAGGTGATCAGAAGCCAGTCCAAGTCGGACGACTTCCAAATGAATGCCCTGAAGAGGCAGAGGAGATACTTCACCTCGCCTCCGGAAGACATCGTGTACGCATTGAACCTGAACCTGCCCGAGACGCGAAACTCGATGTCCTCGCATGCGGCGAAGATGGAACGACAACGGGCTGCTGCAGCACGGTGCACTAATGGTACAAGGGATGTGGATGTAGATAAAGGAGAATCGCGCGGTGGACTAGTCACAGGTGCATGTCGCTGTACTACTAACGTTTTATCTCGATCTCTCGCGCTGCCCACTCCGTGAGTTCTTGACCCTTTCAGTCTTGCGTCCTGTCGGAGCGGCCGCTGATTTTGTAAGTTGTATTCTATGTTCATCGGAGCTTTCCGAATTGATTATTTCAATCAAAGTTACTTCAGTCCGAGATTCTTCGTTGTATAAATTCGTGTTTTAGATCCAAAAAGTTTTGAAATTATTGATTCTAAATATTTCGGGAAATTGCCTGTTTGTCATTACTTTTCTATTAAGGTCTATAATTAATTTCCTATCGAGGTTTCAGACTGAAAATGTCAATATCGCACGGATCATATTGATGAGTAATTCACAATTGCTTTACAGCCCGAGCAATCTGAATACTTGCTCCACGAGTTTGTGTGTCAATAGATTTGAATAATATCCGCTTGTGTGTGTAGAAGGTGATGGTTACTTGCATGTGTATACTGAAATAACTTTCTATACTTATACACATTTCAATCTATATTAATATCGTATAAAACACTCGACATTCTCTTACATCATATAGAGCGTCCTGTTTTAAATGAGCCAGGCGAAAATCTCGAAAAATATGAAAGATACTAAGAAACGTTTCAGACAAGAGAAGTTGTATGATCTCAAAGGAGACATCAAACAACTATATCATTTTGTTTACAGATGGCGTCACTTTCGAGATATTCACTGATTATTACTTTTCTTAAATAGAAATCTCAATTTTTTATTATATATCATCTTTTTCTATCAATTAATTTTAACAACTTTTCTTGCACAAGTGAAAGATTTTTTTATTTGCCTAATATTTTTTGAGATATTTTGAGATATTTAAGGAAAACTTGGTAATTTTTTCAATATTTAACTTGCGATATCTCGTTAACTGTTTATCGAAAGAAAAAGATAGTACTGGACTTTTTTATCCTATTTAGTATCAAACATATATTGTTACAACAGTACCGTAACTTTAATTAATTTATCGACTTTTGGAAATTTCAAAATCATTAAATTAACAAAAGTCAGGGTGCTATTGTAACAATATATTCTTGAGACCAAATAAAGGAAGAAAGTCTAGCATCACTTTTCCTTCCGTTAAATATAGTTAGTGAGATATCGTAAGTTAAATGTTGAAAAAGTTACCAAGTTTCCCTTAAATATTTCCAAAAATATTAAGCAAATAAAAAAATATCTCAGAAAAAAATTGCCCAAATTAATTGGTAGAAAAAATGATATAATAAAAATATTAGGGTTTCCATTTAAGAAAAGTAACGATCAGTGAATATCTCGAAAGTGGCACCACCTGTAAACAAAATGATACAGTTGTTTTATGCCCCTTTTGAAATCATACAACTTTTGTCCGAAACTTTTATTTTCTTAGTATCTTTCATATTTCTCGAGATTTTTGCCTAGCTCATTTAAAATGGGACACTTCTATTTTTCTATATACTATACAAGTTACTCATAAACAAAAAAAACTTAACATTTTATTGGTGAAGATATTGTCAAGAATATCAAATTCTACCGTTTCGACGCACATCAACGTTTCCAAGTTATTCATTTTTGTAATACATTTTGACATGCTTGTCGTGTCTCAACATATTGCCGATTATTTCTCGTTTCACAATGCACGCACGAAATTATCTGAGAAGGATAGAAGCCTCTCACGTTTTGCCGTCTTCGTAGATACCCATCTCTTCGTTAGTCTTCTCTATAGAATAATTTTGAGTTTGCTGTTTCAAATGTTCTTAATCGATTAACTGCGAATCACGAAGAAGAATAACTATGTAAGAATAACTCAGCGGTGTCTCTGGACAAATCGCGTTTCGCAGGATCGATCTGCTTAAAACTTATCTTTCATCCTGTTTACCAGCAACCAAGGACAACAGCACACCGTCGGAGACCGACATTCTGCTGCAAAAGGTGTCGGACACCCTGTCCAACGTGTTACCATCGAACTCTTCGTCCCCGGAACCGTCGCTCCAGCTTGAGCGCACCAACAGCGTGCCAATGCGAAAGACAAACGATGTTGCCGACATGGACACCAAGTTGAAGCCTTGCAATGGCTCAAAGGACCAATCGAACGAGATCTCCAAGTCGTCGTACGTGGACTTCCCGGCGGATACGTTAAGCTCGAGCACGCCAAACATGACCTCGAACTTGCAACAAGACACCTCCGACTATGTGTCAGCGATGAGCGAGGACCTGTCTATCAGCGACTGGGAGTACCAACTGCCAGCACCGCCGAGCGCCTTCCGCGACTCTCATTCGCCCGTCTTCGACGATTACGACACGGTCACGCTTGGCTCTGTGGAGGCGTTTAAGGAGTCGTTAGTTACCCATCCGGGGTTAGCCGACACGACGGACAGTTGCAGCAAGAACGACGGATCGAAGAAGAGGAAGTTGAAGAGCCTGTTGAACAACGTCGACGCGAACTACAACACGACGAAAGCTACGACCGAGAAAATAGACTCTGTGCCGGAAGCAGAACTTAACGACGATGTGAAGCGAGCGACGGACAAACAGACTGTCGCCAAGCAAGCACCCATGAGCGCTGCGCCTAAATCGGAGGCCAACGCTGATCCGCGGAAGGAGATGATCTCCGAGCTGGAAAACAAGATCGAGAACGGTACGTTGGCTCAGAACATCGGTAAAGATTTGGACCGGAGGAATATAGACAACGTGTCCGCGCCGAAGATTGCACCCGTGGACAACACCTTGTCCAACTTCACCATCACCACATATACCAAGCAGAAGAACCTGGACATTTTCGACGAGTTCGAAGAATCAGATTACGTGAGGAACTCGGACGAAAGGTTCATCAAGACCTTCGCCACATTGTCGAGGAACAATGCTGGCGTGGGCGGTCATGAGAGCAAAAGTGCTATGAGGGACATGGGCCGGTTGACCAACGGTGTATCGTCGCACGATAGCAAAGTCACGGTGGCGGGTAAAAATGCCGAAGAACCGAGCGCGAGCAACGTCGCTGACTGCAAAACGGAGCCAAAGATTCGCAATCATGACGAGCCGGCTAACAACAGGTGGCAGTGCCTCAGCACGACCAATAACGAGAGGGCCAACAATGTTCAACGGTCCAAGAGCTATATATCGACGACTAACAACGCCAAGTACCAGACGGAATCGCAGGCAATGAGCGAGAGGAAACACGACCCGCGAAGTGCTGAGCCGCCGGAGACCGCCGCGATGAAGAAGGCCACGAGCACCAGCAGCCTGAACGTCGACGCGCCAAGGGTCAATGAGAAATTCTCGCAATGGAGAGACAATATATTGAAACGTCAAGAGGAGTGTACCAAAGAGAAGCAATTACAATCATTGCAGGTAATATCGAAGCGATTGATTGAGCATTATAGAATAAATTTGACTTTGTTGTGTTGGAGAAGAGAAGTAAGGTGATGGTAAAATAGAAGCGAAATTATAGTGGAAGTGCACTTGAAACAGATAAAACGGAGGTGTAAGAAAGGCAAAGAGAAAGAGCATGCGGATTTAATCGCGTGAATATTTTTGCAGATGTCATGCAGAAGTTTTTGATTCATTATATCTCCGATTGCTTCTTAATATTATTATCGATACGCTACTATGGCGTTGTTTTTTTCAATAAAGCTTATAGCTTTTAAATAAAGCTCGTATTCGTTACGATACTTTAACTCTTTGAGTCGTACGTTGTCCCGCATAAATTTGATTCATTTTTAGTGATTTTAACTAACTTGTAGGCAGTCGACTGTGTGATTGTACACTTACAGAAGCACAAGGAAATAAAAATAAATAGCATAATATTTAATTGATAATTTGCTAGAAACAAATAAAAATGGAAAGAGGCATTTTTCTTTTTCAGAAAAATTTATTTGTGAGCTAACTATTAAGAATCGACACATCGCAATTAACAAGACTTATTAAGAACATTTAATATTTTACATATTTTTCCCAAAATGTAGGCTCCAATTTTTTATAATAAATTATTGAAATACTGGTGTTACCTTTATTTTGATTTTTTAGAAAATTTATCTTCTTTATATCAGGAAAATATCTCGAGCTAAAAAATAATAAACATAAAAAAAACATAATAGATAATAATTATTCGTTTCTCCTCATTATTTTCGGGTAATGTAAAAAACGAAATCACTAATTTTGAAAAGAAGGTCGCTATTATTGTCCACTAATCCGCCATCTTGAATATCTACTTTTTTATAATTATCAATCCAGAAAAAACTTATACTCGAAATATGAAAAAATTTAATCGAGAAATCAAAATTTTTGAATAATTATTCCGCCATATTGAGTCGCGCATTTTGAATTTAAAAATTCTTTAGATTTGTAATCAGCGACCCCGAAAATACTTAGATACCGCAATTTCAAACAATTCCATCGAGAAATGAAATGGCTCAAAAGGTTAATGTGTAAAATATTGAATTACATTATTATATGTATAATTGTTTACTATTTTCATTTAAACATACATACACAGGTGCTGAAAAGCATTTTGCCGCAGTTGAAAAACGCTCAACAGGCGGAAGAAAATGTGTCCAAAGAATATAATAACGGCTTATCAATCGAGAAGACAAAGTGAGTATCGTTTCTTTCTTTCGTCCATTTTCTTCATTCTTTTCGATTCAAGTTTCGAGGCTAAATTAATTCTGAAACTAAGCAAATAATAATTGGATAATCAAATAATAATTAAATTATATGATTTTAATTATATGATTACGATTAAATTAAATGGTCAGGCGTTCGTGTGTTATTTTTCACTTTGATCTGTTACTCAAAAATAGCTACTATGCGGTTTAGTTTGTAATATATTTCTCACTGGCGAAATAATTCTCTCTCCGACAGATACGAGGCTGGGTCCAACGAACATTCGAGCAAGACGAATGTAGTTTTGACACGCGAATCTCGAGATACGGAAGCGACGGAGTGCAGGCAGCCGTCAAGAGAAGAAAGCACGAAGCGTTACACTTACGCCGGTCCACCTGCGATCAGTCTGGGCAGCTGGTCGGAAAGACCCAGCGTCAACGTCCAAATCAAGATGGACACCGATTACAAGTTAGGCAGGAGTAACACGAGCGGTAACAAGACTGTGGTCAACATCAACGGCGCGAAAGAAGAGAAGGACATTGTCAACTATACGAACAACAATATAAGCAGCAAGCATCATATAGCTAAGCATGATATCAAGATCGACTCTAAGAATCGCGATGAGCTCTCGCAGAAGTCGCTGATCACGCATACGATGACGTTGTCCGGTTTCAAGAAGCCATTGTCGTGCCGAGTCAACACGTCCGTCGACTCGATAAGGACGAATGAAGATAGACCCGTCGTGACGGGTGTTGAGCTGAAGAAGAGTTTCGTCGAGGTGAAGGAAACGCCGAGGAACGTCGAGAGCGAGATCGACACCACGCCTGTGAATTTCAGAGAATTGACAAAGACGTTCGGTCAGCATGTAAATTTTAAACTGAAACCGAAACGCGCCAACATCAACAGACACTCCGCGGATTATCATGGTGCGCAGCTGGAGGAGACGGACGCGGGCGTCAAGCAAAATGGTCACGGCAAGTTTGCGAGGATGAACAACGAAAATGAGAGTCTCCCGTACAAGGGTCAACCTTTGACGAGCGGCGCGCAGCAGAACTGTCGGCTGAGGAAGTTCACATCCGTCGTAGGCGTGAATGGCACGGGCCAGAGCTTCAACCAGCAAAACGAGACGGTAGTTCTCAGGAGCAATGTTAACAACAATGCCAAGATCAACCCGCTGATGCCCGTTGTGAAGGGATTCAAAATATCCGTCAACGATAGCAAGACGGGCAACGGCCAGTTGAACCAAAACGGGTTGTCGGCGATCGATGGCTCCAAGAAAAATGCACAACTTCCTAAGCCGCCAACCATGCCTGTAATTACAGGGGTGACCCTGAAGAGCACTAGTACGAGGCCTAAGTCGATGCCGGCCCAGATGGATCCTAGAGATATGCTGTTGGAATCCATCCGGAACTTCGGCGGACGCGACAAGTTAAAGAGTGTAAGTACGTCCTTATGTGAAATTTTGCTATTCGAACGATCGGAACGAACGAAATTGACCTACGTGAATACTCCATTTTCTCGCGATAATTTCTATACCTACGAACACATTTCTTTCGAGTTAATTATAATTTATGCTTAAGATAAATGTCCCTATTGGTTTGATTGGAACTAATTATTATTGGATTGCACGGAAAGTAATTTTCGGTTTTTTGCGTGAAAATGAAAGACGATATTTTTAATAGAAAGAAAGATTTTATTCTGTTAAGTATTGACCATTTTGTTGTAACACTTTTCGTCATCTTCGAGATAATAACATGATTCCACGCTGGTAAAACTTCTGATTCTTATTAGCAAAAAAAGTCTGAATTAAGTTTTTCTGACACTTTCATTTGGAGTCGAAATTTTTACCATCGAAAGAATTTTACGGTGACCGAAACAAGTGATAATCGCATGGTGCCAGATCAGGTGAATATCGTGGATGCGGTAGCAAATCCCATCCAAGAGCTAACAGCTTCTGGCGAATCACTAAACTTGTGTGAGGTCTGGCGTGTTGTCATGATGAAACACAACACCTTTTCTACTCGCCAAATCTGGTCTCTTCTGCTCGATGGAATCATTCAATTTGTCCAATTAACGACAATATACATTCGAATCAATCGTTTGCTTGTTTAGTAGCAGCTCAAAAAAATACCATTTCTCTCCAATCCCACCAAACAGAGAGCATCAGCTTCTTTTGATGAATATCAACTTTCGATGCTTTCAGCTTTGAGTTGATTCATCACGTCTGCTCCGTGATCTTTTGCGTTTAATATTGTTGTACACAATCCATTTTTCATCTCCAGTTATGAGTCGCTTCAGAAATGGATCGTTTTCCTCACGTTTCATCAGCAAATCGCAGATGGTAATGCGACGAATCTCTTTCTTTGAAAATGTATGGGACCCAAATATCGAGCTTTGGGGCAAAACCAAGTTGTTTCAAATGCTCATGCACGATCGAATTCGATAAATTCAATCTCTCAGCAATTTCTCGTGTTATTAAATGATGATTTGTGTCCATCAATGGACTTTATTTGGTCTACATCAGCCTCAGCTGGCCTTCCAGAACGTGATACATCTTTGAGAGATCGAAATTTCCAGAACGAAATTTCGAAAACCAATTCTGACACTAGTATTTAGTCAATATATTCTTTTCATACACGGCACATAATTTTTTTCTTGCTTGCATTTTAGCCTTTACATTAACAAAAAAAGTACAATTTGACGGAAATGTTCACGTTGGTTTTTCATTTCTGATGCGACGCCAAATAAAAACAATTTGACAGATTCCAAAACAACTTTTTTTTCAAATGAAGCTTGAAATGTGCGTTGTAAAAATGTAAAGTGATTTTCTGGTTTAGAGTGAGGTTAATTGCTTAAAAAGGCAGCTAACACTATTTATTTGAAAAAACCGACGTTACTTTCCAAACAACCCAATGATTTAAATAATTATTTATGAATATCTTAGAAGTTGACAGTTAACGTCAAAAATATAAAAAATTGTCTATATGCTAGACATGTGCAGTTTTTCTTTAACTTTTTCAAAATTAAACAATGAAGAAACAAGTCTGAACTATTACGTTATTAAATAGTAATTTGGTCATTTCTAAGAAAATATTATAAATAAGTAAAAATTTTTCCATGAATTAGAAAAAATACAAGACGAGTAAAATTTGAAATGTTCAAACTCTCCAGCAAAATCAACTTTGTGTATTTGATATTCATATTAATTTATTAACTTATTTTTATGATAAAGTTACTTAGTCATTAACTGTGAGACATACATTTTAAGTCTTTCTTAAAGTACAATTGTTATGTAAACAGTAGACAAACTTCTGAAAATTGTTTTGCATTTCAGGCTGCGGAGAGATTCTAGTTCGTGCAGTCCTCACGAAAAAGTAAGCATTTGCAGAACAAACGGTGGAGCGAAGAATTCATTTGGGATGGAAACGCTTCAAGATTCACGGGTTTCTTTTTTTCTTATTTCTTTTGTCGGATGTATACAAATTTGCGTTATTCTCAAGGTCATTGAGTGTTAAAAAAAATTGTCTAACCCTAGAATACTACTAAGAATTTTCTTCTGGAGGCGAGACTCTCGGTTCTTGTTGCTTTTATACTTGTACATTTTTATTTTATCTTTTCGAAAACATATTAGTAGCTAAGCGACATCAAATAATGAAATGTTTTGTTGTTTGATTTTGCTGTCTAGTTGTATTTTAGGGTTAATATAAAAACATGTTAAATAATACATAAAATATGAAAAATATTTTTGAGGAAGCATTTACATATAATGTTATTCATGGGATAAAAAAGGTTACTCGCGTTTTTTTGCGTCATTCAATGTAAAGCAAAAACAGAATCAAGCATGTCCATACGATATTAGTAAAGAGATATTATGAGATTTCTCTAGTTACATCTTATCGCATATATTTTTTGCGGGATATACTACCAATAAAAATACCGATATTGAATCCGACGGTATATGTCTCTACATTGGTCATGTAAATATGATGTACAGAAAAATAAGGTGAGGTAAACGAGATTATCGCAAAGCGAAGGGAAATGTATATATTGTTTGAAACATGTGCTTGATCGTGTAGAGAGAGAAAGAGAAGGTGTCTTTATTTTATTCATTTGAATAGTTATAAACTCGACATTGCTCATTAATTAATATGGAAAAGTAGAGAGAGAGAGAGAGAGAGAGAGAGAGAGAGAGAGAAAGAGAGAGAGAAGGAGAGAGGGGGAGAGAGAGAGAGAGAGAGAGGGGGAGAGGGAGAGATAAAGATAAAGAGAGTTATAGATTAGTTCCCTTTAGAGTTCGGTAAAATCGTTCAATCCTAGCTTTGGTGCGGTGTATACTGATAAAAAAAAAAGAAACAGGCAGATATAATACCAAAGTTAGTTGTGGACGGATCGAATATCGGCATACTACTAATAAGCGATTTAATGCTGAGACTAACACACGCAATTAACTCGCAGTTAATTTGTAAGTTTCTATGAACGGGACCAAAGGTGACATTTTATTTTACGTATCGTACAACGAATGTAGGGATATAATAGAACCTTGTTATTATATAAACATCGTGCTAAACGCGAATAGTCCTTTTACTAAATCTGGTCAATTGAGTTGCATCGGAAGATGCGGATTGAGTTGCGCGATTGGATTTTTGATGATGGTGTGTAGATTCATTTATGATCAGGGGAAAGATGTTATTTAATTTAACGTTAAGCAATTTTTTAATTTTTTTCCGTAGACATCGTATCGGACTCATGATGGACGTTGTATCACGATCGTATGTGCCCGAATATAAATTATTTTTTTTTGTTGGCATTACTTAGGTACGCGAAGACCGTTTACATTTCGTTTTTTACAGCATAATCGTGTTTCTGGAGAAAGCTAAAACAGATATGTAGCTTTCTTGTCATCGTTAGAGCGCTTGTATACAGAACCGTAGGATATGTACTGTTCCTTTCCTCGAAGATAGCTTTTGTAATGTATCACTATCTCGAAGCAGAAAACGATCAATTATATTAGATCATCATATTAGAAAGAGGAAGAGAAGTAGACAAGTAAATACGATATATTGCGAACACTCAACACGCTACGTTTATTGTAGAATAGGATTAAATTTTCTTTCCTGTTTCTTTTAGTCGCAACTGCTACAGTTGACCAATATTTTTGTTGCTCTTCTAAAACGCAATTATATACTGTTCCTCTCTTCATTGTAAAAATTTATTTTATCTTTAATTTATGAAATATGACTGATCGTTCTAGCTTCAGAATGTGAGCATACACTTCGTCACACTCGACAGAACACGTCACAAACGAGTAAGAGATCAAAATTGTCATCGACCAAGTGACCGTCGTTGTCGCAAAGTGATAACTAACCGGTTTATCCGCTGATATGCTTTGCGACTTCGCGGTATTTAAAGAAATAGTTGCGATAAGCGAATGGTACAGCGAATGGCTGATGGATAAGACGTATTGTAAATATCATGTAATGTCAATATATATATATATAACGTATTTAATATTTTTCCCTTACATATACATACATACATACACGTACATACACGTACATACATACATACATACACATACATATACATACGTAGATATATACATATATATATATATACATACATATATATATATACATATATATATATATATATACATATAGTAGCGAAGCGTTTATTTATGTTATAATTTATAATCGCATTAAAGTTATAACAATGAATCTGCGTTATTCGCTGAATCTTATCGATAACATTTGTCAACCTTGTTTTCACGCGCTTTCCGGATGGAACTCGCCTCTCGATATATTTAAATAAGAAAAATATAATTCGAATGTAGTTTATATTGAATATATCATAAAGAATAGCACCATTGTATAATATGCACACGTAGTTTCATAAACTGCGTGTTACTTCGTACTTTCCAGGTTTTATAGCACCCATTTGTTTCAATGTTAGATTCTCAATCTTTAACTTTCCGGAAATACTTTTAAACTATAGCTACATTGATTTGAGATTTATCTTGTTAAAAGTCGAATATTTCTTTTTTTCCACACGAATATGCGCTTATGTTTTCTCGTGTATAAGGCTGCATTTGATGAATTTAATATAATAATCGCAATATAGTAAGAATATTACTTAACATACTCAAATACTATGCACAATAATGGATTAAACCTCTAGAAATCGTTCGTGATATAAAACTAGTAGACACATCGCCAACATAAAAATGTATTGCCTCTAAAGAGGAAATACGAAGATTTAAAATGCATATATCGCAACGGTACATCACAGCTTCAGAGGGACACGTGTTTTAATATTATCATTAAAATAAATTTTCGAAGCCCCGAAAAGTCATTGCATGGGCATTAATACTACAAGGTGAGCACTTCGTTAAATGTTTATACTTATAAGCAAAACTCAAATTTTTTTATACTCTGTCTCATTTTTTATGTATGATTGTATGCTACCATAACGAGATTCCCTCCTCTAATTAACTGTTTAGTTCTAAAAAATGAAAAAAAATTGTCTATCTTTTTCTCTAATTATTAATTCAGGCGGAACAAGAATTATTTAGATCTATCGGTTAACGTACAAACGAGATTTCTTATAATGTCTCGTTTAGAATTTCATAACTTTTTTTTTCAGTCTATAGATTCCTACCTTACATCTTAGCACCACTTTTTACATTAAATCTAAATTGGAGAATTTCTCCCTTTTTATAGAATAAAATATTCGATATCTCAAAGTGCGTACTGTAAAAATCGTAGATTATTAATCATCAGGTATGGGAGTATTGCAATTTCCATGCCACATCTTGGTCTCCGAGTGGCATTCCGAATAGTTCGCGAATACATCCGCGTAGCCACGATCACGCCACCAAGTACAGAGTTGCCTATTCCATCCACAATCGACTGTGTAGATAAGCTCTGGTTTTTCCATACCTAGAAGCGTGTAGAAATCTTGATCGCCCAAGTGGCCCTGCAACGAGAAATAATTTGATAAATTCTTTCTAATGAATTGCTATCAATAATGCAAAAATATTCCATAATTATTTTCAAATATCAACATATAATCGCACTTTAGATGGTATCAATTTTTAAAAGCAACGATATTCATCTTTATCTACATAATTCTCATAATGTTGATACATTGCATTCTAATTTTTTGTTACTTGAACATAAGTTTATCCTGAATTGCATAAATTGTAACAAACAATGAGAGGTGACTTTTATTTACCTTAAAATGATACTTTTCTGTCATTGCATCCACATTTTTCTTACTAACGATCTTCTTATAGATATTCGATTTTCGTAATCTTTCTAAATTAAAAAGCACCATCCCGCTATTGTAGCCAGGGTATCCGCCTTTATGTCGGGGCTCGCCGAATAAAGTATTTGGGTGTTTATTACGATATAAGTACAAAACATGGCGGTAAACTGGAGTGAGCTCTGGTGCAAGACCGAACAGAGCTTCCTCACCGAAATTGTTGAATTCCTCGAACAAGTCTTTCACGTCTCGGTGAAATTTTGTGTCTGCATCGAACATCGCGGCGAGCTTCTGATCGCTGGGTGCGATTCTGTGTAAACCCAGCGAGAGAAAAAATAATGCATCGGAATAGTATGTTCCTGGCTTGCTGCTGAAATGTGGGGACATAACCGACACAATATCCTCTAATTGAGTGGCTAATTTGTGTACATCGTAATAAAACACCTAGAAATAGATAAACGAAAAATTATTTGTTTGTAGTTATATGAGAACATGCTCAAATTTGACTAATTAAGAAATGAAAAGAAGTAATATTTCAAAAAACTGATATCAAAAAAAGTTTATAGAAAAGCAAACACACAATCCTCGAAATTATACTACACCAAGTCGATATCATAAGATATTGCAAATATATAAGTTAATGGAATATATATATATATATGTTCATATATTTAATGGTTATTTTATAAAAGAAATATTTATAAGATAAAAATAACCATATTTGTAAGATAAAAATATAATTAATATATAGAAGATAAAAATACCTCCATGAACTTTCCAGTTCCAGTCATAACATCTTGAATGACAGTTGCTGCTATATTCTGACTGTTATCATCACTTATCACATGAAAAACAACATCCACAGAAGTCAGCTTGAGCAAGGAGTTTGTGAATATTTGAAACTTCCGTCTCATGGGCGAGTTTGAGGTAACTTTAGTGAAAATACACCAGATATTGTAGTAGTTTGTACGTTTTTGCTGCTGAATGTTAGATATCAAGGATGAATAATTAATGTCAGCTGTATAGCTGACCGCTGCTAAGGCGGGTGTAAGATTTGCCAAGCTTGCATTTCCTACTCGTGGATTAGGCACAACCCAATGTCCAGCATTAGATGTCTGATAGTAATAGAAAGCCACCAAGAACAATGCAAGGATTATCAGGTTCAGCAGCACCTTGCGTAACAAGGGCATTTAACCCGTGTCCCTTATTCTGCTAACCTAAAAGACAAACAAGGTCTCGGTGAGACGAATAAAACCTGCGATCTTAACAATAAAAATCTCTCGGACAAACATAATTGTCATAATTTGCCTTTATACTTTTTATCTAATCTTTATACATCTCTTTATTTTTACCAATTTGTTTTATTGGTTTAGTCATAATTTAAAGCAGTTTAATTCGTTTCAGCAGTTTTCTACAATTTTTCTTCTAAATCAACGAGAAACTCTCAGAGACAGAGAAATCTAAAAGAGAAGGACTAATAATTACGTGAACATGATCACTAAACGTTTCTTCGTTGCCGCGTCGTCGTATCACCTGGTTCGGGTATCCCATCGGACGCTACCTCGCGGGATGCTGTGTGTCATCGTCCTCTCGGAGATTTTTTCTCAAGGTACGCGCGACCGACGCGAGGCAACTATTGCAAGAATAAAACACGGAACATAAGTGATCCGCGTGAGCGTAGCGACGAGACTGCGAGCGCAATCTATGAGATATCTTGTGAAGTACTTTCCGCTGTTTACTTCAGGACAATGGGCCAAAGATGGCCAAACTATAGAGGAGAAACGCGGTGAATCGTATAACATATGGTTACATTACACTCTGTTTTCTACTATATATACAGGGTGTCCGGAATTTTTTTAGAAGTGAGAAATTGTGAAGATTAAACAGATCAAACTGAGAAGAAAAATCATTTATCAATTGTTTTGCAAATAAATATGCAAATTTTCAAGATATCAATTAAAGGAACTTTAGAATGTGGTCATTTTCAATTATTAATAACTCAATAACCATTGTGATTTTTGCAAAATGGTACTTATATATATATATATAATTTATTAATATAATTATCTGTAACACACAACATTCATAGTTATAATCGTTTTGCGTATGCATCATTTTTTGTCTCTTCTCGGTACTTCTTTTTCTCGGCTCATCCGTTATATCTTACTTTTTCAATGGAAACTATACTGTATACAAATTATCTCCAAATTAATGAGTCGAATGCTACGACAATTATCGTTGATTGGCACTATCATACTACTGTGTCTCATTAAATTATGTATAAAATATAATATGGCGTTTTTGGAAAATTAATTACAGTTGATGGAATTGATAAATACAGCTAATAGAAAGAGAAAGGAGGAGGAGAGGGAGAAGGGAGATAGATTTAGAAAAAACGATGTAAAAGATATACATCTCACGAATTATACATATTTATCGCATTTTTGTTATAATTAAGTTATTAATTAAACTTTCCCGTACAATCAGCAGAAGTTATTAAAATATAACAGGCAATGTATTAAATTTTAAAACGCTTGATACAAAAGCAGTCCACTGTATTTTAACATTTAAATTTTTAAACTTCATAAGTAAAGCTCAATCTACCGAGGCCAAGTTCTACATTCTCGATATTATAGACACACGATTGCTCTCGTTAGTTTTGGCCCCAAATAGCGGATAACAGATTTTGAATTTATATCTTATCGCTGCGAGCGATTCGGCTTTATTTATTGATGGGCGATAAAATATGTCTCTTATATTCTTTATGTCAGTCCTATACTATTTCAGTTCGTCATTCGCGATCGCTCCGATACACGTAATATAAAAGTATCGTGATGTTTTATTTTTAGTCAACATAATCTAAATAAAATCCGTAGCATCAAATTTCACGCGATTGTTCATTAAACCGTGGATCGTTTCCAACGTGCAAAAACAAAATCAATACAAATGTGATTTCATGGTGGAGTGAATTTATCTTATCATATCGATGTTCGTGATTTAAGAAACAATATTTTTACTTATCTCATTTGAGAGGATAGGAACACGTTATTAATGGGGACTTGTAATTAAAACTAAACTTAATCAATCAAACCAAACTTATTAGTGATAATGTATAATTTCGAGATATCAAATTGCGCAAAATTATTCTGACTGATCGTACAACTGTGAAAATAGTGTTAATCAATAATGCGTTACCTGTTAAATAATTGTCCAACATTTTATGATCTAATTACTTGAATAAAATTCTGTCGTTAGTTCTTTAGTAAATAAACTGCCTGAACACTTGTGAGAAACAACGATGAAACGACAACTACCGCATCCATTACGCTCGAGCCAAGAAAATGTCAACGCATCAAGCTCGTCGTCGCAGGAGACGCGAAGAGTATCAAGAGAAATCTCCGCATCTAGCGCTCCTGAGAGAACAACAGATCCGCAGATCCTTTCGTCAAGGAGACAGATTATGCGACAACACAAGTACGACCCTTTTATAAATAATTACCGCGACGAATTTTTCGCTAGAATTCTCGTTGTTATTGATTTGACAATTATTATTTATTATTATTAATCTCTGCTTCTTTATTCCACGTATTAACAGGCAAGCTTCGGGTGGGGTAAGTGAGAATGCGTTGCAGTGTCCAATATGCAAGGACAGGTTTAAATCACCCAAGATAACGCCGTGTCAGCACACGTTCTGCCTTCAGTGTCTGAAGAATCAGGTCGCCACGTCGAATAAGAGAGGTGAAACACGCATGAGATACAGTTTTTTTACGATGGGTATTTGTGGTGTCACCGTCAAGACAAATACAAAGCTCGTATAATTAATGTTCCGATAATTCTTTTCTTTTTTCCCATGACTATAAAATTATTTCTCAATTTATCACGATAATATTTCTAGATTTTACAACGTTCGTGTCTTCTTTAAAAAGGGGAATAAATTAAAAAATATTATGCGATTGATGACAGCTGTTTTAATAAAAACATTGAATATAAACAATTAAACATACAAATGTTTAATTTAATATGTTGAGTTTTGCGGTAATATCACTACTTGATAGTTTCAATTTTTGTTTTTTTCATATGTGTTTTGAGGATTGATATTGTATGTATATTGTAAAACAACATTAAAATCAGAGCCAAAGCGAAATGCACAGCTTGTGTATGTATATTATGTCACCAGTATTAAAAGAGCTACAATCAGTCTTTATCTCTCACGATATATTTCTCGATATGTATTCTTGCGTAATCTAATTTGTTAGTACCGATATAGACGGTCACGTTGCGTGAAAGATAAGTACACCGCGTGGATTTTTGGTAAATCTGTCATCTGCGTTAATTGCAATTTAATTTAGGTTTATCTTCGAGTTCCTTACGCATCGAGCCTATGTATGAACAAAAATTCATGGTAAAAAAATTTCATTATCGATATTTCAATTATTTTATACTATATTTCCACGTGTGGATGTAGAATATTACACGATACGCGTACGATGTTTTAGCAGAATTTTTGCAGTGTAACCGCGTCGCCGGAAATTCATTTAATATCCTTTCATAATTATCGCAGCATGTCTCATTTAATTTCCGCAGGTCTGGTTCGCGTCGAACTGCAATTACAAATGAAAGAATAATATTTTATTAATTACTTATGATGAGAGAAATAACATTATGAATAATAAGATTTCTATTTCATCCCGTTGTGCCCTTCGCGCTTGAATGAGTTTAATCAGGCGGCTATACGATTTTCACACTAATTGGTGATCCTTACAGGTGACTTTATTTTAGAATTAGTGACCTTTACAGATGGCTGTTTTACCTGTCCTGTTTGTGATGCAAGCTTCGACGGTCGCGCGCCTGAGAATTTGCCCAATAATCTTTATATCGAATCGCTCTTGGCGATCAGCAGTAAAAAACAAACGAGACCGCCGAAAAGCACGGTAAGTTTCGCGCCCTTACCACCGAGGATACGGGACCGAAAATCTTCGCCGACATTGAAATGTCGCAGATGCAGCGAAATCTGCGAGAGGAAATGCAAACATTGTAAACGCGTGAGTACTCGTTAAATGATCCTCTTTGGAAAACCTGAAATTCTTATCAATATCCGGGATTGTTATGGGAAATGTAATAAGCTCAAAATTCCAGTAACTAATCATGAGCACTAAGTAAATTGCAATTAATGCGTTGAATGCCATGTTGATTGCCACATCGCATCTCGTTAAATTACGTGTAGAATATATTCAATCGCATTTGAGAAATCGCTTAAACGGCCAATAGAAAGCCAACGGAAAGCCAACAAGGTGAAAGGTATACGCGTCTCAAATTATGTTGATTTATCGTATTTTTGATAATTCAATTGTAGGTTAGGCTCTTGTATACACAATCAACGAGAATCAACAAAGCAGTCAGTGTATTAATTAAAAAAATAAATTTATTATTAAATTATTTTAAGAATCGGCTGTTTTTATGAAGTGAAGATTAACAGTAAATGATAATGACTAAAGGCTGTATCTTATGGTATTAATTTTTTTTCTAGGGATATTGTTATGCCTGCTGGAAGAAACACGTCGACGATGACTTGAAAGAAGAACTGGGCAATATAAGCGATGATCTGGAGACATCGACTGCGAGATTCAAAGAGAAAATTATCTACTTTCGAGTAATTATTATTTATCAGTCGACTTATTCGAATATTTCGTAAAAAATGTTTAAAAGACAACGGAAGGAATGCCAAAAATTCAGAATATCTTTTAGACGTCCCTTAAATATAAAAACGTGAAATCTTTTACATGATCGTTTTATTATCATCGGATAACTTGCGTCAGTGCAGATAAGCATTGATCAATTAATTTACTCGACACAGAATAAGGCGAACGAGATGAAAGATTTCATCAGCAGAGATATCGAGGCTAAGATAGCTGATCTTAACAAGAGAAAAGAGAATCGAATTAAAAAGGTGGATCACATAATTGCTACAGGCGAAATGTCGGTGGAGGATATTGAACAAAGAATGCAGAAAACTCAGGCGGAGGTAAAGGAAGGAAAAGACGTTTCATACGATTTGTTGCCTGCTAATGAAAAGAAGGTAGGATTCTTTGAATTTCTATTGTTTCAAATATTTGCGCATCAAAAAGAAACATTTACACGACGTAAGTACACATTACGTTCGTCCGCGGGATTCATAAATATTCACTATATATTTATATTTACAACTAAGAAACACGTACACACAAAGAGAGGGAGGGAAAGAAAGATCGAGTACATATGTGGAGAATCTAGATTATAAAACCCACGAAAATATTTCGAAATAATTCATTTTAGCGTTATATCAATCATATGACGACATGTTATTGCACGTCAATGTGAAAGATTCTTCTTTTCATTGTTTGTCACTTATATCCTTTGTTTTTATCAATTTTACCGCTTGATGTAATTTTTACACGTGCTAAGAGCATTCAACTCATTGTGCGATATTTCGACATTATATAGAATAGCATAAAATAGGAGAAATAGTGTTATAGAAGGGAAAAGGTGGGCGAAATCGATTCTTCCGACCCATATTTATTACGTTCCGTGCAATGCTGCAAATTTGCCTCTGAATGTATAGAGAGAAGCAGAGAAATAGAGGATGAGAGAGAGAAAAACGGGGAAAGAAGGAAAGGAAAGAGAGAGAGAGAGAGAGAGAGAGAGAGAGAGAGAGGGAGAGAGAGAAAGGGAAGGGAAAATGGTGAAAATGATCGAATAGTTAAACATATTTTACTCTCGCATCGCGCGCATCCTCTCTCAGGTTAGACTAAATAACCCGATTTTTTCACCATTCTGGCGTTAATCCCTGTTCCCTTCGCCGCATCTGAAATCTGGACCAGCGCCGTACCTGTCCCGTGCAGGACGCCTCGCAGTATTGATTACTTGAGAGGAGGAAAGCACGTGGGAGGGGGCGGATGGCGAGCACGTGGGCCTGGCCGAGGCGAGAGAACCGACGGCGGGGTCTGCGCGGAATTTTCATCGTTTGCCGCAAAGCCAATAAGGTAGACGGAGAGCGAGGCCGAGACGAGGGAGAAATGTTGGCGATAACGGGAGCATTACAATGCGCGGAAAAACCGCAAAAAAATTACTGCCGACGAAAGACGGTGAAATTCGACGCGAAGCAGAGGGAAAGAGAGAGAGAGAGAGAGAGAGAGAGAGAGAGAGAGAGAGAGAGAAAAAGAGGGAAGATGAGAGAAAAAGAGGGAAGATGAGAAAGCGGAGAAGGGAATATCGCGGTTAATACTTTGAATACTTTACAATAAGGAGATGATAAAATGATGAAAAAGAGAGGAAACAAGATAAATGGAATCGTCGATTGAAACAGCAAATAACAAAGAACCTTTCTTCGCATGAGGCGAATCGCTTTCGCAAATTATTGGGCGCATTAGAGACCCGCCAGAATCTCAAGTTTATTACAGAACCGTCGTTGATAACTGCGTCCCCTATATGTACCCTGTACAAATGATTGATTGTATATCCGGATACAATGGGAGCATGAGTCTTGGAAAAAACAAAATCTACAAAGACCGATGAAAATGTAAAATAAACATCGTGGAGCTTGCAGGTTGAAGTGTTCGATGACCATACTCGTGCGCGAACGCGGAAGTATGTCGGCTCTTCTGGCGTGAAATCGACTAAAAAAGCAGCAGTGACGATGAGAAACAAGCCGCGAGGAGACGAGAGGAGGGAATGAGAGAGACACAGGGGATGCAATGAGAGCGGGTGCCGAGCGGGGTGGGTTCGCCAACCGATAGGACCTAACCCGAGATAACGGGAGGATAATGGTGTTGGTGTATAAGGCACGAGCAGCCAGCGTCTGCTCCTGACAGCCCATTACCACTGTACAAACGCGAGCACGGCGGTCTGGTAGGATGGCGAAGGCTCTTCTGGGTCCTGTCTCTTTCTCCGCAACGCGGCTTTCCTCCTCCTCCTCTTCCTCCTCTTCCTCTCCCATTCTCTCTTCTCTCTTCGACCCTTTCACGCTCCTTCTGCTCGCTTTCTCTCTCTCTCTCCTCCTCTCCCTCTCCATCCATCTCTCTCTCTCTCTCTCTCTCTCTCTCTCTCTCTCTCTCTCTCGTTTGCTCCCCCCACTCTTTCTCTCGTTCACCCTCTTTCCGTACATCCTTCATTCTATCCTCGTCATCCTCAAGATATCGAAGATTTCCACCCCCGCAAGGGAGCGAACCAGATAATGAGATACTCTTGCGGCTTCGTCGCCATTGCATTCTACGGCGGGGAAAATGCGAAATCTCGGAGAGCCTCGTGGTACTTTCTTGTAATGTTCTTGTTTTTTTCTTTTTTCTTCTTTTTAGGGGATGGGGAGGGTAATAACGAAGGAGGAGGGACGTCTTCGGTCGATCTAGTTTAACAAGTTCATATTACTGTATAAATTATTGCAAAAGTTGTGGATATATTTGAAAATAACAAAGTGGAGGCTTTTCTATTCTTTTTCCATCGCGGATTACACTTTGAAATTAAATACTCTCTCCCATTCTCTCCTCTCCTCTCTCTTTCTCTCTCTCTCTCTCTGTCCTGTATTATTTTATTCGAAATCAGTATGTTAAACTAAATAAATCAATTTTAGAGTAATTAGAGAAAAGGGGAGAGAGAGAGAGAGAGAGAGAGAGAGAGAGAGAGAGAGAGAGAGAAAGAGAGAGAGAGAGAGAGTCATCGACGTCTTGTCATCAAGAGTGCTATTGTCTCAAAAATATCTCAACAATTTCGCGCGCAACGTTTGTTACACCTGTGCAACTCGCTGCGCAAGAAAAAGGTGCTGAGGCATCGTAAAAGTTTCATCTGTTGACGTCTTCGAATATCGATCGCGGCTTGTCGCGTCAACGGCAAACGCCCATTGGAAGAAAACGGGCTGCTCTCGGGATACTCTCTTGGGATAACGCCGCGCCAGTAAGAAAAGCAGGTTCCTCGGCTCGCGCATTCGCGCGAACGAGATGGAATCCATCCGGAATCAATTCACTCTGTACTCTCCCTCCCTCCCTCCCTCTCTCTCTCTCTCTCTCTCTCTCTCTCTCTCTCTCTCTCTCTCTCTCTCTCTCTCTCTCTCTTCTGCTCTCGTCTCTCGTCGTACATTCTCTCTGTCTCTTTCTCGAGGGTGGCTTTTTCGGGGTTGGTTCATAGCCACGCCCGACACCCTCGCCAAGCCACGCCCGCGACGAACCCAACACAGAATACATACACACATCACACATACACATATATACAGACAAAACACACGTGTACGCACACGCACACACGTGTACGCGCAGCACACAAGCCCAAGGCTCTGCAGGGCCCAAGGGCTAATAATTCACGTCATGAGCACACCTCACCATAAAGAGTCAGCTACAGGCACCGGCGGGCGTATATTCCACAGCGGCGGCATAAACGCTATCCAGTTGCAGTTACTGTTAATTACCGATCATCTTTTATAATTTATTGCCGCGCCTGCTAGCCCGGAATCCGGCGAGCCCGGAAAACTCACCATCCCGATGACTGACTGGCCTGACAATTATGTAACGCGCCGCCGAATCATTTCGCCAAAGTCACTCAGTTGCCGAGAGACTCGTCATCGCTCGATGATCATCCGATGAATGATGCAGTCCGACACTATTCCGGCCTGCCAATTAAGAATCGTTCTACCGCCCGTTAAGTAATCGCCACCAAGTAATTCATCTCCGCGTAATCGCGCGCGCCGACAATATCTTGTCACGTCCGCGTGGCCGTTCTTTTTTTTTTTCAACCATTCAATGAGAGCATCATAACGAACAATAGCCGAAATAGGATTATTTAACACTGATTTATTTTGTCTTCTATCGATGCAATCTCACGCGTCATGGATTGATTAATAATAAGCCAAAGATACGTTTGATTATTCGACTTTTTAAGAGAACTGATTTCGCGTGAGTTTACCATCCACATCGTCCATTATCATTATGAAATAATTAGATATGTATTAGATAATCGCGATTATCAATATCGTTCCTTTATACATAAATAAATAAATAAATAGATAAATATACACACACATACACATATATATATACATATATTCTGTAATGAGCTGCTCGCACGAATTACTAATTGCACAAAACTTTTTCTTCATTAAAGATATTTCTAAATTATCAAATTTATCTAAAGATATAAATATATATTTTTTTTAATGTCTAAATTTCACGAAAAGACTTACTGAAAAGCACGACGTTTTTTTTTTGTAAGAAGTCAGTTGAGATCTAGTAGGAATTTTCTCTCTAGTACAACTCTCCTGTCCCATTAAATGCAAGCAGCGGCAAAACTAGGCAGTACAATGTCGACATTTCCTGTACTGATAACATCCTTAACGAGTTGGAAAATCAGTGGGATCACAGGACGGCGCTTCGTTACAGAGCACGACGTGACCCCTCCCGACTTGTCGGTGGCCGGTAGTTGGCCCCTAAAATTAGCCACAGTGACATATTGAAGAGCGCGCGTCGCAGACCCCCCCTAAGACCCCCTCGACGAGGCGCACACAAAGCCGTTGCCCTGGGAAAATCAACTGACGCGTAACTAAACGGTGTATCATTAATTTCGACGTATGTTTATATCGCGCCGGTTAAGGAGTACGTGTGCGGGGCGTCGAGTCTCCAAACCGGCTCATTTGCGCGCCAAAAGCTGCTAGAAAAAGCGGCAAATTAGCCGCCAGCGTGGAACGGAAGGGAAGGTGCAGCGTCGCGCGTCGGGAACGAGTGGAGTAGTTTAGGACGGACTTTTCTCTGTATGATTTCTTCTTCCGATATCTCTTTCTCTTTCTCCTCTGAATGTCCCATGAGATAATAATTGAGCCAATTATAAATCATCTTTCATCTGTCACGCGGCGGATAAAGATTATTCTCGGATAAATAAGCAGAATTAAACAAAGAAAAAAGTTTGGTTGGATTAATGTGACAATGAACGAACCAAACGCATTTTGATTGGAGAACAGAATTCTTGAAGAACCAAATTTGATCCTAAAGATAATTCTAAGAATCAGAAATTCTGCTTTCTCCGACAAAATGCGTTCGAGTCGTTTACCGTCACGTTAATTCAACCAATTCTTTTTTTCGTGTATATTATATTTATTTGGTAATGACGTCATAGAATTGTAAAAATCTTGAAATTTCAGTTTTAGGGAACACAGCAGGGAGCGCAGGATTTTAAAATGCTTCAGAGTTGTTTAAGTTCACGTGGGAATTTTTGTAGACACTTGGTCGTCTCGCGAAATCACTCGCGGGCATCGTCTACATTTCTACCACCTTCATCTGATGATTTATTACAGCGATAATCATTGTAAGCATTACATATTTAATTGCGATATCGCCTCGACGAAAGGCGACTCGTCGTAATTGTCTCGTAAACGCGACCGATCGATTGATCAACATTGCCGAATCTCTTCCGAACGCGGCTCATTAAGGCCTCTTAATTGCTTCCTCCCTCGCCATTGTCTCTTCCCCTTGGGATTCATCCTCACGTGTTTCGCTGAAGACAATTCACGATTTACATCGCGTTCATTCGCTCTCATAGAGCGCGCATGTAGAGCGCCGTCGGACAGGAATGTCGATTCTTGGGTGACCATTTTATCGGCACGCGCGTTTCCACTGTCCACCTGATTGGCATGAAACGTATCGGCGCACCTAAGTGTCGGGAAAAAACGAGGACGAAGGCGGATTTCGCGCCGCGTTTTGAAGCCACCGGTTGAGATGCACGTTTTTAAACGATCCGACGGTTGCACGTGGCACGGAAATAAATGTCGCGAATTCGCACGTCCGCGCCGAGAGGAGAGCGAGACGGCTGCGTATGCTCGTTCGCGTTCTAGGAGATGCAATTTTCATCCCTACTTTCAAAATACCTTTTCATTTCATTCAGAAAACATACAGTTACTGTATTAAGTGGATTCAGTAGTTCTTCTTAAACAAAGTACTGTGTGAACAAATGTTGATACAAACTGAGCAAGTGCTGATATAAACAACACGTTTCTCAGATAGGAAAATGTATGCCAGCATACAAGCGAAACTGTACGTGCGGAAAATGCGCATGAAAAATATATTTTCTTTTCCGAATCAATTTAATAAAGCTACAGTTTTGTAGAGCTAGTATCTAACACAGCTACAACTATATATAGAGTTAAAATAGATGTAGCTCTGTATTAAATAATAATCGTTACTTGAATCATGTTTCTAGTGAGACGTTTAACTTTGAGACTACAGTTAGACTGCAGTTAGAACTGCAATTAAATAGATCAGACATTTCCACTGGAATCGCGATTGCACGTACAATATATCACGCATATCAAATGTGATTGAACTGAAAAATTCATTCTAACTTTAAATTCAGATTTTTCTTGCGGTCTTAGAGATAACGATCTCAAATAACGCTATCGATATGGATATACAAAATCAACATGCAGGTCAGTACGATAATAATGCAGAGGTTGCCGAAAAAAATCTCACCTTGATTTTGTCGATAACGATATTTGCAGTACTCCCAGTTATGATGAATATAACTAATTTTTCCCCAAATCGTTTATGATAGGAGACAAGTCTCATTGAAAATTCTTCATTAGAGTGTAGAATGCTCGTATTTTGAACTCTTTTTATCGAAAAAAGTGGCTTATAAGTCTTTTGATTTGCTTATAAACTGCAAAAACTTCGAAAAACAAACGCTATTTTTATTAAAAGGGACGTCAAAATACGAGATTATGTGCCGAAAATATATCGTTTAATAGTTATCATCGATTAAATTGCGATCAATAATTTATGCTGCGCTTTCGGTCGATATATATTTTTGCAGAAGCTATTTATTCCAGAAACGATGGAATACGGTATATAAGATTTCTAAATATTTCTGTACTATTTTTTTCTAATCTCCAGGTCCTATCGAATTTTCCAATGCAAAAAAGAAATTAAGAAATTATACGAAATAAGAAATATGCTGCATTATTTATTCCCTTAACTATTACTCTTATTTATTCTGCTTAAATTCGTCATGTTTATTTCTCAGTTTCGCTTTTTTTAACATTTTCTTTAATTTAATGAAGCTTGTTTACTATCACAAACGATTACGGTGCAAAATTAGTTGCACTCATCATAACTGGAAGCACTTCAAATATCATTATCGACAAGATCAACGAGTGACTTTTTCGACAACTCGACCTATATGTTGATGTTACACCCTGTACATGTAAGTCGAAGAGACTTGTAGGTGATATATTCATCCGCGAGAGAAGACCCGATGCAATCTCTCCGAGCGAATCTAATCTTGATGACGTATTTCCAATTTAACTTCCGAACAAAATCGCGAAATATATTTTATTAAATCATTCTCGCTTGCCCTATTTATCTATCGCAGTGTTCTTCAACCTTTTTTATCTCACGATACATTTGAACCTATATTAGTTAAACTTCCACGGCACATTCAAATTATAATGATTAAAAAAAGAGTATAAAAAAGAATATAATTTTTTCCTTCATTTATTAACACAAACAAAATGCACCATCACGGCCAAAAGATAAAACAAAACAATTTATTTGCACAATTGTAATAAATTTGTACAATTTGTAATAAAGACTGTATCCACTTTAGAAATAAGCCAGTATTTATTTATTATAACAATGATGATATATTCGTATAATCAATTTAAAGAGATTTTAATTTTAATGTATATACTTATACTTACTGTGCTTTCAACTGCTTTTGAAAAGAATTTAACTAATGACTCTCTGAAAATTTTCGCGGCACACCTTAAATCCTCTCACAGCGGCATCAGTATGCCGCGTTGAACCGCGTTGAAACACGCTGGTCTATCGGTTATTATCGAGGTGCCAAAGAATCAACGAATTCCTCCTCCGATTTATGACATTTCGCCGCGATGGCCGTGATCGCCGCCGTGGTCGTCGTCGTCGTCGGAGGCCCACCGGCCGACGCAAACAGGCTTTGGGCCACCAAGCCTATTTGGTACACGTGTCCTCGCACGTTGAATCGCGGCGATCCTCCTATTCGCAGCGATCAAACGGCCAGGATGAGTGCGGTGAAGGCAGGGCAAGGGATCGGGAATCTATACAAAGGGCCCGGCACACTTAGACACGTGACCGCCGGTGGTACGACTTCGGGGTACCGTAAGTGCCAGAAAGCATTGGGACACAAAGCTTCGCCGCTCTCCTTGCTCTCCCCCTCCCCCTCTCTCTCTCTCTCTCTCTCTCTCTCTCTCTCTCTCTCTCTCTCTCTCTCTCTCTCTCTCTCTCTCTCTCTCTCTCTCTCTCTCCTCTTTATGCCGGCGATTGGCCGCAATTTAGCGACGCGTCGTTGCACACCGTGCGGGATTTGCGGTGGAGAACGTCAACTGCATTGCTCTGCATATTTCATTTCGGAACGTTCGTTCGCCGATTTATCAACGCGGAGACTCGAATGGAGGAGAGCCCGTTCCGTCGTTTCCGCAACTTCGTGTTCAGAAAACTCAAAAGTGATCGGCTGTGACCCGTTGTCCGAGCATACGGAACGATAAAACGATAATTATTAAGGAGTTGAAACTGTCGAGGAGGATAATTGTTGATAAAGGAACGATAGGAAACTGCAGCAAAGAAACTGTCGCAAAGAATTTTACATAAAAAATTGCATTTTAGTTATTTTTCCGGTTACTCTTCGGGTAACACAACGATCGATATGACGTGTACGATATTGATATGAATTAACAAACGTTATGAATTATTCACTCGCACTTTTTTATTTTATATTCTTTTACTCTTCAATTTACATAATTCGCGCGCGTTATGCTAAAGTAATCTCGTTTTGGTTTCATTCAATCGACCGACGCACATACACATATACACACAAGGCGGTTTTATCGAATCAGCAACATTATAATTAGCTGTGGTCTCGTTTATATCGTTAGTCTTGCTCGTGCCTCTCGCTTCAATTACTGGTGAAACTTTAAGCACGTCGAATGAACACATGCGTTTGTATTGATAAAACGGAAATATTAATCATATTCGTGTTTCACGGCTTTCCTCCTCTATGTAACTATACTCCAACAAACTATATATTTTATCTGTTTCAGGTGAAAATATTTCTGGACCTGCAGCAAAAAGCTACAGAGGCAATGGCAGCGATGGTCATCTGGGAATCAGAATTGCACGATATAGAAATGGGATTAGCGGAGATCAACAAACGCGGAGGATCAGTGATCAAGGAGAATGTCGGCCCTCTCTACAAGTAAGTGTATCTTTAAGTGAGTCTCATTTCATTATTTCATTAAGTTAATCGAAATTAATCGAATCGCATAACACATTGCATGCCGTGATGATCATTGGTAACTTTGGTACCGCACCACTGTTGTGTCTCATTCAATTACGTATAAAGTGCGATTAATTAATTGCATCTAAAATTGTTGACTGTGTAGCCAACAAAAAGTTGAGGAAACCAGATATATGAAGAAGAGAGAGATATATGAATCTTAAATTACATTTATTCATCGTATCTTTGGTCACTTAATTTAATAGTTAGGCTGCTGCAGAGAATTTTAAGAGAATGAAAAATTGCTAGTCGTTTGTAATGTCCGAGTGCTTTGTCATATTTTTAATTTCATTACTCTTATATCTTTCGTGATTATATCTTTTTGCAAAGATGCAATTTTTTATCCGATCCGCTAACCGACTCGAAAGTTTCCAAACATGTCGAGAAGTTTTGTAAGGAACGCCCGGAAAGTTGGAATCTTCTGGATGTCTTCCTGACATCTCGAAGAATTGCGTCTAAACTGTCCGACCAGATTTGTAATTTCGTTGAGTTTGAAGAATAAAAGCAAAGATCTCTTTTAAAAATCGCGTCGGATTTCGCGTGCGAAAAGTGGCGCGTTAATGTATATTAACCAGATAAAAATTGTGGCGTCGCGAGATCGTAAAGGTAAAAATTGGTACGACAGGCGGAAGGTTTTCACACCCAAAATAATCGTGAACCGTGACATGGTGCAGCGGCCGTCGGCGCTCGCCGTTGATTCCTGGAGGGATCACATTATCACGACCTGTCCGGGATCGGGACAGGTTGTCATTCTCGACAGGAAGTTCAGACTTATACGGAGGATTCGCCACCGAGAGATGATGGCGCCTCAAGGAGTCGCCTTCCTCCAGGAGAATGACGAAATATACGTGACAGGTTTTGACGTTTAATAGGCGAAATTAACGAAGCGTAAAATCAATAAAAGAGTTCAGACTTAATCTAATTAACATCTATACTGAACAGTAGTCCAAGTTGAGACTCAGTCAAATATCTAAGAAATATTTTATACTATTTATAGAAATCAGATATGTATCAATGATGACATTTGAAATCCGGACAGTTATGTATATAACTTTGCTTCAGAAGTGGAAACATGCAAAGTGAAAAGTTTCATATCCGCTCGTTCGAAAAGTTACACGATTGCTAAAATCGTCGAATTTCAAGTGAACCTTTTTGATTTTTACGTCTCTGTTTTTACGAAAAAATTACATGATCGTTAGTCTGATTAGAATTCTGTTTTGAAGATCATATGTTTAGTCAGTTTTAAATATATCATGACAATTATAATTACGCATCATTTTCTGTAATGGTAATTTGTATTTTTCTCGCCTGAATTTGAAATAGCAATGATGCACGTGATATCATATGAAAATACCTTACTTTTTAAAAAATATGTCCAACTTTTAATGAGCAGTAATTGCAACCGTAAATAATATTTGAAGGCTTCGTTCAAAACGGCTCGATATTTCGGAACGAAATTTCGGAACACGAATATTCGAATATTCGAATCCTCGAGAATTCATATAGGAATATTTAGAACTCTGAGGATTCAAAAATATGTACAACTAAATAAGTACAAAATTAGTTTTGTTGAGAGTTTTGAACTAAATCTTTGATTAAATTTCGAAAATTCGAAGTTTCAAAAATATCAAATAGTACCATTCGTCGTGATAATTTTTTCTCTGAATATTTTTCATGTAAATTACATTCATGTTTTGAGGAAAACTCGAGATTCGCGAAGGGTTTTCGTTTACGCGCCTTCCGAAGCGCGCATTGTTTGTTTGCAACGAACTTAATCTTTTCGTAGATAAATGGAAGCACTGCATCTTCGTGTTCAATCACAAGGGCAAGCTCGCTCGTCGCATGTGCAGCAAAGGTCAAGGAGAGTCGCAGCTGCGCTCGCCGGAGGGAATCACCTTTTACTTGGAACGTAATGTGTTCTACGTCGCCGATACTGGAAATGATCGCATTCAGATCCTCAAGAAGGATGGATCATACCTGGGCAGCATCGGACCCATTGGCAAACGCACGAGAAACACCGTCAGATTACGTAATACTAACCCTGGCCCGAGTCATCTGAACCAGCCGACGGATGTGGCCGTCACTGCAACGCGCGTCGTTGTAGCCGACTCCGGCAGTCACAAAGTTAAGGTATTTTTTCAATAACGAACGTTTTTCTTTATCTTCTCCTGTATTTTCGTAAACTGAAATTCTGGCCGGAGAACTAAGAGTTTGTGAGTACATTAATAATTAGAGTTGTTGTAACTGTAAGTTAAAGTATATTCAAAGATAGATACACTGAGAAAAAATTGTATTAAAATTAAACAAATATTTGTTCGAATACGACTGTGAATACATTTAATTAAATTAAGCAATTATTTTCTAAAATTCAAGAAAAAAGTTTACATTCAGAGAACCTCTGTGTTTCATTTTGGAAATTAGTCGCTCTCTCTTTGTACATCACAGTTTGGTCTTCGATTTTCTCTCATGTCTAATTCCTGATGAAATCTCTTGTTTAGGACTAATTTTTGCAAAAAGAAGGTAAATTGGTAAAAAAATGTATATAAGACTCCTGACGCGTTATTATAGTGATTTTCCAGCTTGTAACGATTTTTATACGTGTAGGATATCGAATAAAGATATCACAGAATCCTATATAAATGTTAGACAAGTACGAGATGTGAAAATTAACGGATGTATTATTTTTTAATACCGCACATTTTATGAGAGTGATGTCTAGTGGTTACATACACGTACACATAGAATGATTTCAATATAACTGTATAATAATAAATGTGCGCCATGAAGCTATGAGTTTCTACATTTTATATTCAAAATATGTATAAATAACCATGAATTTCATTAATTATCGCATTCGCGCTGAAGCATTCATTTTTACACACAGATATTCGATCATAACGGACAAATTCTTCAAACCATCGGTGGCGTTGGTACATCGAAGGGTTTATTCAAGTATGATAAAGTTATTTGCTTATTACTTGCTTATTTATTGCAAAAACACAGAGTTTACTGAGAGTTGTTTTCATTCTGTAGATCGCCGGAAGTACTGAGGATCGACAAGAAGGGAAACATTATCGTCGGCGATGCCGGAAATGGTAGAGTGCAGATCTTCTCGCCGGAAGGTGAGTTTCTACGAGTGTTAGGCTCGAAAGGAACCAAGGAACGCCAATTCGGATGGGTATCGGGCGTGCTGGTAACAAATGATTACGATATCTTTGTCGCCGACAGCAAGAATAACGTTATATATTTATTTTAATATAAAGGGTATAAAAATAATAAAAAGTACTTGGACGGCAAAATATCTCGAAACCTAAGCATTTTAGAAAGAAATGTTTTAGACAAAAGTTGTACGGTTTCAAGGGCAACATAAAACAACTATATAATTTTGTTTACAGATAGCGCCACTGTCGAGATATTCACTGATTATTATTTTTCTTAAATGGAAATCTCAATTTTTTATTTTATTATCATTTTCTACTAATTAATTCGGGTAACTTTTGTCTGAAATATTTTTTTATTTGCTTAATATTTTTTATTTCCTTAATATTATTTAAGAAAAACTTGGTAATTTTTTCAATATTTAACTTACGATACCTTATTATCTATTATTAACTATTTGTCGGAAAAAAAAGTGGTACTAGACTTTCTTACCTTATTTGGTCTCAAAAATATATTGTTACAAAGCGCTCTCGATTTTGTTAATTTAACGATCTTGAAATTTCCAAAGGTCAACGAGTTAACAAAAGTTAAGATACTATTGTAATAATATTCTTGAGGTCAAATAGAATAAAAGAGTCTAGTATCACTTTTCCTTCCGACAAGTAGTTACCGAGATATCACCGAGAGTAAACAAAATAACAACCAAATATTGAAAAAGTTACCAAGTTTACCTTAAATATTTAAAAATATTAGGCAAACAAAAAATGTTTCAAACGAAAGTTGCCCAAATTTATTGGTAGAAGAAAGTGATATAATAAAAAAATTGGGGTTTCTATTTATATTATATAAGAAAAGTAATGATTAGTGAATATCTCGAAAGTATCGTCATCTGTAAATAAAATAATATAGTTGTTTTATATCCCGCTTGAAACTATACAACTTTTGTCTGAAACATTTTTTCTAAAATGCTTAGTTTTCAAGATATTTCGCCGTTCCGGTACTTTCTATACACTCTGTATATTGCTATATACATATGTAATGTATAAAATTATACAAGAATCATACGTATATAATATTGATTTTATTGTTATCTTAAAACAATTGCATAACTATACAATTGCTTGTCCAATATTTCTATCCGGTAAATATTATGCAATAGAATGTAATTTATATCAATTTTTTTGATTTGTTCTATGGTTTGGATAACATTCAGGTTTTCCTTCATCACAACTGTTTCTAATTAGCTGCTTCAAAATGGTAAATACGTGATACAAAATAGATGTTTCTTATTTTGAGTTTACATTGTTCGGATTATATCAGGTTAACGGGATCGATTTGGAAAGTCACGTCAAAATCGAGCTTGATCGAACGTAATTGTATATGGGGAAACTAATTTCAGTATTTCTCGATTCGACTGTTTCTATTCTAAGAGACGTAAACTCCAAGTTTCGTATAAACGTGTGATATTCCAGCGTTGTGACGTGCAGTTACACAATAACACACTGTGCCGATTTTAATCAGCCGTTCGTAAATACGAACCGACTGCGGTTGACGTAGCGAATGAGTTACATAATAATAAACGCAGCGTCATAGAATGTGTCGGGTGGCGTATTATGCAGTAAATAAATCTGCCATCTGGCTGTTGTGCGCGCGAAATAAAGCGTAGCTGCAAAATCCGAATGCATGCCCGTAATTCGGAAATGTCGACTTTTACGTGGAATTAAAATATCTAGTTTTCGGAAATTATGGCGGACACACCTCTGAACTTTGTTGCGTATTTTTATGTTCCTTTTCTACCTATTTGTCCAACATACTCGCGCATCACTCAGTGATTTAATTAATACAGCGAACTATACCATATATAGAAGAAAGAAATTTATTTTATTACGCTTAAATATACTTTGGATAACATATATATATATATATATATATATAAAGAGAGAGAGAGAGAGAAGAGAGAGAGAGAGAGAGAGAGAGAGAGAGAGAGAGAGAGAGAGAGAGAGAGAGAGAGAGAGAGAGAGAGAGAGAAAGAGAGAGAAAGATGTTTACAATATTAATCTGTACAGAACGGCTTTTACACTCTTTGAACTAAAAACGAATTAAATAGAACCTTCTCTATATGTTAATGGATATTAATAAAAAATATGAGATTTTCGCCGCACCACTACAGCGGATTTCCGAGTTGTAAGAGTTATGTATATAAGAGAGAACAATTTACACATCATAAAACATCATAGAAGTTTCAGTCAGTGAACTATATTCACTGCTCTGTCGATACTTTTCAACGTATCTGCTTCTCATTAAAGCGCTATGTAAACAATACATATATAAAATAATATATAATGAAATAAGAATAAAGAGAAATCCGATGCGATTTCGCAACACATGCAACCTGTGATCTTCCAAGCTGAATAAATTCCCAATCCCGATATTAATTAATTATACATTCCTTGACGATGCGTCTGATTCTTTGCGAGACCGACGTCGCGGTTAAACGGACAAACAGAATCGACAAGGCTGCGGCGGTCTGGGCGTTGTTTATTTTTCCCAAAAGCGTTTGCGTTTTCAATCGCGGGTCAAACAGAATCGCGGCACGCGAGGCGCCGCTCTCCTGCGTCTGTCTAACCAATAAATAATTTCGCAAACAAATTGATCCCCGGGGACTATAAACAGATACTTAGAGGCACGCGCTCTCTCCCCGCCCGGACGGCGAATTAAATGTCCCGATGCAGATCCGTATCGAAAGATCGAACCGCTGGACAACAGGAGATCGTTCGACGATCAGACCCCTACTGTGAGAACCGGAGTGGGCCCCGCGGCGTGAAATCTCTATTATTCCGGGGGTTCGGCGTGCCTCGAACCCGTCCCGTGCCGACCTCGCGGACATGCGTGTGCGTGCCAAAGGGGGATGCACTGGCGCTGACAGGGGGGAGTCGACCGGGGCTCGCCCCTCGAAAATAATGTAATCGCGAATTAAATGTTTGCTCGGCTATCGACCATCTCCGCCGGGACCTATCATCACCCAAGAAAATTCAATCGGAAGTGGATATGACTCTGGCGACTCTGATCTCGCGGATACGCTCTCACTCACTCGTCTCTCGAATGTTGCAGTATTGTAATAACTTAACAAATAGTGAAATAATAACTTGACAAGGTTACATTGAGAGAAAAAATAAAAACTTATTCGATGAATACTTTTTACTTATATTAATATATACATATATATATATATATACATGTGTGTGTGTATATGTGTGTAAATATTTGTTTATTTATTTATTTATTTAAGTAAATATGTTAATAGCGCGAATAAATGTATTTTAATTTTAAATATTTCTCCGTCGGTACGATTAAAGAATAACTTAATATAGGTTTACTGCATAGTTAAAGAGTAACTAAACTCAAAATTGAGTTACTCTTTTATAAAATGATAACGTAAATCTTAACAAAAAAAATAATAAAATAAAGTAATAGAAAAATACAGATGCTTATATTCGCGTATAAATATGCGCGAAAACGTTCGATGAAAGGAAGAAATGTATTTAAACATACGTTATGTGTGTGTGTGTGTGTGTGTGTGTGTGTGTGTGTGTACGAGGGTAGTCCCAGAAGTAGTACCTGACCTAACAAAGAAAACACAAAAAATTTGGGAAAAATATCTCTATTTCTCTACATAGTCCCTTTTTAGCTCAATACACTTTTCCCAGCGATGTTCAATAGCTTCGATACCCTGTTTATAGTGGGAATCATCGAGCTCCTCAAAATAGCCATGAAGCCACCTTGGTCCATTGTTTTGACTGTTCCTTCGTCTCAGGTGTGAAGTGATGGACCCATGTTTCATCCATGGTTATGAATCGACGCAAAAACTCGGCTTTATTGCTGCGAAACTTCGCCAAACACTCGATTGAAACATCCTCACGACGCTGTTTTTGTTTCATTGTGAGTAATCGCGGCACCCATCTTGCGCACAGCTTTCTCATGTCCAAATTTTCAGTCAATATGCAATGTACAGGACTTTTTGAAATGCCTACCGTGTCTGCTAACTCGCGCACTTTCAGTCGACGGTCATCCAATACCATTTTGTGGATTTTCTTCACCATTTCTGGCGTGGTCATCTCATTTGGTCGACCACTGCGATGTTCGTCTTGGCAGCTCGTACTGCCTCGTTTAAACTCTGCCACCCAATATTTTACTGTTGTAAACGAAGGAGCAGACTCCCCCAGAGTAGAATCTAGCTCCGCTTTGATATTGGTTGGACTGAGGCCTTTCAAATGAAAGTATTGTATCACATAACGATGACCAATTTTTCCCATGTTTACAAATTTACTGAGAGCGTTCACTATTGATGGCTGCCAAACAAATACTAAACAACGTAAACTTCGTCAAACTTCAAACTTAAGCTTTATAAGGTTGGTACTTTCTACCATAGTCATTCTTTTCAAACAACAACCGCTATTTATACGTCAGGTCAGGTACTTCTGGGACTACCCTCGTATGTACGATTTGTACTCAGGTCGATAATCTTGCATAAGAATGATAAAGTGAACGAAGGGCGGAAGGTCGAGCGGGTAGACGTTCGGAGCGAATCTCAGAGACTGCGTCGCACTCTCCCCTTAAACGAACGCGACAAATTGAGATAAATAATAGTTTTGCGGGGACACAAAGCTCACTCGAAATTTGTCATGGTGATACTCTCGAAACGGCACGCTCCCGAGCCGTTGCGAAGCGATACGCGCGGATGAAACGATACGCACACTCGAGTTACATCTGGCGCGTTACATAAACGCACATCATATTCACGCATAGCGAGATCGTGCGTGGCCATCGAAAAAGTCTCTCTCTCTCTCTCTCTCTCTGTCTCTCTCGCTCTTGCTCCCCCCCTTTCTCTCTCTCTCTCTCCCTCTCTCTCTCTCTTTCTTTCTCTTTTTCTCCCCTCCTATCTCCCTTTCTCTTTCTTTCTCTTCGTAAATTTTCCACGCGATCTCGCTGTATGCGCGCGATTATCGAACGCGGTTTTATCATATCTATTCGTCGCGCCTCTCTCCGAGTTCCGCTTGTTCATCCGGCGAATGGATTTATCGCGTTGATATTATAAATTCACTCGCTCGAAATTCACCCCGTGTATTCGTGTATTATATTAATTTCGGATCGATCCGTCTCCGTTACGAGATAACGTCAAAATATGCAGATCAAGCATGCGGCTTCTCTCGCGGCCGATCGACCTCTCTCCCTCTCTCTTATTCTCTCACGGAACGGAAGGGTTGCAATGCGTATATGTAAGGACGACGTGTTCTCACACAAATTCGAGGGCCTAAATCCCAATTATATGCATATCGTGGCTCGGTGGGCTCGTCAATAATAAGTCGGCGGTGCCTTGGGTGAAGCGCGACCGCGGATTCTCTTGCTCGCTCGCTCACTCGCTCGCTCTTTCTCTCTGTCTTCCTCTTGTTTCGAATTCGTTTCCATAGGGACAAAACTTTGTCCGACCTGCGTTGTAGGTACAAGCCCGGTGAACCACTATTGTGATCGTATTAACACCTCGCATAATTGCACCACCATTGTAGCCGCCGCCGCCGCCGCCGCCGCCGCCGCCGCCGCCGCTGCCGTCGCGTTTCTCTCTTTTCTCGCGCGTGCACTAAACATAGCTCATTTGAATATCGGTTCCATTCATATCGCAATGGGAAGGCTAATAATCGCACCCTTAAAAAGAGACACACCGCCGCACCCGCAAATCGACCTCAGCTACACACTCCTCTCCAGACATCATCCTGGATGATGCTTTCTCAGGCTGTCATGGGTGAAACATTTTTGCGAGTCGATATAATCACGCGGTCGTTCAATATATAATATTATTATTCAATCCAATATAATATCAAAATTCAATTCAATATATAATATATATAATATCTTATTATCGAATGCTACTAATTTCAAAAGTTACATTATTCTCTAAATCATGGATTTCTCATCGCAACAAAATTTTATTCTTCTCTGTGCGGAGAAAATAGATTGTTTTCTCAGTTGAGTTAACACGAAAATAAACAAGCCAGACGCGTTTTGATAGAAAGGAACGAAAAAATTCTGATTTCTCGCGTTTTGGTGGCAGGGAAGAAAAATTTTTGATTTTTTAGAATTAAATTTAATTCTTGGAACTAAAAATTTTATTTGTCGTCACATTTGATTTAACTAAACTCTTTGGCGAAGATAATAAAAAAGACCCAACAATAACATAACTATAATAATGGCGTTAATTAAAAGAAACCTGATTTTTTATCATATCTCATGTTTTGAATGTTAAATAACGGCATAAAAATTGTCCACTTTCATCAAAGAAGCCTAAAATAAACTTAATTGATCGAGAAATTTATACCTTGCATCACGAGGGGATAACAGAGAGAGAGAGAGAGAGGGGGGGAGGGGGAGGGGGAGGAAGGATGTGGAGGGAGAGAGGGAGAGAGAGAGAAAGAGACTGATCAGATGAGAGAGTCGATGGCGCGCGGCGGGCGTTGAAGGAGCGTGCGGAAGAAAATTATTTTCGATCAAAGAACGCTCGCGATATTTCAGCGGTACTTTCGGCGAAATTGAAAAACCGCCCCGCCATTCTTCGCGAAAAAATCCACCCTCGCGTCCTTCACCGAGACGACGGCGACGAGTAAGAGAGCGAGCGAGCGAGCGAGCGAGCGAGCGAACGGTCGGTCGGTCGGTCGGTCGGTTAGTACGTAGGTAGGTGGGGGATGAATAAAATTTCTGCGGAGGTACGCGCCGGGGGCGGAGGGACGCTGATAAAATCCTCGCTATAGCGGAGACCGGCTCGCCAATCCCGTGAGCATCTGATAATCGCGCACGACGAGCGTCACGACTCACCATTGGACGCGCACCCGCCCAGGGGTTGGTATCGATCATCCCCCTCGCGAGTGAGACAACTTTTCATATATAAGGCGGCCTCCCCGGGAATACCGGTGATAGTCTGGATCTCGCGAGTTTCCCATGCGGACACCCCCGTGCGAACGAGCGACCAGCCGGGGTCGATCGGTCGATTGCGGTGAAATCGGTTCAGAGAAAGAGCCGGAGAATTTCACGAGATTTCGAAGCAAATTTTGCTGTGATTCGGTGTCGAGAGCCATTTCTGGGCTTCTGCGAGAAAGGGAAACGAGAGAAGTCGGAGAGGTAAATCAGCAGCGGAAGAGTTGAACTCCTTTACGGGCTCAGTGGGGTCGTTCGTGAATTTCGGTGGCATCTTCGGTAATTGATCTCGCGCGGCTTCTGACTACGGATGAGATCGTGAGAACCGGCGGACGCGCGTTATGGCAAATCACCATCCAGCGTACGACTTCGAAGACAGGGGTCAGAGGATCCGCCATCGGGTCGGCACCGCGTCGAGACCCGCGGACTCCACCGTCGCTTGCACTAGGTACTATTTCGTGTTATTTTCGGATCTGTCAAATCTAACGGACTGCTTTATGAAAACTATTATCTAAATGTACTGTTACGCGATTCCTTTTTATCGGGATATCTTGGATGGAAGTAACAGACTCGATAATTTCAACAAAATTGTGAAAGATTCTCGTGTTTGTTTAATGTAATGTATAAAAGGATTTTTAACTTTCGCAAAAATGAGCGATAATCACTCGTAAGCAACATCTAAAAGTGAATAATGATATTTTATATATAGTTTCGTAACATAGTCACTAAATAATCGTTGCACATAATTTTGAATCTGTACGAAATAAAATTGCTAAACTCTCTTGTTTATCTGTTTAATCCGAATCCGAAGTGGATTTTCCAAAAATATATAAATAAACATTCTTATTGCAATTGCGATGATAGTAATATGCTCAAGAAATTAGATTTGCTATAAGAAATGTATGTGTGACAGCTGTATCGTTTCGTAGTTCATTCGATCATTGATTAAATACATATTACTATTAATGTAACTTTCAACAACTGTGTACACAGTTACACAGAATTAATTTCCTCTATCTTTTTATGAGAAGAACTTCAGGTATCGCATATATTTTTACGCTTCTCATTTCCCTAATGACCTTGTATAATATTATTTGCAATATCGCACCTAACTTTCGATATTTTGTAGTACACAATATTACGTGGGCCCCAGCAGTGACATCAGCGAAGAAGATTTGGCGGAATTGCCATCATGCGTTTACGCGGGCAGGTCGACGCAACATGTCGCACACACCTCGCCACATACGCACTCTCCCTTGCATTACCACATGCCAGTTTCAACACCAGGTAAGGAATACCGAAAATCCGGATTCATCACTCAATTCAATTGTCATTCAATTCTCGCCACTGGCGAGAAACACTCAACTCGCGTTAGCCTCTTCATCGTCTGAATTCTTCCTCAGATCATAATGATACGGAAATAAATGGCGTGGAGGAGGGTTATTATCCAAACGGCAGCCCTTACAGAATTCAACGACACGCCGCCAACATTCGTGAGAGGAAACGCATGCTTAGGTAAGAAATTTTCGGAAATAACTTGCGCCATTCTTTCGTCAATGCAGTTCTCCCCCAATCAAAATCTTCCGAAAAGGACGGAAATGTAATAAAAATATAACGCAAAGTAAGCATGAAATCTGTCTAGAACTCACAGTATAATAGATCTGTATTTACATGAAATTTGCAGGATATTATTTACGAGAGAAAATAGTCCATTTTTTCGCTCTACTGCCGTATTGTAAGATTAATTAATACTTTTATCTCAGTTTAGTTCAGTTTCAGTTTTGGCAAATTATTTAATTGGCGATTAATTTAAACGTTACATCTGTTTCATTTTTTTAAGCCTTTCATTTATAATTCGCCAAATATTGTTTCCTTCAGTTTTGTTCGAGTGAGCGGGTTGTCAGTGTGATTGCAATTTTTAGCAGCATCAACTCGGCTTTCGACGAGCTCCGGGTCCACGTGCCGACGTTTCCTTACGAGAAAAGACTATCGAAGATTGATACCCTGCGTCTGGCCATTGCGTATATCGCGCTACTGCGCGAGGTCTTGGCGGCCAGACTCGACCCTTTGACATACGTCGAAAGGTGCCTTAGGGGTGAAATAAACGGCGAACGCGCCGAGTGGAACACAAGTGGTTCGTACAGTCTTATAATTCTAGAGTCTAAACTTTTCCCGTCGAAATAACAAAAAAGCGATCATCCCTCGATATTGAACCGATCGCTTCCTAATAACAGTCCGTATCCTAAATTTTCGAATTCTTAACATAATGTAACATAATGTAACGTAATTATAGTTTAAAATATAGATAACAAATGAATAGCAAATAGCAAATATGAAAAATAGCAAAAATTAAATAGAACAAATGTGAGGAATGTAATAATACAGTAAAAATAATAATGTAAACAGTAAATGGCGGAAATAAGTATCAGTTTTTTAATAAATCTTGCAACACAAACCCGTGTCCGCCGGGAGAATTTGTTTCTCAGTAATTTTCAGAAGATAAATTTTCTTATTGAATTCCGAAGTAAGAGTGTCTTCTGAAGTTCAACGAAAGAAAAATTACAATCTCTTCGCCATTGGTTATAATCACTCGATCGGTTGAAACGTGCTTCGGGATTTCGCGGATGTCCGATTTATTCAAGAATTTACAAATCAGCCGGGTAAATTGCCGCCGTCGTTGTTACAGATCTGACGGCACGTTTATCCTGGATAAACTGGGAGAATCTGGGTGTGAATCCAAACCGGCGATCTGTGCTGACCACTCTCGCGCTGACGACCGACAATATGAATTGAGCATCCACGACGAGAGACGCTCGCATGAGTCACACAACGATTCCTCTTTTCTTTGTAAATACCTTCACGCTGGAATAGAGAGAAGAAGAAGGAGAGAGAAGGAGAGAGAGAGAGAGAGAGAGAGAGAGAGAGAGAGAGAGAGAGAGAGAAAGAGAGGGGGGGGGAGTGCTAAGGACTTGTTCACAATTTTGGTTTCAATTCACGTGCAATACGAGCGACAGAGCATTGTATTCGGTATCTACATGTACGTGTAAAAAAAAAAGGACACTAGTTAGTACAATTTAGTATTTGCTTTGGAATAAAATCGATGCTGTTCGAGACCCCTGGCTATCTTTATTCTTCGCAGCAACGATCATAAGGAGAGATCATGTCGCTCAGGACAAAGAACTCTCTTGATTGTACTTTTATTAGTGTAACATTATCGCCTGCGATAATATTCATAGTCGGTTACAACGACGTTTACGTTATCAGAATCTGTCACGGTAGGATTTAAATGTATTTTAACGACTGTAATTCTCATTTAGCGAGAAACATATGTGTGAAATATATCGTATAACATAGATTCGTACTGTTGCGTACGATAGATACGAGAACCGTACGATATTGGAATGTGGTTCGATAATAAGTCGCCGAGAATTTCGTACTTTCTGTCTTTCCGAGTCAAAATCGATTTCGCATTTACTACGATATATCAAGTACACATTGTGTGAATACTTCTCACATTAGGCAACGTTGGAATATAATTGCCATTATCGCTGTGCCATGCCTCCCTTTCTTTAGTTTAAATATTTAAATTTGTTTACGTATTTAAATTTAAATGTATATTTGAAAATTAACGTTTAATTAGGCATAATTAAATAAATACGTATTACGTATTTAAATTTAACGTAATTATACATAATTATACGTATTATACGTAAACTGATGTTTACATTAGTTCGAATTAAGCACCGTTCGATCCTCCATTTCTTTTTAGTTCTATGTTTAGACGGATAAGGGAGAGGGGGGGAACATTACTTAAATTGTCATCAACGCTAATTGATGCTCTCCGGTGACGCGAAGTAAATAAACCATTCTCACGGCTTCGACGCCCATTTCCCGATTGAAACAACGAAACACTGCACCCGATACATACAACGCTCGTGACATTCTCTCCCGGGGGACACCTTCAACTGTCGATTTCTTGCCGTTAAATCGATCCACATGCGTGCGCACTCGCTCGCTCGCTCACGTTCGCGTTCGCGCTCGTGCGTGCAATCGACCGACGTGGTGAAACATTTGAAAGGTGACACTACCGTGACAGCTGACCACAGTGCTTCTGGCGAGAGCATTTCTCGTCGCTCTCGTTTCTTTGGATGTGCCACTCCATCATATCGGCCGATTGATATCGATTATCTTACTCCATTCTCTCAATATCGAGTTTTTGCGTAACTTTATTGCGCTTCAAGCGAAGATCCCGGGAATTGCCTTAACGAATCACCGTCGTCGAGGTAAATTAATTCTTCCATGCTCCTTTCCCAACAGTGAGGAACATCTTCGAAAAAAGAGAACGGCAAGGTCGACAGGCCTTCATCGAGGACGTGACGCGCAATTGTGCCAAGAAAAAACGACCGTCAAATTGTCAAGTTTGTCCTTCCAACTCGAAAAGTTTTTGATAAACGGTCTCACTCTATTATTTCACATCTCATTCTTACTTTTTCTTTCTTTCGGCGAACCGTAAATATTCAGTTTGTTCTCGACGTAGGAAAAACGTGATGGAATGTAACTATAATAAGACCAAGTTGAAAGAGAGAGAGAGAGAGAGAGTCCGAATTATATAAAAATTGACCGATTTACATAGCCTCGTCTAGACTATAGATGAAGAGAAAAGAAGTTTATGATTAAAATTAGCCGTCAGAGAGAAAAATTGATTTAATTTCGAATTTGAACTTCGATTCTAATAAAGATTCGGTAGCAAAAGAACAGACTCATAACGCTGAGAACGATGGAGGTGATGTCGCAGGATCTTATGGAGCAGTACTATGAGATCCAAGAAATCGAAGAAATCCCGAGAAGGAACGAGTCTTCGTTTGCGGAAAATTCAAACAGAGATGCCGTTGAGAACGCAGCATATTTTGCTCGTCGAGATTTGCCGTCGAGTTCAACATTGGCCGGCCGGATCCGAGAAGTACTCGACGACGAGACAGAAGTGATTCTGTTGCTGCAGGAGGAGGGATCGGCGAGATGTCGCCGTGAATATACGACGAATCAGCAGATCATCGAGCTGAGCGACAACGACTGTAAGTTGGCCCTTCGACGGCAGCTCCAAATGGCGGACGGCGTTAAACGCGAAGACGCGATCATGTCGCACGACGACGAGAACGCGGAGATGCTGCGGAAGCTGCCGCCGGATACGATCGTGATGAGGCAAGAGCAAGCGAGGCCGAATAAAGCTGAGAACAACAGCGATTATAAAGAGCTCACAACAACGGAAACCAACAGTAGCAGCAGTGGTGGCGGCAGAAGTGGTAGCTCAACTTCTGGCTGCACAGCCGCCAAAGTGAAGAGGATTCCACGCGCTGTGAGGCATAAAACGTAAGGAAATTCGTTCAAGTTAGCGATTTCTTCGTTAGAATTATATATATTAGATGTATGCAAAAGTTTTAGTCTATTTTTTCAGCCCCCTAATTATAGTAATTATTGTAATTATTTTGAATTGAATTATTTTCCCGCCGTTTTGTGCTTTTGTAAGATTGGTATTGAACTTTCTAAAAAGTGCCATTCACTGAGTCTATTTTTTCTTTTAAGAATTTTTGAACTTTGGTGTACGCTAGTGCAATAAGTTAGAATGAAAGAGAATATATCTGCTACGCTCCAACTTATTGCATTAGTTCAAAAGTCCTTCAAAAAAAGAATAGACCTATTATGATTCGTTAATGTACATAACCTTAAAAATAACAGTTGATACAATGAGCGACGAAAAATTTTATGTTTGACACTACATTCGATACGAATTCCAACAAGGAAAAAATATTGCTAAAGTAACGTGAATCCATTTGCTCCGTTCTTGGGGAAAATATTATATCCCATATTGTGTACAAATATTGGTTTCGTCGCTTTAAAGACGGCGATTTTGACGTGAGTTATCGTCTATGTTCTGAAACGTGCTACGAAAGTTTGAGATCGACAATTTAGAAGTGTTGTTGAATGTTGTTGAAAACCTGTCTCAAACACAAGTAGAATTTGCAAAACAGTTCGCAGTTGAACAAGCAAGTTCAATTTCAAGGCGATTGCATGAAATAGGAAAAATTCAGAAGTTTAGAAAATGGGTTTAGAAATGGGCAGCAAAGAAAAGACTAAAATTTTTGCATAATCTAATAATTTCATTAAAGTAAAAGTAATTTTAATAATAGCAAAATTTTGCTCTCTAAGTAGAAATAAGTTTGTAAGTAACTTATTATTAAAGATATTTTAGATAGATTAGATATATTTTTTCTCCAAAAATAATATATTAGTAATATTTTTTCTATTTTTCTCCCCCTTCCTCTCTCTCTCTCTCTCTCTCTCTCTCTCTCTCTCTCTCTCTCTCTCTCTCTCTCTCTCTCTCTCTCTCTCTCTCTATTTCTTTCTTTTTTTCTATTTTTCTAAGTTTGCTTCTTGGTGATAATTTGGCCGTTGAATGAATTTCTAATTTGGAATATCAAATAATTGGAATGATCTTGTTTCTACAATCGTTTTCTACTGACGCGAATTTTAACCACCCTAGAATGCGATAACACGTTGACTACCAAGATTGATTTGCAAAATTCTTTCCATATATACTACTCGTATCTTTTTTTGTTTTTTCTTTTTTTACATAATTGTACACAACAAACTTGATTTGTTAATGTGGATATGGAAGAAAGATTTTCATCGTCGCAAATATACGGCGCTGGTATCTCGTGGAAAAGCACTGCATCATATATGAGTGGCGCTGGTAGTATACATGTTAATGATATTTTAAGTTCTGTAATAGGCTAGACTGTGTGATAGAGGTTTGTAACGTTATTAATTTCTTGCGGCGCGATATAAACTCACCTCGGTCTAAAACTCTAGAAAATATCGTTATATGAGATAACATTGGCAGTCATGAAACGGTGGAGGTAAGACGGAATCCTATGCGGTCTAAGAAGGATGTCAACAAGGATTTGCTGCGGCCCAGACAGCGACTTCTGACGAACAGGCGAGAGGTCTGTGAGACTTATGAGGCCGGCAAACGCACGAGATCGTCTGCGGTGCCGTATATGAATACTAGGTCGGTCACCCGAAAGATGTACGCAGTGGGTGCGACTTATCAGGCACCCACTAAGCGAGATGAGACCGAATGGAAGGAATGGCCTGCGCATGGAATGCACGAAAGGCCAGTCTATCATCCTCAGGTAATATCATCTTTTCGAGCACTTTTTACTATTTTTACTATTTCTTTTGTATTCGCGTAAATTACACACGAATATACACGCACGCACATATATACATATATATATATATATATTATTCGTGAGAACAATTATCAATTTTTAGAAATTAATAATTTCATCATATGTTATAATTTTAATAATGTTCTAATGCATAATATTGTAATTTATAATATATAACGTACAGTGTATAAATTATAATTACATTTTAATATTTACATTACAATTATTTAGTACATTATAATTTATCCGTCATGTATGCACATACACATACACACCTACATACATACATACACGCACAAAATTTATATTTATGTCTCTCAACAAATCCTATTCGTGAAAATTTTTATTTCTTCAAATTTCTCAAAAAAAAAAATCATTATTTTCCCACATTCCGCAAAAAATCTCTATTAAGAAATCAATTAGCATATACTTATAAAACAACTATATGAGAATTATGTTCGCAGGCCGGTCTAGCGGTGGAGTACCTAGGAAGATACTTCGTCAGCTTTGACGGACTATCTTACTGCGAGATTATGAATGAGTCTGATGTAGATGTCGAGGTGGTCGCCGTCGATCCGCGCTATGACCGGCGACCTTCTTCAGCAGAGAAGAAACCGATGGGAAAGGTAAAGGTGCAAAGCAAGCGTTCATCGAACACTAGGAACACATGGAACACTGCTCTGTCGGCAAAAATGAACGAGTCTTTTGGTACATGCATGCATGGGAGCTTCCACTGTGTGCTCGGTTACTGTTCGCAAGTCATGACGCCATTTTATAGACAAATGACGGGAGAGAGACCGATAATGAAATTGGCAACGCCTGTAGCAACCAAGACGAACATTTCAGAGTCAATGGAGAGCACCACGACTTTTAAAGACAAAACCTTGAACATCATGAAGAACTCAGACAACTTTGCCGAGGAAACAAAGTTGCTGGAAGATTATGCCATCGCTATGGCGCAGAATACTCAAAGCAAGAACAGCACAAATAGTCGCGATAGAATTGGTGTTGCGACCGTCACGTCGTCTTCAGCGGTATATGTGTCATCAGACTCGCAGAAGTCGATCATGGAGATTGATGGCTCGAAGACCGTTCCATCGAGTAGAACAAACTTGCTGCGAAGCTTCCCGAACAGTTCTCTGGTCTTGCTGACAAGCTCAGGCACGAAGAATAGTGGCGAGGTCTGTAAGACGAAGGACATGAAAGACACATACAACTCTGCAAAGTTAGAGGATTCCTCCAGCGAGGAGACGTTATCGTCGATCTACAAGAAGCTGATATCTGTGGACAAGACAGTCGCCAATCGCGAGGTGCCTCCAGCGAAAGGTAGCTTCTACACCTTGAAGCGACAACATTCAACGAGCGGTACACGGGAATATAATCCTAAAAAAATTGTCTTCGACGCACAGCTGGAGAACATAAGGAGCCTCCCGCTTGCAAAGGAGAACAATGAAAACGGAAACAACAACAGCACAAAGATCAAACAGCCGGACAGCGGAGTGTTTGCTGGTCCCAATGTGAAGAACCGCTCATGGTGCACCAGCGAAACCTCGGAGATCGCTAGGATCTTGTCAGAATATAACAGAGGTGCGATAAGGAAGTCCGCGATACATATCTACGGCAACGCATCGAAGAATGACAAGACGAGCCTTGCAACTTCCGGTACGAAGTATTCGACGAAAGTGAATTGTTTCTGGCAGCAGGATACAATGATGGAGGAAAATTGTGATGTCTCTGAAAGCAGAAACATGGGTCTTGATCTCTCGCAAGGGAAATGGAAGAAATTGGCAACGCTGGAAAATACAAGTGACCAGATGCAGCACATCGTCGACAATGATCGAAACACATTCAACAGATTTGAAGGTTACTCGACGCCGGTAAAAAGCTACCCCGGTGTTTCGCCAAGAGATCGACATACGAATTTGGATGTTGCAAACTATGCGAGAAAGGAACCTGCCGTAGCTCATAAAGATCTCGGTAAACAGCCACGAGAGACGCTCGCAATCGATGTGAAGCCGAAAAAAGTGATCTCAAAATGTTCCAAGGAAGAGACGGAGGTCCTGAAGACAGAAGACTCCTTGCGGGAGCTGCTGGAGAATACCGCGGTGTTATATTGCGCCGCCAACGGAGTTCACCAGGACGATTTATCTAGCTACATCGATACCCTCGATAGCAAACAAAGTATTCAGTGGCTGGAGACTTATAATAACTCAATTACGTAGAAAGTCGACGGTAGAATGCCCGAGCAAAAATATTACATATAATTATATCAAATTCTATATAATTCTTCTATATAATTATATATAAATTATACATGTCATTATGTAAAATTATATATAATTATACGTATGAGATCTATATATGAATTTGCTTTTCTATATGATCACATATATAATTATATCATATGTAATTATAAATCAGCATATATGGAAGAAATGCTATTAAATTAGAAGAAGAAAACAGTTTCATCTAATTGAATCTCTTTACGTTATATATAGGTTGTTACAAACATAAGCAGTTGCTTTAATCTTATTTGTACAATAGCATTTCTCTTTCGCAGATATATATAATTTCGTGGATATATATAATTACATATGAATATATACACATATAGTCCTATAGAAATAAAATTCATATACAGTTGTATATACTTATTTTTTCTCGGGTTCTTATTTTTATTCAACGTGCGTGACGTTGCTGAATTTAAAGTTGTGTTTTGCTTTCGAGGAATATTCGTGGACGTGATAAAGTTCTTATAGAGAAATTCAGATATTTTTACGATAATTCGTTACTTCTTCTCATTCATTTCGTCACACGAATGTAAACTCTAAGAAAGAAAGAATAACATGTAGATATGATTAATATAATATAAAGTTTCAAGTACAGTTATATTTTTTGCAATATCGTAGCGTATTGCTTTTCTCTATTCATTAAAACATTTATGTTTCAAAGATTCTATAAAACAGTTCTCAATAATTCTATACATTGATTTCTTTTTTTTTCATGTTCCAACATTACGTTAGACGTTATGTTTACGTAATTGCGTAATTAATAGTTATTTTTATCAAATTACATTTAAGTTATATCCCTCTGCGGATATCGAGAGAAATTGAGAATTGCATCTTACAAAAAGAGATATTAAGAATTTCATGCAATTTGTGTATATAGATACAATATTTTACACAAATATATTTCTGATATAATTAAAGGACATATGCCTTGCGATTTTATAAGAGACAAAGCGGAGCAAAATCACACATTAATTAAAAAAATTATTCCAGTTACTCGATCCGCTGTTTTGAAAAATGTTGCTACGCGTGTTGTTACTTCGAAAGATTTAAATACCTCAGTTTATCTATATTTACGAATGATTTATGTATACGTTAATTATTACGATATAACTGTCTCATTCTCGTGGTCAGTATGATGCCGTCGTTAATCCCAGCGTGTATGAAGAAAATGCAAACGACTAGAATCGCAGAATAAACAAACAGCAATGCCATGATGCCCAGATTTCGTTGTCAGTCACTATCCTGCTGTCGCTTTCGATGCGCATATTTACGAACACTGCAAATCATCGCAAAGATGTATGAACACAATGGAAGAATGATATCATTATTTCTACACTTCTAAACATCACGAGGTTCAAGAAAAATAAATATTTATAGGACATTGACAATGTAGCATTTTCCGATTGAAAAAAATCACGATTGACAATTCGTAAAAATTTTAAAGATAATTTTTAATTTCTGAAAATAGAAAGAAGCGGTGGTGTGTAGCTAAATTCAAAAGAAAGAATAAAACATACATCTCTTCGTGATTATGTATGTATATACACGCACCTACGCACATACACAAGTACGTTATAAAAATTATTAAGCATATACAGAGTGTTTAAAGAAAGGGTCCAGGACAGGTAGTATTCACAAAATGGAGGAAAATATCCTAATAAATAAAGGTCGAGAAATTAATATTGTCAGAATTATAAACAATTATTTATTTTATTTAAATTATTTTAATCAAAACAAGTGGCTCATTCGTTTCTGGTGCTTACAAAATTTATAAAAGATTTTCTATATGTCCTCCTATTTCTACACTCGCTTCACATATTTATACTATATATTTGCGAATTCTTCCAAAAATTCCCGGCTTTGTTTTAATTATTTGACAGACATTTTATATTCTCTGAGATAATTCATCTAACATTTAAATAAAGGTCCTTTGATGAAAGATGGATTGGTCAAGGTGGACAAGTTTCATGGTTTTCTCACTCTCCTGATTTAAATCCCCTGGACTCCCTTTTTATCGGAATTTTTTAAAAACATGCTCTTCACAGATAAATGACATAGCCACTTGCTTTAATTAAAATAAATAACAATATTAATTTTTTTACCTGTGGTTTTAGGATTTTTTTCCTCTATTTTGTGAGTATTATCTATCCTTAAAACCCTAAACCATTCTTTTAAATATCCTGTATGTGTAACAATATATTAAAAAATTATTAGAAATTCTTTGGATACCTAAAATTTGCCGTATTAATTGTGACTGGTTGTGAATTTTACTTTTCTAGTTCAAAAATCATATTCGACGTTTGAAACTCTCATTGAAACAAATATTCTTCTCCATTCATACGAATCCTCTGAAATTTACCTCTTTCTCTCGGACTCTGACTCGCTGGCTTCGCTGACGGTTTTACTAGCGGTCAGCTTCTCGCTGGAAGATTCATTCTCGCTGTTGAACTTTCGATTGGAGCTCTTACCGGAATCGTCATCATGCTTATTTTTCGATGATTTTCTGTCATTTTTCTCGCTAGACTTTTTGTCGCTCCTCTTTTTGCGTTTCTCATCATCAGAAGCGCCGCGTCTCATTTCTTCTCTGTGTAATGATCTTTTTTTTCCCTCGCGCTTCTGCGATTTATTTTGCTTGCCGGAATTGCGAGAACTAGACGTTGAATAGCCAGTGTCTTGGCGACTTTTTCTGCAATAATGTATGAAAGACAGGAAAAACATAGGAGAAAATAAGATTATCGATATATCAAGATAAATAACGCTGAGAACAATTTACGATTACACAGAGAAAAAGATTACTCTATCACTAAGAAAAGCAATTATTCAATTTACTTTCCTTTTACGAACTTTCAGATAACTATTTTTAATTAATTTTAAACAACGGTTACTTTTAATAAAAATATTTTCTTCCTAACAATCTTAAGATATATTCATCATAAGTTTTAGAAAAAGTTTATCATTATGTACTCGCAAAAGAGGAATTTATTTTCTTTTCAAAACTGTTATAAAACTTATACTTTATGCAAGAAAAGCAAATCGAATTTTTGTTTTGATTTAATATTCTTGATTGAAGTATTAAATTTACTAGGATTTAGAATTGTATGTTAAATAAAATTTGATGCTTATGATGAATTTATACGATAGTTTTACGGATATATAAATTTATAAAATACTTGAAACAAATAATATATACTTGAATATAGCATATATTTTTCTCTACGTAATCGAAATCTGTGCCAACCGTTTTGAGCGAGCGATGTTCTTCGGAGACGAGTCCAATTTGTCATTCTCTTCCGTAGAATCCTCGGTTTCTGTGTAATTCGCTTCCACGTCCTTATCACGTCGTCTCTTCTGCCTTTTATCGTCTCGCGCACTCTTCACTCTCACATCCCTGTACATGTCACCTCGCGAAATAATACTGATATTCGACACCTCCATCTTACTGTACTTCTTGTTCTTTCTCTTGTTTTTGTTCTCACTCTGCACCACGTAGAGCCGGTATAATTGCAGCAGTATCACTAACGTGTTCTTACATGTGAAGAATATATTCATGTAACTAACTATTTTATAATGGATTATCAGTATAAGGCGGAACGCTAAGAACGGTCCATCCTGCAACATATCGATATCGAAATTTCGTCCAATTTTCATCAAATGCATCTTAAAACCAGTGTTCTTGAGTCAGTCAAAATAATCCTAAATTTCGTCTTAGGTCAATTTCATCTCTTTTATATTTGTGTAATGTAATTTTATTCGTCGTGGCTAATAAATACCAAAGACACATAATTTTGGAGTAACAAGCGTGCTCCTTTTATCAAAGACCACTGATTATAAGATGTAAGGTATCAGCTAAGTCAGAAAATTATTTGTTTAAAAGTAAATCAGGTCAGTCATTAAGAAATAATCTAAATGCCTTAATTTTTCCAACATTTCTTCTTAGCTTCAACATCTCTTGATACTTCCCACGTTCCCGTTCGCAAGCATACCTGAAGAATCATGTTCAGGGCGATTCCCCAGACGTCTATACTGCAGCAGCTGGTCTCCGTGCGGATCTTCTTCCTAGCGACGCTTCCGGATGACAATCGGGACTTCCTCGACTTGGTGGCAGTTAACACGACCGTGAACTGTAGCAGAGACCATGCCCAGATGCCTAAGGTCAAATATACAAGCACAGGTTCTCGCGCTATCTTGTCCTCCTTGAAGGAGTCGAAAAATTCGATAATATCGGCGGCGGTGCCAATGTAGACCAGTAAGAGTTGGCTGAGCTGGTCGCGAGTGAGATCGCCCTTAGGCAACATCCATCGACCGATTATCAAGATCAACATCAGAAACTGTTCGATCAAAGTGACCCACGTCTCCGTCGAAATCTGTATGTCCGGCAGCTGGATGTCAACCTGGAAAACCGAACACGGATTTAAAATAAGTAAGTTTATGATTGAGTTTTCATTGTTATTAATGGCTATTTTTATAACGGCATAGATATCTATTAATTAATTATATAATTAATTTTAATCCTTTTTACGTCGCTGAATAACGTTTCCAAGATGTGCTTTCGTAAGCATACATATTGTCTCTCAGTCACAAATCTGAGTCAATCTTATTATTGCGTAATAACGAAATCTTTAAAAACCTATCCTAAGATTGTTTTAAATAGGTATAAATAAAATTGTAATGTATATACTGGGTGATCCGAAATTCCCGCATTCGGAGTACAGGACATGATACCTTATGCTAAAACAAACAACTTTTTCTTTTAGCAAAATTGCATCCGACAAGTAGTTTTTGCAGGTAGGAGAGCGTGTTAAATTTAACGAATAAACACTCTTGTCTATGTAGCGCTCAGGGCCGGCGCGCGCGCCTCACTGGCGTGTACCTAGTCCGTGATTAGTAATCATAAGTAGTGTCTTTTAAGACGCTCATACAGTTCTGTTGTGATTAGTTTACGACATTTTAAGACTGTGCTTAAGACAATTTTAAATAATAAGAATCAATTATGAACAATACCGGGATTTGACCTGCTTTCGTATTTGTATTGCTTAAATAATGAAAAGTTAATAAAATAAGTACTGCCTTTATTTCTTACGTAATAAATGAATAAAATATTGTCTGGTTGCAATATTATCTGAAAATAAAGGCAAATGTAAATAGTAATATGTTTTGCGAGCTGTGAGCGTTCTATTATTTCAAATATTGCACAATTATGTGATAATTAAATAGTATCATTAAACTTAAAGATTAATTTACTGATCAAGCGTATACTAGGAGTATACATATTTATATCAGTGATTAAAAGTAAAATATTAAAGTTTTTTAACGTCTTTTAAGAGCTCTCCTTTTATTTTTTTATAATAGAAAATACAAAGAACTTATTTAAAATTCAAATTATGTGATATACTCACGTCACGGTCTACATTTACTTATTATTGCTTATTTTAGCCTTTCAATACGTACTTTCCTTACATGTTTTAATTATTGCGAGGAATATTGCTATAGCCTCAATGGTCAAGTTGGTTAAGAAAAATCATTGAGGCTATAACAATATTCCTCGCAATAATCGAAACATATAAGGAAAGTACGTACTGAAAGGCTAACATGCATAAGCAATAATAAGTAAATGTAGACCGTGATGTGAGTACATCGTACAATTTGAATTTTAGATAAGTTCTTTGTATTTTCTATTGTAAAAAAATAAAAAGAGAGTTCTTAAAAGACGTTAATTCAAATATTTTATTTTTAATCACTGTTATAAATATGTATATTCCTATGTATACGCTTGATCAGTAAATTAATCTTTAAGTTTAATGATACTATTTAATTATCACATAATTGTGCAATATTTAAAATAATAGAACGCTCACTCTACACTAGCTCGCAAAACATATTACTATTTACATTTGTCTTTATTTTCAGATAATATTGTGCAACCAGACAATATTTTATTCATTTATTACGTAAGAAATAAAGGCAGTACTTATTTTATTAACTTTTCATTATTTAAGCAATACAAATACGAAAGCAAGTCAAATCTCGGTATTGAAATCAAAATTGATTCTTATTATTTAAAATTGTCTTAAGCACAGTCTTAAAATGTCGTAAAAACTAATCACAACACAACCGTATGAGCGTCTTAAAAAACACTACTTATGATTACTACTTATGATTACTAATCACGGACTAGGTACACGCGAGTGAGGCGCGCGCGCCAGCCCTGAGCACTACATAGACAAGAGCGCTTATTCGTTAAATTTAACACGCTCTTCTGCAAAAACTACTTGTCGGACGCAATTTTGCAAAAGGATAAAGTTGTTTGTTTCAGCATAAAGTATGATGTCCTGTACTCCGAATGCGGGAATTTCGGATCACCCTGTATATAATTTCATTCTTTCCCAATATGTACGTTGATAATTGCGTCATACAAATCTGCCAAGTAAATGCCGGGTACGGAGCTTAATTAATATCCATAATTAATCTGTAGTAATTAACATTAGATTTTCCATATATAAATTAAAGATACAATTGGTTATTAAAAATATACAATTTAATTATTAAGATATAATTTTGCGAAATATGCAACTTCCCTGTGATTTATTTATTTAAACAATCTATTTGCAGTCTGCCGACAGATTCGATCAGGATTTGTTAGCAAATTTATCGATATCTGTATTTGCATTGACTCATATTTTGTCAGTAAAATCTGCCGACAGAATCTGACAGCAGATTGATGGTAGAAAGCGAGCAAGATCTACGGTAGTTCCATTTAAATACGAATGACAGACCTTGCTTGATTTCTGTCGTCAGTCTATTATCATAATCTGCCAGCAAATTTGGTTTTATTTCTGCTAGCAAGCTTTTGACAAATCTATAGCAAGTACTGTGAAAATCTGCTTTTTGTAAGGTGGAGGGGTTTACTGCTTGGGACTACTACTGTGATCAAAAACTATCCGAACTTTATTTTTAAAAATCAAAATTACAATTCAATCATCAAAATTCTTATAGTCTCCTTCAAAGTAGTCCCCATTGCTTGCAACGCACATATGCCAGCGTTTGATCCAGTCCTGGAAACATCGCTCATACGCGGCAGATGGTATGGCCTTCAATTCACGTAGCGATTTTTCTTTTATGTCCTCAATCGATTCGAAACGCTGTTCGCGAAGTGGTTTTCTTCAGTAGGAGGAATAGGAAAAAGTCGCAATGGGCCATGTCTGGTGAATACGGTGCTTGCAGAGCGACATTTGTTGAGTTTTTTGTCAGAAATTCACGCACATGTGTCGAGGTATGCGATAGTACGTTCAAGTTTTTCGGAATTCAGCGCGATGCGATCCCCCAAGCAGAAAATCATGATGACATCAAAATAACGTCAAAGTGATGAGGAAAACTAATTTTCTCATCATAATTCGGTCTTTATGCCCGTCATTTTGATGTCATTTTGTGTCATCACGATTTTTGTTCTGCCTGGGCCGTTTCATGTCCGGTACATTGGACAAAATGTGCTGGCACGATTCAAATGATATTCCAACTTCATCTGCTATCTCTCGCACAGTCAGTCGACGATTTTACCTGCACCAATTCTTTCACTTTCTCAATGTGAGCGTCATCCGTTGACGTTGATGGTCTTCCAGAGCGTGAGTCGTCTTCAACGGATTCTCGTCCTTCTTGAAACTTCTTAAACCACTCAAACGTACTTGTTTTCGACAAATAATCATCGCCATAAGCTTTTTACAACATTTTGAATGCGTTCGTAAACAAAATTTCGTTCGCAACACAAAATTTCAAGCAAATTCTTTGCTCTATATTTTTCGACATCGTAAAAATCGCCGTGCACAACAATCTTCATTGACATAAACAACTGCCACTTTCAAGCGTTGTTTGAAAGAACGCCATGATTTTTCCATCAAATGTGAAGAAATGTGTACCAACTTGAGAAAGCAAACGGATTTGATTTACACTCGCGATTTTTAAAAACTAAAGTTCGGATACTTTTTGATCACAGTAGTATATTTTCTGTCATTTATTAGAAATTATTGTGAAATGTATAAGTTGTTATTAAAATATCCTTGTCATTTATCTAGCTGGTAATCACGATGAAAAAACACGCACGCCTAGAGCTTTCTCCAGATGCTTCAAATCACCGGCTGCCAGATTGGACAGATCAAAGTTTTCTGATATATTAATACCCGACTCGCGGGACTTCAACCTCCTTTCTACTTTGTCTAACTCCAACAGCCAAATTGCGGGCACCACACTACTGAGATACAGAAAGACGGACGGGCAGAACCTGTAAGTATATGATAATTTCAATAAACAGTAAAACGTTACATGAAACATATATCTGTAAAACAATTGGTTTAATTAATACAAAGAAAGGATTATGAAAAATTTGATCATATCTGTTATTCTCTTATTTTTCGTATTTCGATTTCGTGATTTCATCAAAACGATATATGTTCCCGTTCAATCGTGAGTGGCAGCATTGTTCTCTAGTATCGAGATTACCGAGGATGTATCCTGCGTGATTGCATCCTACGATACACCTAGCAAATTGATCGATGAGTCAGGTAAGCGATACCGTGCGGAATCGGGTCACGGCTTGCTCCGGCAGCAGTCAATAATTTTTGATCCGGCTCGCGACACGAACAAAGTGGATTCTGAGTCGTCGACGCGCTCGTGTTACTAATGCTCCAATTTCCGTCTGTCAAACCGAGACGGTCTCACAACACACACACACACCCTTCCCGGAGCACCCCTTTGCACTAATCCTCGCAATGACAGTCCTGTATCTAATGCAACGTCATTGTTGTGTATAGCAATGTTCTCCATATATACTGTCGAGACTGAGCGGTGAACGTATAAAAAACAATTAGAACGATTAAAAAATATTATAACGTAATTCTCTTAATTTATATTCTCATAATTATGCCCATTTCTTTTAAATCATTCGTAATAATCTCAAAAACAAAACCATAAGAAATTAAACAATTTCAAACTGTTATGAAGGGAAAACGAAATCACACATTTCACAATTATATTTTTCGTACGGTTACGAAGCCTATTTAAATATGAAAATGATTAATCTTAAATTTGTAAATTGGAATTACAGTGATATAATAATTTACTCCTAAATTCAAGCTTTTGAAGTTGATTACCTAGACATTATTATTTCTTGTGATATTTAACAGAAGAATAGAAATAATAAAGATAATAATTTTAATTATTTCTTATTCTTTGTTTTTTGTCCTAGGATAAGTCAACAACATTGATGATAATATTATATCAATATTATAATTTTTCATTGAGAGAGAGAGAGAGAGAAAGAGAGAGAGAGAGAGAGAGAGAGAGAGAGAGAGAGAGAGAGAGAGAGAGAGAGAGAGAGAGAGAGAGAGAGAGAGAGAGAGAGAGAGAGAGAGCAAATATGTTATTATTAGTTGATATTTATTGAGTCAAGAATTGAATTTTTAATTTTGTGTGAAGGATCAGTATGTAATTCTCTGGTAAACGATGTTTGTAACTAACGTACCATTTCCATTCCTGATTCTCCTTTATAGTAAGTGTAAAGATACCCTCGAAGAACAGCAAGAGGATGGGACAGCAGAGGTACCAGAAGAGCGGATTCTTCTTGAAAGTCGTCACTTGCCAGATAGCAATGAATCCATGCGACGCGAATACCAGGCGTGTAATTATCGCTTTGATCGTTGCCAAGAACTTCGCCATAGCTATTAATTATAATTTCTCGCCCACTCGCAAATATTTTAACAAATAAGAGATCGATTTCGCGTCATTCATTCGTGTTGAATCTGCGCAACACACATTCGCGCGATTTGCAATCACGTATCGTCGTTTAAATTTATCTCGCACATTTCTGCACGCTCGTTTACTATTATAAAGAGAAAAGAATACAGGATATACGGAGATATATAATCGAGGAAGATATAAGATCGAAGGTTCGCTGAATACAGTGCGAAGGTGTCGAGTCGTCGCGAAAGGGACGTCCTGACTTCGAAAGAATACGCGCGCACGCGTAAGCGCTCCTGAAGAATGATCACCTATGTGGGTGCAGCGATCCAACTCTATATTCGTCGCGGTTACACTTTCTATATCTCCCTCCAAGGCTTGGATTTATTTCATCTCGATGCAAAAGCCGTAGTGCAAACAACTCTATGATAAAGCTAGTTTCGTTGCATTTTCTGTACGTTATTTTCTCTTACTATTTTTCTTATAAACATACAAGCAGATATGATTGCAGATAATGAATGAAATAATTGACCAATATATTCTATCGTATATGTTTATATTATACCTTTATGCTTGATTTCATTAAAAATATCTTAAAATATATTTTAAAATGACTAATTCTTTTAAAAAGAGATATCCTTAAAAAATGTGTACACATGTAGGAAAAATACAGGAAGCATATTAGGGAAGTACAAGGTGGACAAAGGGTTTTCAATGTTTCGTCGTTTACATTGAGCTACTGAACTGTGAGTCGCCGGAAGTATAGGGCTTTTCCCCTTTTTTATTTCAACTTATGTATATATTTCTATATGTATAGGTCACAATCTGTTTAAAAAAATGCGCCGTGAGTATGCTCAATAAAAATAAGTGTATTCAACATGGGCGAAACTGAATTATGTCATCGGCGAGAATAGGTTCTTGTAAGCAGGTTACGTCGTACCGAGCTAGGTTTTTTCTTCTCGTATTACTCGACAGAAAGATACAGAAGATGAGATGAAAAAGAGAAGGGAAAGAAGGAGAATGAGGGAGAGTAACGAAGCCTCTTCTTTGCTTTCCCGGATGTCCGCGGAACCGACTAAGCCGATTAGACGGAAAAATTACTTTGGCCTCAAATTATTGGTAGACGTGGACAATGTTGGAAGGGTCGGTGTACACGCAGGGGTGGAAGTCTCGCCTACGATGGCATTGGCGGAAGCGTTCGTTTCGCTCTTGTATCGAATATTGGTGTATTCTCTGCCTAGTTGAAGTGATTTCTGGAAAGACCCAAACGAGAATAGGATTCAATGACTATGAGATACTAATTTACAGAGTCAGTACGCGGCAATACAGACTCGTACTCACCTGTTCCGCCTGCATTCGCTGTGATACCGTCTCGATGTAATGCAGAACGGCGAGATAGACGAATTTGTATTGCGCCTCTGTCTGGACCATTCCCGATCTCTGTGAGCGTACTCTTTGTATCGTGCGTTGAATGTCGATCTCACAGTCCAACCCTGAATGTGATAAAATCAAGCGGTACATTTATAAACATATTTCGTAGCTTTGATTATGCATATTTGAACAGTAATTGTTTGGTTGCTATTTTATTTATTTTTAATTTCATTTTATTTCATTCCACTTACCGTGACGTTTAATTTGATCTAGAATCATATCAATGACGATAAATGTGCCAGTTCTGCCGATTCCGGCGCTGCAGTGAACGAGAATCGGCCCTATGCATGATACGCTCTGGTTGTTAGAGGCTGAGGAGGCCGCGATGGACTCTTGTCTGGCGTTTACGTCATGTAGAAAATTCAGTACGCAGCCAGGGTCCGACGGGACACCGTGATCGGGCCATGCCTATATTAATCAGGTATGCAATATTTAATTTTACTATTGAATATATTCATTAGATAAATTATCGAAGTTCTTCACATAATGTCTACAGAAAACTATTAAAAAGTTCCGCAAGAAATTCTCTATAGCGAGCGAGTCTATAGACATACATTGACTGTATAAAAAAAAAAACGCAATGGTTGCACAACCGCTCAATAAAAATTATCTGATAGCATATACTTTTAGATCTACACAACGACACTCATCTTTCAAAAGTCGATCACTATTTTATTCTATTAATTATATTCTTTGAACGTAACTAATTCTTGCATGATTAAATATAAAGAACAGATGTTTCAGTTGACAATTAGAAAATATTTTTAGAACACTCTACAAGTCGTTCGACAAATTAAAATCGTTACTTGGAAGTGGTAATGATAAATTCTTCTGGGCTCGGAAAAGTCCGGTTTGGTTCCCTGTAGTAAAAACTCGCGCAGGGTATAATCAGCGGTTGAGGTTTGCGACATGGCGCGCACTTTCCATTCATCATTGTATTCGGCGATTTCGTTTTCTTCCGGCCAGTAACGCGCGCACTTGTTCTAAAAAATCATGTCCCATTAGATCCTCATTTGTCAGCACAACAGTACTTACAGTACACAGCGCACACCTTTCCTCTCTCCATCTCTTTCGTGGTCATGACAATCACCCGAGTATTTTCTTGATAGACCATGTGCCAAAAATCTCCGATGGTGTTCGGGAGACAGCCTTGCGTCGCTATATAGTATTTGCCGAGCGGCGCAACTTCGTTGCCGCCAACAGTGCCAATAGTGGTAGTACTTGTCCCATCACCTTCTTCATTCTGCAAAAGAATTTTACCCTCCACCTGACAACGGTATATATTAAATAAATTTGTGACAATATATTAGTGGTCACGAGACCATCGAATGCAATTTTCGGATTCTAGCAACAATCCGCAATTCTCAGTGATTGTTCTTAACAAAAACATCGAGTTGTCTAAGCTGATTTGAAATTTAGCTACAATTTTTTGAAGTTTCTGACTACTCGCCGCGGTCATCCTGATTTATGAAACGAGAAAATACGCGTTCAGAATTTTTGCAAAATACATCTAAATAAAAAGAAATATATATATTTACAAAATAACAATTGTAATCGATTAAGTTCAAGAAGTTTCCTTTTGCTCTATTAATAATATTTATTAATAAATAATTGTAATAAAATTAATATAACAAATCATGGAAAAAATAGATTAAAAAACTCAATTGCGTGTCACGTTAATTCTATGGCAATTTTTTTACGGTTGTTAGAGCAAGAGAGGAAAGTATCCAAACTATTTTACAAATCTGCTCGATCGATTGCGAGTAACACTTTTGAATATATTTTTTGTTTCATCGCATTTTGTGGATATTTTGAACATATACTTTCTTGCTTTTAATGTTATCGATCAAGAGATTCACAGCGAGTAGCCTCGAGTCTTAAATATAAATCCATGTCCACGAGATGTTAAAAGTTTTTTTTAAATTGATAAAAGAAAAAAACTGCGTTCACGAGGATATTCGACGATTCTGTGATTCGCAACACTGTAAGAGACTTTACCCTTATATAATTAGCGTTAATATAATCAGCTCCAGGGATGTTTGGATCCACATCTTTCAATCGCACCCTCGTGTGATCGAATGGTAAAATGTTCTTGTAACGATTCTTCGAGCGATTCTCACTCCGTAAACCTTCCTTTCTCGAAAAAAGATGTCGACACTCCACTTGTTGAAGTGACTCGAATTCCTCCCAGAAGCCAGCTTTACCTTTACCACGGCCTGCACCACTTTCATCACTTCCACTAGCGCCGTTCCAACATAACCAGCCGTTTGAACAGCCATTCTCTTTGTGTAATTGTCTCACCCTGCTTTCAATATCACTGGCGTTAATGCGCGTCGCATTAAACGGTTGTCTGCAAATGAACAATAACATTTGTTACATTATGTATTATCGACAGATTCCTTGTTAGTGTGATACATTTCGTGCCTTATCGTGTTAATATTGTCAGTTCTCATTTTGTTTCTTAAAATTTCCATCATGATCTATGAATAATAACGTTTCATAGCGCGCTAATCTTCTTTCGGGAATCCTCAAAACAGCCTTTTAAATCCGGAAGAGTATCCATTGAGACTGATTATCCGCAAATGTTATTTGGCATCCGTAAGCACGTTCAATGATTGTGCAACAATTCGTTTTATATTAATAACTTCGACTGAGGATAAATTACAAGAAATCGGTCGAAATGTATTGACTTTATTGATCTGTAGCTGCATGTATTTTATATTGTAAAAATTATATTGTTAAAATGGAAACAACTACTTAAGTCTTATGTCGCTAAAGTAGACATTAAATCTTATATTATTAAGTAGATAGTATATCTAAGTAGATAGTATATCTACTTAAATTTGTAATCGACTCTTATTATCGTTAATATATTCATTTGTTTTTAATTTTGATCAACCTTATATTATCACTTGATTAATTATGTGTTTATTATATCTTACAATTTAGAGCTTGAGATGCATGCAAAGCAATACGAAAGCGATTACGAAAGAACGAAATGTAATGAAAAGTTTGAGCGAGCTTTTCAATAGAACGTACAGAATATTTTGATTTATTAGAATTGAAAAAAATGTGGGAGAAAGAGAAAGAAAGAAAGAAAGAAAGAAAGAAAGAAAGAAAGAAAGAAAGAAAGAAAGAAAGAAAGAAAGAAAGAAAGAGCGAGAGCGAGAGAGAGCGAGAGAGAGAGGGGGGGAGGGGGAGAGAGAGAGAGAGAGAGAGAGAGAGAGAGAGAGAGAGAGAGAGAGAGAGAGAGAGAGAGAGAGAGAGAGAGAGAAAGAATTGGGGGAGAGAAAAGTTAAAATCTTACCGAAGATGAACGACGCTGCCACTAGTTTCGACCATTGGATTTCGCTTATAATACTCTATCAGATCACTCAGACTGTCGAACTTGTGACCACCACCTACGTCGTATCTGTTGTCCTACAATGTTAATTGGTCCGTTTACAATAAAAAAAGTATCTCTAATTTCGCCGATTGCTACTGTTACAGCAACAAAGTTATATATATATATATAGAGACTAAGATCTGTTCCGTTTCGTTACGTGGCAAACACTCGAACTGTCGATTCACAAATAAGTGAATCTCGCCTTTGACTTTCTATCGGGCTTTAGATACGATCTTAATGTACGTCGGACGTTACATATATGGTGTAATTAACCACCTGAAATCGTATCATAACATGCGTGACGCGATCGTCGGTGCGTACGGACAGCACGAAGTCGCCGGGTTTACTTTGGGACTCGCGCACCAAGAAGGATCCATTTTTGCCGCGTTCCAGCATCAACCGTTCCGCCTCTTTAGCCGACAAATGGCCGTGGAACCACCTTCAGTCACATCTTACTATTAGCACGCGTCCGATGTATTTGCACTTGGGATTGGTTAACAGTGTGACCGTGCCGAGTCGAACAACTGATATTACGCAAAAAAACGAAACATGCAAATACAAGAATACAAGGCGCGTACCTTTCAGTCGTGGGATCAGCGCAATTGAGGGGATACTTGAGCTCGATAATTTCTCCATTCTTCTCGCGTAATTGCCCACCGTTTTCCATATAAAATTGTACCAGTTCGGAAAGTGTGGCGAATTTCTCACCACCGTATAGATCGTAGAAGTCTCCTGTATTTTGTATTTTAATATGAGTCACTTCACCATTCCGTCTGAGGATAAGACGAAGGTATCCAATGTTACGTATTGGTGTATTTGTATGATTTTTATCTTTATTATGATGTATATATATATATATATATGTGTGTATAAGTGTGTATATCTATAACTTGTATGATAAAAAATTATAATTTGTATGATAAAAAAATGCAAAAGTAAGAATGTGAGAATGAGAAAGAGGAGGAAGAAGAGAGAAGTGAAGAGAGAAGTGAAGAGAGAAGTGAAGAGAGAAGTGGAGAGAGAGAGAGAGAGAGAGAGAGAGAGAGAGAGAGAGAGAGAGAGAGAGAGAGAGAGAGAGAGAGAGAGAGAGAGGGAGAGAGAGGAGAGAGAGAGAGGAGAAAGAAAAAGAAGTTAACATTTATATTCACCTGACAGACAATGTAAAGTCACCAGGATTTGAAGAGCTTGGACGTGCTAAAAATGAACTGTCATATCCTCGTTCCATTAATAGACGTTCAGCTTCTAAACCTGTAATATTAGGGTGGAACCATCTGCAATAGAAATATGAATTATATATTACTCAATTCACAATTAATTTCAAAGTTATATACAAATTCCAAATACTCAATACTTTTATTTTAAACCCAAAAACAATACTTTACATATCAGCAATACTTTGTATATCAGCAAGTGGTTACTCAACTGCAAATATACAAGAGTCTCAATTCTCAGAGAGTAAGTCAAAGTAATGATCAAAAATTACTCAAAGATCATTGAAAGTAGTCAAACTGTAACCAATGAGCAATTGCAGGACATCAGTTGCAACCAGTTGGAGTAATAGCAAGGAGGCAGCGTCATACCAAAAATGGTAATAAGCGCACAAATGCCGCTCCCTACACACACCAGCGAACGATGACGATTCATTCGCGAACACACTCGCTCGTTCGCATACAAAATGTGACGGACGCGTTTTGCTCCGTTTGCCAATTAGCATGCATACGAAGAAGCAAGTGAGCGAGCCGTAAAGGCCGCGCAACGGACGCGCATCAACGTCCGCGCGTCAATCCTGTCGAAAAGCAAACTATTCGCGCGCACGAATCTCATCGCACGTCGAATTACGCGCGGTTTTCACCAATGAACAACGGGATAAAGATTCGCACCCTGAAGATCAATGAAAAAAACTACGAAACGAAGGCGAAATTGTAGCAAATCCGACGACGGCGCGACGCCGATATCGCGTGTGTCTCTCAGCGGGATGAGAGACGTGCCTCACCTGCGAGATGCCATGACGCGGCTGTCCCAACAGCTCTTTTACGACCACCAGCTGCCCATTAATAATTCATAACGGCTCGTTAAGGCGCCCTCGAGCTGGCGCGCGCGATCCGCCGGAGCTTGTGTGCGGCCGCGACACTTTTTGATCGAGCGTCAGGTCGAGGACGATACCACCACTGTCGTCTTTGACATATCCAACTCGCGCGAAAACAAAAAGGCGATCCTCGCTTGCTGCGACCTGAGAATGCGCCATGCCATGGAATAAGCGGTGTGTCCAAGACGTCAAACTGAGACTACCTGTTCGCGCTCGAGCGACGACGTATGTCTAGTTTCCACTATAGCTGTGTTCTGAAATTCACTGCCAGTGCTAGAAATACATGGGGTGTTTACGATATTGGGTGTTTACCAGGACGTAACAATATATGAACGGAGCATAGAGCTGCGGGAGTGGTCTATAAAGGGTGAGGGGAAAGAAATGTCTATTGTAACGGATATGAGAGACCTACGGCCGGTATTCATAGTCAGGTCTTATATTTAAGACCGCTTTAAGTTCATCTTCAGATACTTTGTAGCCAATGAAATAATTTGTACAGCATCTGAAGATGAATTTGAGACGGTCTTAAATATAAGATCCGACTATGAATACCGACCATAGTCATAGTATATCTAGACTGCGTGTTCGAGGAGTGGGAGTATAGTTCACGTAGAAAAGGATATACTCTGTTTTTACCACAGACTTCTATATACTACTAGATTGCTAATTCCCCGGTCAGAAGTGAAGCAAATTTTGGCGGCCATTGTTATCTGGCAATTTATATATCCTGTGCTCCGATAGTGAAGTAGTACGAATTAATTGGGTGCTTTTAATATATCTATTTAATAAAATTATGGATAAAGTACAGAGAGTGTAATGGTAATATAATATATATATACATAATATTAGTCATATATGTCAAAATGTTATATTTGTATAATATTATAATAGTAATGTAAAATAAAATACAAATTCATATAATGCTTTGTGTTTATTATGTAAAAAATAATGAATACAATATACACTATAACATATTACATTCCCTTAATATATATTCTATTCTATAATACATTCAATTTGCAAACATAAATAAAACATAAATAAAACATTTATTATTCATTTGCGAAAAAAATTTGTTTAGTTAAACGATGTTGTTTACGAATAGGCATTATAATTTCATTAGTATAAAACTTTCCAAACGAAAATAGCCGAACTCGTAAATATGTTCGTACAATCGCAAATATTAATTTAATTTTATGTGGCACTTCAAATATATCGACATTATTACATGTAAGATCATTGAATATCAATGTGTCAAGAGTAAATCGCCTTTTTATGTGTAAAATAATCTTTGTATCTAATTTGTGCACTTGTAATGTCTGGAAATTATTTGTTTCCAGTTGCAGTCGCTTTTCTATTTCGGCAATAATTTTATATGTGCTTACAGAGGGAAATATTAATCCACCCTTGTCACACAAGTTTGCAAATGTAACATATTTCAATGGTAGACAATAATCATGTTCGATGCGTTGTAGAATAAGATATGTTGCGCAACTCTCACAATTGATATTAACCGCATTAACCGTCTTACAACATAGCCACCAATATAATATAATATTTTGTCTTTCAAATCTGTGTGAAGTTGAATTGAAATATTGTTATTAAGTTTGTGGACTTCTTTTGTGGATTTATAGACGGATGTATATGATGAACGGTCCTCATCGTCGTCGGATGTATATGTTACGATTTCTTCATCCTTTGCGATTTCGTTTATATTCAATACATTCGACTTTATATGCGACGAATATTATGCTGGATAATTTTGAACATTAATATGTAATAATTTTGTTTATAGTCGTATGTTGTTTCTTGACCGTTTACTGTAAGACTGTCGGGTGAGAACCGAAAGATCGTAGCCTTCTTCCCGTAAATACCTGTTTATGTTTGCTATCGGTTTACCCAATTTATAAATTTTTTCATTTTCATCGGCTTCTATGAACTAGGCCATTTCAATGAATCATTTCAAAATCACAATATAAGACTTGGCAGTCTTCGCGTGTTTCATCGTCATCTACTATTTCACGCGGTAGGCCATATATAGGTTTAGGTTCTGGAGGTGGAATGATCACACTCTCCTTTATTGGTGAACTGTATTCGGTTTGTGTACTCGAATCTGTTATATGTATTGTTCTATTGCTAACCGACGGTTTATGTGTATCTTCTATGTTTTGATACGTGTGTGTTATATTGTGTCTTAAATTGTACGAAGGATTTTCATATGATGTGCCTGCGGTTGAATATTCGTTATATCTTGGGTTGTACGAAGGGTTTTCGTATGATGTGCCCTCGGTCAAATATTCATCTTTTTGTTTTTTGTCTTTATAGCTAAACTCTTTCGACTGTTTGTTCGGTATTTCGTATTTTTGTGCCTGAGAAACCTTCGTTGTACATATATATCGGTTTGCGTTGATCAAACCTTAATTTTGTGTAAAAAGCAGCTTCTGGGTGGGCACCTGGGCCTCTATTGCCATACCATTCTAAGTATGCATCATATTCTTTCGTTAATTTTCCGGTTATAGAGTGTGCAGCTTCGTCAACCCAATATTGGTTATCTCTCGTCTTGTCGAAGAAAGTCAGAGTGTAACATTCCGGTACTTTTTCGTATTCTTTAGTTGATAAGAATGTTGGGGATAGTCTTTTACGAGAGCTCCATTTGTTCTCCATCCATTTGTTCAGGCCTCTCTGGCCTCATGATAACCCCAGTGCGTTTTTCCGTAACTGTCGATTAATCGGTTGTATATGATAACGCAATTGATTAGGGTTCATCTTCCAGAATATCTGTCTTTCCTCTTGACAAACTATGTCGAACCAGTCGACTTTCTTATCGGGTGAATCTGACGAAGAGTTGCTTGAATTCATGCAGCCTTTGGTGACGGTGGTTGTATTTTCCACGATCTTTATCTTTGCTGCTTCTTCTGTTAATATTTCATGTTGTTCCTGAGTCATCTCTCTTATCTCAGGATATATCTTGCAATCTTCTTTCTTCTAATTCTTGGGATTCTTCACTTGAGTGGTATTGCTTTTATTGCTACCCTTGTTATTTTTTGTATCCCCTCTGTTTATTGTTATAGGGGTGTATATTAGTGGGACATGTTGGATACTATTTGAGGTCACGACTGTTGTCCTCTGGTTGTGTCGACTCTGATGTGATCGTAATTGGTCTGTCGTCGGATTCTGATGACAGCGATATTGGTTAACTGTTTAATTGTACTATATTGTCGTCATCTCTGTGTCTGTCGTCTTCTAATATGGAAGATGATTGTGTTTGATCCGTTAGTATTGACCAAGACGAGTCTAAATTTATATCAGATGCATCAGTGTATTCTGATGATCTTTTTACCTGTATAATTTGTTGATCCTTCTGTGGATGGATATCACTGGTTTCTTCATCGTCAATAGTTTAGTCTGTGCGCGTGATTATTTTATGATCTCGCGGTGGCAAATGTCTGCCTATTTGTGCGTCGGGTTCTGAATGCGCATATTTTAGAGTCGCACTTCTATGCGGACGCAAATGTCTTCTATTACATATACCCGCGTCACGACCGCCTAACTATTGTAATTTAAATGTGTTCGGATGCGGGCATCCTATTATCATTAAGGGTTCTTCATATATAGGATATAATTTGCGTATTTTCTTACATCATCCCATAAGTTCCGCCGAACTTATGCGATGTGTTTTTCGCCGTACTCTAACACTTTCTTTACGGGGTAACATTGCCATTTTTCTTCTGTTGTGTCTTACGTTTATTCGACGCTATTTTTATATTGTTCGTCGCTATTTCGACGCGTTTTCTATGTTCGCGCCGATCATATTCATGAACCGGGTGTAATCCGATTGGTTCTAGAGTTGCTGGTATTTTGTGCGGGACTTCTCTCGTCCATCTCCCGTTGTATTCTAAGGCTAACGGTGGGTATCCCGTGCTAGAGTGTCTAGATTCGTTTATTATATTCTCTATGCGTGGTATTATTCTTTCCCATTGCGTGTGGTCATCGCATGAATAAGCCCTCAACGCGCGGCCCAACTCGCGCATCACCCTTTCTACCGGGTTAGCCTGAGGGTTGTACGGTGCTGTTTTTCTTAGTAAGATATGATGTTTGTTCGCGAATCCTAGCCAAACGCGAGTGAAGAATTGTCCTCCGCAGTCGGAAAGAATCGATGTTGGAGCGAATCCACGACGCGGTATATAGTCGCGTTCGATGTTTACTAAAGTTTTTGCTTTTTGATCTTGTATCGAATATAGCACGACTAGCTTCGAAAACAGACCCATCAGCACTAGTATATATGCGTTTCCTTGCGTGGATCTTGGTAAAGGACCATACAAATCTACTGACACTAACTTACCTGTATCTTTGGGTAAGTCGTAGTGATACTCGCCTTCTGTTGGCCGAGTATACCATTTGGTTGCTTGACATGTTATGCAAGATGCTGCGACATCTCTGACTATGTCGTCTATGTATATCGAAATATCGCTTCGCGAAATCTAAGACTTTATCCGTCCCAAAATGCACCATGTGTTTGTGGATCTTGTCCACAAATTGCCAGATTATTTCGCGCGGAATCGTTATTCTATCTGACTCACCTGATTCGGTGATGGTTCGCACGAAGTTG